CCTCATTGTGGCCACAGATTACTTCACCAAGTGGGTAGAGGCGGAGCCGTTGACTCATATCCGCGACATAGATGCCAAAAAGTTCGTCTGGGAGAACATAATCATCAGGTTTGGGATTCCCCGGGCACTGGTGTCGGATAACGGGACTCAATTCACCGGCGGGCGTTTCAAGTCTTTCTGTGAGCAACTCGGGATCCGTAATTTCTACTCCACCCCTGCCTATCCTCAAGCCAACGGGCAGACAGAGGCCTCCAACAAGACAATTATCAATGGGATCAAGAAGAGGTTGGAGAAAGCCAAGGAAAAATGGGCGAAAGAACTATTAAACATTTTGTGGGTGTACAGGACCACCCCTCGGTCCTCGACAGGGGAAACCCCATACTCCCTGGCATACGGAATGGAGGCAATCATACCCCTCGAAGTAGGGCTCCCGACCATAAGAACCCAAGCTTTCGACGAAGGGGGGAATGACCGTCGACTGGGATTGGATTTGGATCTAGTGGAAGAAAGAAGGGAGGCAGCCGCCTTGAGGATAACTAAGTATCAGGAGAAGATTTTCCAACTATACAACAGAAGGGTCAAGGCGCGAGAATTCCGAATAGACGATCTGGTCCTCAGAAAGGTAACGGCCAATACCCGTGATCCAACAGAGAGAAAAATGGGACCTAACTGGGAAGGGCCTTACAAAGTGATATCAATCGGGGGCGCCGGGTCGTACAGATTAGAAGGCATGGATGGAAAACTTGTAATGCAACCATGGAATGTTATGAATCTAAAGAAATATTACTTTTGAAGTATTCTCTCCCTCAAGTGCTTGCCAACGACAAAGATAAAGGGCAAGGCCCTGGGGACAGAGTTCAAGGGCTCCTGTCCCCGAAGTAAATACAGGAGCAAGCCTCCTGAAAGGGCAAGGCCCTGGGGACAGAGTTCAAGGACTCCTGTCCCCGAAGCAAACACAAGAGCGTGCCTCTTGAATGGGCGAGCAGCCCCGAAGACAGTTCAAAAAAGGGAAAAAAGTACTCATGATTTATTTCCAGAAGAGGGGTTTTGCGTCCCCAAAGGCTACAAAAGAAAAAAAGAGTACAATCAAAAAGAAAAAGGGGCTTTCATCTGGCCCCGGGCATCTCCACAACATCAGCCGAGGGCGAGTCAGCATAAAAAGGTTGAGAAGCTTCTGGAGCAGGCAGAAGGAGAGGTATTTCGGCAACAGGGAGACCTTGAGCAACATGAGGATCAGGAGCATGGTCCGGCGGGGCGTCCTCGGACAAGTCCACTATCACTGCCTCGGGCGGATCCGCCGAGACTTGCACCGGCGTTGGGATCTCATCCTCGGCAGCAATCTCTGCTTCGGTCTGTTCCATCTCTGCCGAGGGCACGTACTTGTGCATCTGGAAGAGCGGGGAGTCTGACGGGATTCCAGCAGACTGGAGCGCCTCGTCCCACCCTTTCTTGAAGAACTCCTTGTTGTTTTCCTCAAGAGCAGGGAGCACGTCATCGGCAAACTCTTCCCGGAGTTGCTCCTCCGATTTTCTGTTCAGTGCCTCGGCTCTGATCCTGTCCAGCTCCTCGGTGAGAGCCAGACAGCTTTCCTCTGAGCCAACCGCCCTCTCCTCCGCGGCAGAAAGCCACCGCGTCTGCTCGGTGATCCTCCCCTCAGCATCGGCAAATGCAGCACTTAACTTTTCAGAGTCAACCTTAGCCGACTCGGCATCCTTGAGGAGTTGTTCGATTTGAGCAGCCTGCCCCGCCAGGGTAGAATCCCTGGCAGCTACGTCCTCCATTGCTCGGGCGAGGGCCCCCTCCGCCTCTTCCTTTTGTTCTCGGGCCCGCTGGAGGTCCATCCTAGACCCATGGTACCGGGCAGCTATGATGGAGATCTGTTGGGTAGCCTGCAAAGGAGGGAAAAAGGCGTATCACAAAAATGAAAAGCGAGAGAGAAGAAACCAAAGCAAAAATGAACTTACCACCAGGGAATTCTGGATGATAGAGCGGAACAACACGTTCGTTGATCGCCCCCTCTGAGCCGCCATGTCAGCCTCGAAATGCAGTGTCTTACTCACTGCATTGGCGACATGAGGATCCAGCAAAATGGAATCATTGACCCTGATCACTCGGTTCATGTGATCAGTGGCTCAGGGATTCCACTCCGCGGCTTCCACTGTCGGCGGAGGGGAAGGGGGAGTCTGCTGCTGCCGTTGTTGCTGATGTTGCTGTTGTCGTTGCTGTTGCTGTTGCTGCTGTTGCGGAGGAGCAGGGGGTAACCCACGGCCTCTCCCGCTTTGCTGCTGAGCGAAAGGTGCCCTGGATCCTTTGCCGAGGCCATCGTGTCTATGCTTGACCCTTCTCTCCTCCTCTACCTGAGGATCCCGGTCACGCACTTGACCCCGACTGAGAACCCTTGAGGATGGGGTGGAACTGGTCCCTGCAGATGGGGCGTCGCCGGTCGATCCTCGACCCCTCCCGACAGCAAAGGCTTGCCTCTGCCTCAGGAACCCCAGGTCAATGCGAGGCGTGCTGGACATCGCGACCTCGAGGGCGTCCTCGGCGTCTAGAGATTGTAAAACTTGGAAGTCCGGCCACAAATCTCCTCCCGAAGTCCCCACCTCGGCGTCCGAAGGAACGAAGTCCTCTCTGACCCCGAGCTCTTCAACTACTCCCTCTACTTCTGCCTCCGAAGCCCGATCAGGGTCTTCTTCCAAGTTTTTCTCGACCTCTTGCCTCGCCGCCTGATCGAAGAGTTTAGACCACCGCGAAGGCTCAAAAGGCTGAGGAAGCTGTGAAAATTTCTTATACCCGGGGGTGTAATTCAGCAGGATGTGGGCAGCCTAGCCGAACCCGTTGTCACCAGTAAATCTCCAAACCGCGAGTAGGTCGACAAAGTTCACCAGCGACCGAGGGGAAGGAGCTGTTTCCCGAGTAGGGATATCTGCACAAACAAAAAAAGTAGTCATGAACATGAAAATCTGGAGAACAAAATAATAAACCCGAAGGAACCGACGTACTTGTCGTTCTCCATTCCAGAGGGCATAACAAGCCGTTATACTCGGGACCAACACCTCTTTGCCAAGATCCCTTGAAAATAAGAATATCGTCCTTGTACCCCTTGTCCGAGTCGGGAAGATGAGTTACAAGGTACATGGAGGGGTCCCTGGCCTTGAGGTAGAAGTGTTGGTGAGGCATGACTCTCAAGAGGGAATAACAAAAAAGGAGATCGTTCAACCCAATATTTACCCCGAGGCGCCTATTGAGCTCTAAGACCCCCATAATTATTCTGAAGACATTAAGGCAACACTGCCCGGGGAAGAGGCGGAAGTGAGAGAGGAACTGGAGAAGTAAAAGGGGTAAAGGAAACCTAATTCCGCCCTCTATTATGGCCTTGGTATAAAAGGGCATAGCATCCTCGGCCCCGAGGGTAGGAGTGTGCACCACCGGGTCATAATCCTCTATGTCTACGCACGGGGGAATGTTGTACTTGACCTTAAACCTATTAATCTGCTCACCACCCTTTACTTTATACTTCCCCGACCCCGAAGAACCAGCCTGAGGATTCTCGGGAGCAGGGCGACGACGAGGCATCTCTAAGAAAGTGAGAAAGTGGAGGGTGTTTTTTCTTAAAAATCTCTGAGGAAGCTTCCCGAGGATTAGTCGCTAAGTATCAACCAGAGACACCTCCAGTCATCGGAAAACAAAAAGGGATAGGAGGAAGAAAAGAAGAAAGAAACTAGGACTCACCCGAATGTCAAACGGAGTTTTTTCTAAAAAACTTTAAGCGACTCCTTCCAGAAAGTTCAGAAGCAACGATGGGTCTGCTGGCCTTAAGACTTTAAGGAAGAATGGACAGTCGATGATGGAAGATGAAAGAGATCTCCGGCGAAGATTCAGGAAAAGACTCTGTTGAGGAAGTTCAGAATGGCGAAACAAGAAAATGCAAGAGGAGCCCCATTTATATAGTGGCAGTTTCATCATTGGGCGCGAAAAACGAAACAGCGCATTTAATGCACACGACACCCTAAGCCGGGGAAAGCGGCTCGAGGCAATGATGAAGCATTGGTGGTTGTTGGGAAACCCTTCGTCTCCTTACGACGCGTGCCCTCGGTGTCAGAAGATCGAAGGCTGGGGGGCAGTTGATGGGACTTTTCTGAAATACTCCATGATGAAGACACGTGTCCTCGGTATTACCAAAACAATGTTGCTAAGATCAAGCACCATCGGCGCAAAAGGTCCTCGCCCCCGAGGTACTCGTCATATAGGATCATGGCATTCAGTATGTTTTACAACCGACACGTAGCCTCGTCTGATATGGTACCTCGGTCGGTATCCCTCCCTCGGTTCCGAGATGAGCCTTTCCTCGGTGCCGAGGTGTACCCCGTCCTGGACGCCTCCTCTACTCCAGGATAAGCTATTGACGTACAGGTCATTAGCCTAGGCTAGTCTAGGCTATTCAGCATGACCTCGTCTTACACAATTAGTGTCAGAACGTACAGGAATGCAGGGGCCACAGCCAATGGGGGATGAACGCGTGGCATATGATATCACCTACTGACTACACTGACAACAATCATGAGCTTTTGAGGTATAAATACACCTTGCAAAAGGCAAGACGGGTATGCAACAAAAAACTCTTTACTACAATACACACTCAGTGTTTTCTCCTTCCTCTCTCTTTCTCAAAGACTGACTAGATCGTCGGAGGAGATACGCCGGAAAACACTCCGGCGCCCTTCTAACTTGTTCTTCTTTGTTCCAGGAACCTCTTTCAGCCTTACTGGATCGTTCTTCCGCTCCCCCAGGATCTTCCGTTGCCGTTCCAGGTTATCACCGGATCTCGTAGGCTGTTCCAAGCAGCGTGGTTGATCAGTCAACAGGCTCACTCGAGTTCACAAAGGGAGAGATCTGTTCTCGTTTTTTATATTGTACAGGATCTTGCACACACACGTCGTACATCAATTTCTTCAACAGAGAACCAATCAAATCGAATTGCGTTTACAATATGAGGAAAACTATACATCTGGGTTTTAGGTTTTTTCTTTTCTTTTTCCTTGATCCAATAAAACCCATCCGGTTTATCATACTTGTGTGCAGTTTCTTGGTTCCCAGTACTGCGTGGATCTTCTCTTTCCGATCGGACAACAAAGGAAATGGGTATAAGGGGTGTTTGTTTGGACGAAGACAAACCCTCAAAATCAGAAGTTTATGGCCACCAGAGATCAAAGTTGCCTGGTAAAGAACCACAAATTCCGAACACTAAATACCCTGCCCCGGCAGCCCAATTGCCGGCAGCAAAGCCAACACTGACACTGAAACCAGTTCACGTGCCAGACACACTCCTGGGTAAGCCATATGAAGATGTTAAGCAACGCTATACAATTCGGAGAGAATTGGGTAAGGGTGAATTTGGTGTTACACATCTTTGTACTGAAATTTCAACTGGTAGACAATATGCTTGCAAGTCAATATCCAAAAAGAAGCTTCTTACAAAGAATGATATGGATGATTTGAAGAGACAGATCGAGATTATGAATCATTTGAGTGGGCAGTCCAATATTGTTGAATTGAAGGGTGCTTATGAGGATAAGCAATCAGTTCACCTTGTGATGGAGTTATGTTCAAGTAGATCTCTCTTTGATCGGATTATTGCCAGGGGACATTATACTGAAAGGGCCGCGGCTTCAATATGCAGGGCAGTCGTGAATTTTGTGCACGTCTGCCATTTTATGGGAGTGATGCACCGGGACCTCAAGCCAGAGCATTTCTTATTTTCTGACAACAGTGAAAATGCTCCACTGAAGGCTACAGGTTTTGGGTTAGCAGTATTCATTGAAGAAGGTAAGTTTCTCAGAAGGACTTCCCAACCTTCGCTTCATATCAATTTGGCTCTTATATATCGAATTCAACTGATAAGGTGATGGGAAAAACTGTAAACTATTTATTTCCTGCATCATCCTTCCTTAAGGAGTTTATATTCGTAGTGACTCGATCTTCATGAATTACAGTGAGTTTCTTCAAAAGATTTGTCTTCTGAAATATTTTGGTGGTAATTTTATAAAGCTTGTTTTTGCATTCTTCAACTTAATTTAGAACTAAACTGTGAGACCCTTCTAAATACAATCACTCATTAACTCAAGAAACCAAAATCCATCATCATTTAACTAATTAAAACCCAAAAACAGAAGAGGTGAACACAATTAGCCCTCAGTAAAGAAACTTTCTCAAGCCTAAACAAGATTTAAAAGCATATAAAAACAAACGGGGTCTCAAATTTCCAAAGTAAACATATATAACTTTTGAAAAAAATCATTTAACATTAATAAGGATCTCAAATTTCGATACATGTGCAGAAATTTCATCATATAATGGATCATTCACAGAATAACAGTTTGTAACTGGAATATTTCATGTACGCAGGTTAACTAGTAAGAATTCACACCGAAATATATCTGGTTCATCCCCCAATAAACACAAACCATCCAATCAATCTCCACAATTCAATTGTCTAGGATTCAGTCTTAGATTGCACATCCATACTCGATTCCTTGCTATATATACTCTTGGTTCATCATTTGTCATGTTAATTCAAGCGCTAGCATTTACAGTTCGCAACACTCCACACCACTAAAGAATAGTACAGGACTTTCAGATGGTCTCTTTTCCATTCTAATAAAGGTATCCACCATTAGACTCCACTTTGTGACATTAATAACTATCTCAAGTTTCGATACGTGCACACAAATTTCACCACATAATAGATCATTCGGAGAATAAACAATTTGTAACAGTTATAGTTGAACTTGCTATTGAAGTACCAAAGTTGCATTCATGATATCCTTTCCCACAATACTGCTCCTTTCGTCACCATTATTTGGGAGTTCTTTTGTTTAGGCTGCTTCAAACTGTCAAAACCTTACAAATATCAAGCAAACTTCCTCTAGTCTTTCTTATGACAACACTGACTTTTTCTTGGGTTCAATCATGCAACATCACATGCTTTTGCTATTTGGAATGCAAACAATCCAGAATATATCCTTGTAGAACTATGTATGACATCTAGTGTACATTAGCATGATGCCATTTACATTAGCATGATGCCATTTACATTTTTATGCAAGCTCAACATTGTATTGCCATCGTCACTTTGTTGTAGTGATAATATTTATGGGACTTTTTTTCAGGAAAGGTGTACCAGGATATAGTTGGGACTCCTTACTATGTTGCTCCTGAAGTGTTACGGCGTAGATATGGGAAGGAAATAGATATCTGGAGTGCAGGGGTTATGTTGTATATCTTACTCAGTGGTGTACCTCCCTTCTGGGCAGGTAAAATCATAAACCATTATCTTCTACGCGAGAGAATTGTCATTTTTTTGATTATCAGGTCTCCATGTAAGCTTCTTTTAGCTAAAGATTATGCCTTTTGACAAAACTGCATTACAGAAACAGAGAAGGGCATATTTAAAGCCATTTTGGAAGGAGATATTGACTTTGAAAGTCAGCCTTGGCCATCTATATCGTGTGGTGCCAAGGACCTAGTTCGGAAGATGCTGACACAGGACCCGAAAAGACGGATTACTTCTGCCCAAATTCTTGGTAGGTGCCTCCCAGCATCACATTCCACAAGACAAGTAATTATAGGTCGTGGAACTAATTTTCTTCAGTGATTTTATCGTACAATAGAACCTATACACATATATAACTAGAAGTGGCATCGCACTGAACAGTAATATTAAATATGCTGATCGAAATTAATTAAAAGAAGGTTGTCAATTACTGAAAGCAATTTGAGGGAGGCTATTGTGCTTGTTTTATGCATCATATGTTTGTCCATCTAGTTGTATTTTTTTAACTGAAATTTGAAATCTTACTCATTGATGTAGAGCACCCATGGATTAAAGGTGGAGAAGCTTTGGACAAGCCACTAGACAACGTAGTTCTCTCTAGGATGAAGCAATTCAGAGCAATGAGCAAACTGAAGAAGCTTGCGCTGATGGTATTTTCAAATATTCATCTATTCAGATTCCATTATACTACATTGCTCAGAAGTTATATGATTTTATACAAGCAGTATTTATAGACACCACATATCCTCTCTAAGGTCAGGAAAAAGTTGAGCGTTATCAATGGTCAGTATCTTTAATCTTACAGGAACTATGGATGTCGTAAATGACAACTTGGATTAAGGTTAGCTTGACTGACATAAGCTATGGTACCTGATCAGCTACCCGTTACTATCGTTTGAATGAGACATTGATTTAGTGTCAAAATGTTTTAACTCTTACCTCATGTTATGCAGACACACACGGTGACTATTGAGATCCCACCCATAAGGCACTTTTATGTTGCAAGCGTGTGTGTGCGTGTGGAAGGGGGATCTGAATAGTATTTATTATTTTCTAATAAAATTGGTGGATTTTGAAATCTATCCTAGGTCATTGCAAAAAATCTCTCTGCACGAGAAATTCAAGGGCAAGGGCTGGAAACAATGTTTATGAATATGGACACTGACAAAAGTGGAACAATCACATACGAAGAACTAAAAACTGGCTTTGCTCGACTTGGTTCAAAGCTCACTGAGGCTGAAGTTAAGCAGCTCATGGAAGCTGTAAGATATTAGTGAATGTTAACGTATCTTGTTGACTTGATTTTTGGTACTTCTACCTAATGGTCAATATATCTAAATACTAGGTTTTTCCACATTGCAGGTTGATGTGGATGGAGATGGGATAATTGATTTCACTGAATTCATTACTGCTACAATGCCTAAACACAAACTAGAGAGAAAGGAACGCCTCTACAAAGCCTTTCTGCATTTTGATAAATATAAGAGGGGGTGGGTTTCATATATGTAATTAATCTCTTAAAAGTGAATTCCCATGCTGCCTATCTTACAGTGCAAAATTCTATGGATGAGTGAACTCAAAACTTCCTTCGGATGTCATAGGTTCATTGCTCGAGATGAAATAGAAACAGTGATGAAAGAACGTGGAGTGGGCAGTGCAGCGACCATCAAGGAAATAATAGCTGAAGTGGACACAAATAATGTGAGTGAGTTTGGTTCTGATTTGAAAACCTGATGTTTTCACAAAACAATTACGCATCTTTGCTTATTATGTCAAATTTCCAGGTTGGAAGAATCAACTACGAGGAGTTTTGTACAATGATGACAAGAGGAACCTAGCAGCCTGGCAAGCTTTTTTAGTAAGATTGATGACTCTAAATGGATAGGCACTCAGTGAAATCATCACAAAACTACATTTGTTGATCAAATGGGACCTAAGGATTTTGAGATTTCCTCAAAACAGTCTTTTCATTGTAGCTTATGTGCATGACTCTTTGATATGAAAGGTTCGCTTCATTTTTGAGTGAACGATTTGTATATTTCTAATTTGTGTGCGCATCTGAGTCTTTGACTCGTTATGGTCTACTTTTCTTCTTTTTTTATTATATTTGTATCATTTGTAATCTAGACTATAAAACACAAATTATATTTGCAGTTTATAGAAGCATGAGATCTTGTTTTCAGTTTTGGAATTTCAGTTTTATGGTTTTTGATTTGATTTTAGGTGGATTTGGGTGAGATGAATAGATTAGTATTCTGATCCCCAAACTTACACAAAAATAACACAAACATGAAACTAGAATGTCACAATTCAAATAGAGGATACCCACATACCCGAATCATAACACAACGTTAATTGCCCTACTACCGATTAATCGCCCACCAGGCACCTTACTTCAATGAAATCTAGCAATAGCTCTCACCAACATATAAGCATTGGAACGGAGAGACTAAATAAGGTAACAAATTCCGAACACTAAATCCCCTGCCCCAGCAGCCCAATTGCCGGCGGCAAAGCCAACACTGATTCTGAAACCAGTTCAAAGGCTAGACACACTCATGGGTAAGCCATATGAATACGTCAAGCAACACTATAGTATTGGGAGAGAATTGGGTAAGGGTGAATTTGGTGTTACACATCTTTGTACCAAAATTTCAACTGGTAGACAATATGCTTGCAGGTCAATATCCAAGAAAATTATCTTCTTGCCTCAATTTTTATGACCCGGGAAATATAAATTAAACATTGTAGTGTAAATACTAGTGTTTTCCACATTCAGGTTGATGTGGATGGAAATGGGACAGTTGATTACACTGAATTCACTATGGCTACAATGCATAAACACAAACTTGAGGAAGAGGAACACCCCTACAAAGCTTTTCTGTATTTTGATAGAGATAATAGTGGGTGAGTTTCATATATGTAATTAATCTCTTAAAGTAAATTCGTATGCTGACTTCTTACAATGCAACATTCTATGGCTGAGTGAACTCAAAACTTCCTTCAGATGTCATAGATTCATTACAAGAGATGAATTAAAATCAGGGATGAAAGAACATGGAGTGAGCAATGCAGCAACAATCAAGGAAATAATAGCTGAAGTGGACACAAATAATGTGAGTGAGTTCGATTCTTATTTGAAAACCTGGTGTTTTCAAAAACAATTATGCATCTTTGCTTATTATGTCAAATTTCAAGGATGGAAAAATCAACTACGAGGAGTTATGTACAATGATGAGAAGAGGAACCCAGCAGCCTGGCAAGCTTTTCAAGTAAATATTGATGGCTCTCTAAAAGGATAGCACTGGGTGAAATCATCACAAAACTACATTTTTATACTATTAATAAAAGGAAGCTAAATGAAAAACTTTTAATTAGTTATAATATCCTTCATAAAATATTTAATTCCCTTCAACAATTTTTTTCCTTCTATAATTTATTACATACTCCTCTCTTATTTTTTCATCCCCTTAAATTAATTTTCTTTTAATTATTGATTTTAAGTCTAATGATGCTCATACCATTATGAGTAATAACAAAACACTACACTACCACCTTTTTGTTTCCCCACATAATGGACTCGGTAACTTTTGGTCTTCTAATTATAATCACATGAATTTATTTGAGGTTTTAATGTTTTTAGACCAAAAAATTTTTGTGGCTACAATAAAGCTTAAAAATTTTATCCTAATTTGATAATTGGGTTTTATGGACATGAAAAAAATCAAGAGTTTATGGTAACTACAAAAAAATTTTAAAATTTTTTCCCTCTTTCCTACTGGGTTTCGAGAATTGCTGTAAAAAATGTTCTTGCTTGATGAATTGTTTGATGTAAAAGTCTTTTTTCTATATCGTAAAACTCAATTCTTAGGTAATCACCTTCATCCTTATTTATGTGTAGGGGCTTGCATTTTTCCCAAAAATAAAAATAGCTTGTGGCTTATTCTTGTATCTTGATGGTTAGATAACTACTTTCAACTTCATCACTTTATTACTTTTTTTTTTTAATTCTATCTTGGAAAAAATATTTCAAGAAATCTGCAAAAGCATTAAACAATAAGTAGCTAGAGAAGTAAGATTTTATGATGCTCTTAGGTAAGCATGTGATGTATATGACATAACCGCATGTTAGATAGTCTATTTCTTCATTGAGTGTATATTTATAATACCAAATATAATTAGCTTTTACAAAATAATGATCAATATATGGACACTATATTTTTATTGAGTGTATATTTTATTGAATTTAATCATATTATTTTTGCTTAATACATGTCAAATTAAGGTGTTTGAATTAAAATAATCACAATAATTTATCGAATACTTTGATTGAATTTTTGTGTCAGAGGTTTACGTCTTGAGCTTTAAAGGCATTAGTTTATGTACATTTGAAAAATATTATTTATTTTGGCCCAAGCAAATAGAGATTGAAACTTTTCCAGCCTTTGTGATCCCCCACACTCTAAAAAAGAATTAAAAATTAAAATCACAATTTTATTGAGCTTAATTCAGCTATTTGTAATGTCAGAATCATTTTTTTTTAATTTTAGTGCTAAATAAAATATTCATCCTGAAATTGTTGTACACCAACTAGTACCGATCAAATGGGACCTAAGGATTTTCAGATCTCCTAAAACAATCTTTCCTTTCTAGCTTAGATGTATGACTCTTTGATATGAAAGGCTTCATATCATGTAGAATGAACGATTCGTATATTTCAAATTTCGTGTACGCCCATCCGAATGTTTGACTTGTTATGGTCTACTTTTCTTCTGTTTTGAAAAGATATTTATATCTGTACCATTTGAAAACTAGACTACGAAACATAAATTATGTTTGCAGTACATAGAAGCATTAGATATTGTTTTCAGTTTTGGTGTATCTGTTCTATGGTTTTTGACTAGACTATTTGAAAAAATGGTTCTCATGTTCAAATAGTAAGATTTCATGAATTCAAGAAACACACGGGTGAAAACAAGCATAAAACAACCAATGCCATTTCTTTTCCATGTTAATTTCAATTTAGTACTTACTACTAAGGACACAATGCAGAAGGAGTACAATCTCAAGAAATGAACCAAATGGCATAGGAATACTTAGCTTGTTGGTTGATCTGGTAAGCATTTGAGGTCCATTTCAACTTGGTGAATTGTCCATTGCATGTTTTCCAATTTCTGCGAGAAAATGATGAAATCAGAGTAACCACAAGAATTGAGTCAGAAACATATGTGCATGGGAACTTTAGTTTACCTTCACGATGTCTTGGTACTGCCTCACGATTAAATCAAAGTGTGGATCAACACCTTGATACTCTCGAAGACACGTAACCTGGTAAAAGTTTTACCCCTTATGAATTTTGCAATTCATACACACTCGCAGAGTTCCAAGACAATAACAATCCATAAAGAAAAGGAGACAGAAAAGGGCAAGATCAAAACAATGAAGATCCTAGATGTTGAAATACCAGTTTTCGAGTGATCAAAAAAAATATGACAGTTTGCAATATAGGATTATGTGATCTGCCAAGCACTAACAAATTTTCAAAGAAACATGGTTAATTCCTTTAATAAATGATAAAAAGAAGAGCCAAAAACAAATTAAGGTTTTCCTATTTAAAACATTAATATGTCTTTAAGATTTTCAAGAAAATGGTTAAAGGATGAGTTGATCTTCAACGTAAATTGCAAACTGATTTCCACACTAGCTGAGTAGACTGATTAACAACGACAAATACAGATGAACAGATATCTCTTCCAGACTGATAATTACTTCCCTATTATTAGTTTCTAAGCTTTCCATATACTTCAAAGAAACAGTATCGCTAATAACCCCGATACAACCACACAGACTAACAGACAAATAAAGTATGTAGCGATACGGTAAACACCAAATACTAAAGAAACATACTGCTTTATTGTAGGCAAGGGATCTAGCAATAGAGTGAACAACAAATACTACAGAAACATACCACTTTATTGTTGGCGAGGGAAGCTTCTTCTGTAGCTTCAACCAGAAATTTCCTTAAACAAGAGGTGAAATAGTCGAAATCTATCAGTGAATCATGAACAAAATACAAATTGGACATCCCCATCAACAAGTCACCGTTCTTCACCTTATTTTATGGAGTTCTGGAATCGATTCCTGAGTGTAAGTCTCACGCAGGAGACTATGCTCTAGAGCACTAAGACAACAATGAGACATAATGAAAAGAATTTATCATCATATAGAAATTGTGGAATCAACTATGGCTCAAAATTTTCATGATGTTAATTTGTTGTAATAAAAGGAAGAAAACTAATAAATAGAAAATCAGAATACAGAGGCAATTTTTTTTTGCAGAAGACTATATCATACAACAACCATTAATGTAGAAAATAGAACAAGGAGTTGCTGGGGCATAGAAACAATCTACAATTTTAGGGTAGAAACATATGAGTTTCTCACTGTTTGATTGTAGTTTTGACTCAAATTGAATTAAAATACCAAAAATCTACACTAGCAACTAAAAGTAGTTCTCCAAAACAAGGATCAAAATATCATTTTGAAATGATCGAAAAAAGCCAAAATGTTTTCATTTTCACTGAAATCGAAATAAATCAATGATTGAATCAAAATTACAATGTTTCAAGGTGTTTCAGATTGTTTCGATTTTTGAGATGTTTCGGCATGTTTTTATCAATGTTTCGGAATATTTCAAAGTGTTTCAAGGTATTTCAATATATTTCGAGCAATATTTTTGAATGTTTTGAAAATAAATTCTCAAATTTTTTATTCATTCCCATTATGTCTCCAAAACGTTTCAAAAAAATTTCAGAAACGTTTTTGTTCCTTAGGTAACCAAAACAATGTACCATTGTTAGATTGGGAATGAAGTAGAAGACGAAGTGGTTGGGTGGCTGATGATTGTTAGAACGTTAGTTAAAAAGGTATGGAAATTGGGTCTCCTTTGATTTGGGTTTATAAAAGGGTTTCCCTTCATTTGGGATGGGTACGAGCCTAACATTGGATAAGCATTTTAGACCATTTTTACCCAAATTTAAATTTGGTTACAAAAAAAGATCACCGGTCAGGCTGGAGTTGCCCTATGTGAATAACTTTCTGGAATGGCTTAGGTGAATTTTTTAGAATTCAACAACAACGACAACAATAATTATGCTCTTAGCTCCATATATGAAAACGTGCACATTATAAAATAGCAAGTAAAAAGAGGAGAAAATTAGAGGACAAAGAAAAATCCAAAAAAGCCATGGCCCATGAGTAAATGGAACTTTCTACTCATAGAAATTGTCCAATATTCCCAAAAACAAACCTTGTGAATCATCAAATTGGACTATACTAAATAACAAGCAGAATATAGAACAAGGCACAAAGACTTGCATAACAGAATAGGTACTAATATTTGATATAAGCCAGTTAGTACCTGAGACTTCAAAACATCAGAAAATCACAGCATCCCCGTGGACTTCACATTCATATAGATGATGATGTCCAAAATAACACAAACCTTTCTGGGAGCTGAGCAGTTGTATTTGGATTACCAGTTGAGGAGTCTGCTGCATGAAACATATACTATTATGCACATCATTAGCAATCTCCCATTAGATGTACAATACATGTTTATTGTTTCTGAGTAAGAGCACCCCCGAAAAAAAATCCTCGTAAAAGAATCTTGTAAAAAATTTGTCATACAGAAGCATTTGAAGTAATGCACATGACCATCAATGTACTTGACCACACAAACCATCATTCATAATGCCCAATCAAGTAGATTCTACACAAGGGACAAATCATAGGGATACAATCTAAATCCCAAAGAAGTTTTTATTTGTGCATGCCCACACATACACACACCACATTCACATATAAACGCGCGTGCGCGCACACACACACAGATGTAATATATAGGACTGACCAAAATCATCTAATACGCAAGCATCAGCTAAGTTATCACATTTAGCTTTCAACTGACTCTCAACTCCACGGAGAAGTGGCATCTGGTATTCTGCCATATCCTACAATGGCAAAGAATTGAATTGTTCCATAACCGTCATAAAAGGATTAACGAAGATCACTAAATGAATATATAGACAAACAATTTCACGAGGCTATATATCATTATATCAAAGTAAAATGATTTGCGAGTGTTTCAACATAATGCAGATTGCCGGGGTTAAGGACTCTCCAAAGTACACCAGAAATTTCCTAAACCACATTGAGCAATATTGCATCATGGGTACCATACCATACATAATGGTGAATGTTGAAGCTGAGTTTGCCGTAAGTAAGCAGCTGTTATTCCAAGGAATCGATTTGGAGGACCACCAACTCCAGGTTCGGCAGCATCAACAGCACTGCCAGACACAGCATTGTTTGCTGTAACACTAGTGCCAACTGCAGAAATATTTGTGTAGTTCGTTGAGTTTGAGCTTATAGTGAAGCTGGTACTCGTACTATCAAGGGAGCTTCTTGACATGATACTCCATTTCTCAATTTCTTCCTCTTGAATCTCACCATCTTTAGAAATAAGAGGAAGCCTCAACCGCTGAGCTGCTTCCGCAACAGCCAGCTTGTGCTCAAGAGCCTCATAAACCTGAAAGAACATGGCTATCTTATCCTGGTTCTTGTCAAATTAGACCAACTGGCACTATCTGGAAACAAAGCTAAGTAAAAATCTCGTATAATTTTTCAAATTCCTGCTAGCAGTCATTAGTTGTCCAGCTTTTAATCATCTTTTTGGAAGGTTGTGATGCTTGATGACTATATGTTCAACTAAAATACAGGAGACAATTTGTTTTTTTGTAATATGGCTACTGATTACACTCAAAGGTGTATCAAATGGCATCTAATGTTGCTCAGATCAGCATGTCCTATTCACACATTTCAAACGCCAAATTTACATGTACGGAATTAGGAACAAGTGTAGCTCAGATGTTACTTATTGACCACATAGTTCACCCTTAAGTAAGAACTCAAATTGCAATCATCTACTTTGGCATCATTTATTCAAATCAAAGAATACATAGATTATCTCTTATGTCGCCCCTACAAAACACGACACTTTTAAGTAGAAACAGAACTCAAATGATAAAAAGACCAAAACCTGAGGAGAGTTCTTCAAACCAAGCTGTGGATATAGACCCTGAACATCTCAAATTCCTCTGAGGTTAGCCACCGAAACAGCCTGCTGAAGCTCTTCAACCATTGCATTTGCCTCACAATATATTGCCTATATTAACCCCAGCACCAAAAGTATAGCACAAATTAGGAATGGAGCAGATGGCAAAATGACTAACAATTCAACCAACTCGCACAGAACCCTAATTCCTTTCCAGGCAAAAACAGTCCCAAGCCAATGTTTAATTGGACGAGAAGAATATGACCATAACATTACCATGGCTTCTAAATACCGTAGTCTCGCTCTCGACATTTCCTCTCTGGCCTGCAGAATCAACCAAACAATAGTCAAAATTAAATACTTAAATAAACGATCTAAGTGGACGAAATTGAGACTAAAAACGTAGATATTTTAGATGAATCGGTCCGTTTTGGTTGACGAAAAGAGGAAGGAATGAAGCAAGACAAATTTCCTCATACAACATTTTCCCTGCAGCCAAATTCAGTCTAATAGAGAATGCGGATCTGAGGAAAGAAACTAGAGAGAGAGAGAGAGTACAAGTTGGAGATCGTAGAAGGCGGATTTGGAGACGAGAGATCCATCGGAGGCCAAGCAGTGTCGCTCCAACTGATCGATCACCTGCGTAACGTCGGTCGGTAGGTTTTGGGCAGCTACTCCCTTCGCCATTAGTATGATTTCTGTTAGAATTCAGAACTGACTGAACTATACAAATTGGCTCTCCATTTTGAAAACGAACTTCTGCATTTCAAAAACTGATCTCCCTCCCTCCTGCTGGCTCCAAACTAGCAAGACAGTAACGATGATTAAACGCCCCCTCCCCGGGGCTGTGAAGACGATGTCGTTTTGTGTGGTCTCTGCTTTTTTTGTTATTTTTGGCCCCTTTAACATAATTTTTATAATCCCCACTTTATCCCTGAATTACAGAGTGTAAAAATTTCGTACTTACGAGTAAACATTGGAGGTAACCATTGGATAAGAAATAAGAAAATAATAAAATTGATAAAATAAAATTTGCTTTCATGAAAATTATCATATATTACATGACTGAATGGTTATGAATTTTAATTAAACTCACTTGTTAACTTGTTTACCTATTAATGAACGATTACTCCGCGTTATGACAACAAATAATTATGAGTTTTAATGAAACTCACTTGCTGATTTGTTTACCTATTACTGAATAATTACACCACATCATAACAATACTGACGTAATGTCACGATTACACCCAATATTTTTTCCTCGGTAGACTTGTTTATCCCCTTCCTCCTATCAAGAATATGGACGCACCCACTCCCGTTGATGAACGAAGGGAAAGGCTACTGAGAGCATAGATACATCATTGTGGAAGCTCCATTTGTATCTCCTTCTAGCAAACCCCATCAGAGTCTCTCTCTCTCTCCCCCAGAACCGCGGGCACACCTACACACATTCACACACACTGAGAGTCCAACGTTTCATCTGCAAACAGGCCTATAAGGAGGGATCTGGTCCTATTCACCGCTGCATATCATGAATGAAAATACCAAGGGCATTCGGGGCTGGAGAAGACATAACCATGGAACATAGCATGTCCAAGCTGTCCCGGGCCTGCGCAAAATCACAAAGAGCGACTGGCCCCAACTTTCATATATGTTCTGGCGGAGTGCAGCCGTTCCATCATGTTACTGCTACAAACATAAAATAAATTGCGTACATAGAAGCATAAAAACATTGACATCAAATGAAGCGACCAGAAAACTCAAAAACATCACCACCATCACAAAATTGAGAAATTGACTATGCAGAGAAGTAATCACTTGGAATTCAACCTTTTATGCCAACAAACCAAGCAAGAGCTACATGAAATTGAAACACTCTTCATCCCAATGAACAAGGGATTCTGAGGCAGAGAGAAATGTGCTACTCTCCTGTTATTATCGATCCTGGACTGCAGAACAGAAAGGGAAGAAACCTTTGCAAGCAATCATAATTTAGTGTTTCTATGGTAACACATTGTTTCCGGCAAAAAACATCTCAATGGATACCCAAGAGATGAAGAAATCATTCAGCCAAAGCTCCTTCACTCACTGTTTAATCAGGTTCCGAATGACATAAGGAAGAATGCCACCATGATCAAAATATGCCAACTCAACCTGCAGAAGCAATCAAATGACGTCATAATCAGACAAGAAGAAATGGCTAAACCGTAACATGGCAAACAGTTGGCCAGAGCTAAAAAATTTATTCCTATTTGAAAAGCAGAAAGTTAACCAGAGTTATTATTTAAAACTTAAAAGTAGTTCTACGACACATTGGTATTATTATTTTTTAACTAATTAGATAGTTATTTTTAAGTCTAGATGTGCTATACAGTCAATCAACCAGATATAGCTTGTGAGAAATTCTTTCCATTTGAACACCACCCCCAAGTGATTATTGACCATAAGTTTTACAAGTGTCCCAGCATCCTATCCGAAAAGGAAGGATAGCATTTTCCTGAATAGGTTTTTTTGTCAACTTCTCTAACCAGGAAAAGCTTCATGTAAGTGCATTTATGTGCACCATTCAATTGGGAAGCAAACAATGATATATCATTTTTTGATGTATCATTTTTCATCATTTTAAATCAATAAAGTTGTATTGTTTCCTATCAAAAAAATTGGGAAGCAAACAATGTGACATACCTCTGTGTCAAAGCGGGCTATACAGGTAAAAGATTTGCCATTGTCAGTTGTAACATTAACATCTTGGCCAGGCCTTATCTCACTGACATTGCTGGGGAGGTCTATTGTGTAGCGCTCGTGGCCTGTCAAGCCTAGTGAGTCTGCATCCTCACCGGGTTTGAAACAAAGTGGAATAATGCCCATCCCAACCAGGTTACTGCGATGAATTCTCTCAAAACTTTTGGCAATCACTGCTTTTACTCCCTGACAGAGAAAGTGATAAGCAAATATAAAGAGTAAGAAGAGAACAATGTCAGCCACAGCACATCCAAGTGCAAGACATTTCTGAGAAACAAATGCCAACTCACCTGTAGCATTGGGCCCTTGGCAGCCCAATCTCGAGAACTTCCACTTCCATATTCTGCTCCAGCCAGAACAATTGTGTCCTGCCCGGCAGCCTTGTACCTCTGGAACGATCAGATTGCACACTCAATTCAGTACTCAACAAAGAATAATTAAGACAAGGTGATTGGTATTTTTCACTTAAAAAGAAACCATTCATCCCACCCACCCCCTCTCTTTTTTCCTTTCTTTGAGGAAGGGAGAGAGACAGAGAGATGAATTGATGAACCCATAAAAGATTTTATACTCCAGATAGCGTGAATGGATTCAGCACACCATAAAGTTTCATGCCCCAAGTTTATTTATGGGGAAAGGAGAAATAAAAACCTTTTCAGAGTAATTGGAGGTGCAAGAAAACTTCGCCCAACAATTTCTCCAGTTGACTGAATTTGGATTTTCAGAATAACGAGTGTACAAAAATAGAAGGCATCTTCACAAGAACCCTATTTGTGCTTTTATACATATTGCATCAACCAAGATTTAACTTAATTAGCTGTGAGATTCTAATTGTCCATACTCTTCCTCTGGTTTCATTGTGAACTGACAGAACATGAGGTCGTTAATATTCATTCCAGTTCATTGATTTCCCAAAATCAGATTTGTAGTATTCACCAAGCAATAAACACTTATTCGCCAAGAGAACAGAAGTAACAATATTTGAAGTCTCTGCAATCAATTTGTTGCATTAAAGGTTTCTCCTACTTTTTTCTGCTTCTTGGCATATACAGACACAAGAAACAATATATAAAGTCCTAGCAATCACTTATGGCATTAAAATGTTCTCTTAATTTCTTCTTCTTCTTGGTGCACACCCACATAGAGCATGAAAGATGCCACTGGTCAGTCCCATTACTAAGGCTATATCACATTTCTATTGGAGGGAAGAATTTGTATTATATAAAATAAAAGGTTAAATGAAATCACATAAAGCACTATTAGCATCAAATGGGAATTTACGAGAGGGTTCAGGAATTTTACAGATTGCAGGCTAACATATGCCTCAAACCATTGCATAACCAAATAAATATGCAATACACCAGATAAAGAAAGTAGAACAATATTTAATAACACGGAACTCACCATTGCTGCATCAAACACAGAAAGTTTCTCCCCTGTTGGAATGTGAATGGTCTTTGGGCCCACTTCTCCTTTCAAGAGCTTGTTGACAATGCGAATGTTGGCAAAGGTACCCCTAGCCATCACTTCATCATTGCCACGACGGCTACCATAAGAGTTGAAGTCCTTGCGATCTACCCCACGCTCAAGGAGGAACTTTGCAGCAGGGCTGTCCCTGTGGATACTCCCTGCTGGGGAAATATGATCAGTGGTAATACTGTCACCAAAGTTCAGCAAACAGTAGGCGTCTGTAACTCCATGAGGACCTGGGGGGTCCATGGTCATGTCCTTGAAATATGGGGGTTGATGAATGTAAGTTGAGTTAGAGTCCCAAGCATAAAGACTGGAAGAAGGGACTGAAAGCTGATTCCACATTGGATTGCCCTTTGTGATAGCTTCATATGTGCTCTTGAACATTTCGGGCAGCACACTTGATTGAACAACCTTAACATATCGGGCAGCACTTTTTAGATTAGTTGCACTCTATAGCGAGAAATAATCTTGATGTAAATTAATTAAGAAAACTACAAAGGCCTACCTCTGCAATCTCTTCATTACTTGGCCATATATCCTTGAAGTATACACTCTTGCCATCCTTCCCAATTCCAATTGGCTCAGTTTCAAAATCAATGTCAACCTGGAAAACATAAATTCAAAAGACTATGATTGAGCATGAGCTTCAGGCACCATTAGTTTTCTTTTTTCTTTTATTTCATCTTACTTTGTTTTTGTGTGGGTAAAGGAAGCTATGTAGTGTTACAGAAGCATAAGAAACAGTAGACCTGTCCGGGGTTCTGTCTCGCCAGAATGTTCTGTCTGGGTGGTTAAGCCCAGTTTGAACATAAAGAGGAGCATCAAACCATACCAGTCTCTTTTGATCTATGGACATAGAAAGTCAGAACAATGGCATCACTGTCTAAATTCTAATAAAAAAGGTCAGCACTGGTGCTGCCCATCAAGTGTACCCAAAATTAAGCGGACAGATGTTAGAAAGGCATTAGGCACCTAACCTGGCATGTCCACCATAAAACCATTTTGGCAAAAGCACTGGTTATATATCAATTATGTCTTCTCAAACAACAAATCCACTTTTATACTTTGTACCATTAAATAGTGTTATAAAATGGCAACATAAGCACCATGTCAACATTAATTCTGCAATTTCCAATTGGAACTTCTATTTCCATGCCGAACAAAAGCATTTCATTCCACAGTATGGACTATGGAGGTATTAAACACTTGAAAAAACAAATGCATAGGACATACCAACTACTTTTTTCGGGTAACATACCGTGCCAGCAAGCGCATACGCCATGACTAACGGAGGTGAAGCAAGATAGTTAGCTCTTGTAAAGGGATGTACGCGACCTTCAAAATTCCGGTTTCCAGAAAGCACCGCAGCAGCAACAAGATCTGTAAAAGAAACCATAAAAGCACTAGAGAAAAGTAGCAACAGCATTAAGAAATAATTAGAAGTCCTGTAATGGTGCCAGCTACTGAAACTTTTAAAAAAGAGGAGCCCACTTGTTGGTAAAAATTCCTTTAGAAATATCATTTTTGCTCTGCCAGAAAACCTCGATAATTCCATGTGAAACCAAAGTATCATCCAAGAGGTAACTCTACCAATACCAGAAATTTCTACATATTTCCTCGAACGGTGAATCATTGGTTTCTGCATTACTAGGTTGTGCCTATGCATTGACATATGCTTTGAATGTCCATTAGAATAACTCAACCAAATGCACTATTTGATATTGCAAATCCATCTCGAATGTAAATTTCTCAAAAAACATCCTTGCTCAACTGCAGTCACCACAAAAACCTATTTGTGATGTTTAATGATATTGCTATGTGAGCTGATAAAAAAAATGATATGTTATTTCACTGCCTTCTGCATTTTATGACTACATATAATAATTGCTTATTTCTCCCTTGGAGAAGAATGAAGAGGCTGGCATAAAAATAAAGTGCCATGTATTAAATAATATAATGCCTCGGCCCTCTGCCATCAACAAACAAGAAAAAGGGAGTTTTATCATTGAGTTATTATATCAATCATGGTTCTGGTACTGGAAGGTGCAGTCCAGAAACAATATTATTGATGAAATAGGCATTTTAAATGAAAATGTTTGGACAGCTAGATGTAAATCAATTAATTGATGGGAAACCATATATAATAACAGAGGACAAGGTGCAACCAAATATCTCATGGTTATGAGCCTAGGCAATACTATATCATAAGGACTGGTATAATTGAATTTGCATGTGCTACAAGCCTACAACAGGTTGGGTAAGCCAACTGGCGTCAAAAGTTGCAAATACAACACACCTACATTCCAAAAACTCTGCATATATGGCTCTAAATTGAACAGAGAAATGAAATGCATACCCATATCACCAGATTGACCTATCAATGGAACAAGAGTTGATATTGTTTAAATTACAATCAAAGTGCCATATGCCCACTTATTATGACAAACTGTCATCACGTCATTTAGAACTACTGTTGGAAATTGCCCCATACGTTTCATTTTCCCTGTAGCACCAATATACATGTGCTCTAGGAATCGCCAAAAACTTGATATGACTGTTAAAAAATGACAGTAAAGGCCCTTATTGATTTTATTTCTTAAGATGATGATAAACTTCTATTTATGTACTGCAGAACCAGAAAAACATAAATGACAATGATACCATTGTCCGTAATTGCAGAAGCAACCGATTCATCAAGGTCCCCAGAATTTCCAATGCATGTTGTGCAGCCATAGCCAACAATGTGAAAGCCCTGCTGATTCAAGTACTTTTGCAGCCCACTACAGACATTAAAGTTTTCAAAAAAAGAAAAAAAAAATCAATGTCCGATAGAAAACAGTTTACCATAACAAAAAGAGCACTCATAATAGTGACCAGTACCTCTGAAGCAAATATTTAGTAACAACCCCAGAACCTGGGGCAAGGCTTGTCTTTACCCATGGTTTAACCTGTTGAATAATCATGCATAAGTACTTGATAGAAATCATGCTCCTAAAAATCAGGTTTCCATTTTGAAGGTGGAATCAGGTAACCTGCAGGCCTCCCTCCTCCAAAACACCTCCACACTCCCCAACAGAAGAAAAAATAAATAAATAAAGGTAAAACAGGGAGAGAGAAAAAAACCCAGAGAGGCCATCTATGTAGTGATTTTCTATACAAATCACAATTACTATCACAACCTACAAAGTAAAGTAGCACAGTCAATACAAACCTCCAATCCTAATTCACAGGCCTTCTTAGCTACAAGACCAGCTCCAAGCATGACACTGGGGTTCGATGTGTTTGTGCAGCTTGTTATTGCTGCTATGACAACGCTACCATGCTTGAGCTCTGCAGACTGTCCATGAAATGAAAATTTTACAACTTTGTCCTGAGCCTCCTTTGGTACAGCAAAGCCCTGCAAACATTAGGAAACAAAACAACATTAGAAAGCAGACAGCTAGAAGACCTGAGAACGTGACTCAACCCACATTGTCTTTCATGTGCCCTCTTCACACATCGTACTCTTTGTTTAGATAGTCGCTTACTACAATATTAGTTACAAAATAAGGCAAAATAACAACCAAAAGAAAAAAAAAGGTAAATTGTGCCATGTTCACATCAGGGACATGAAATCCCTTTGAGAATTAGCTACTGATGTGAATCAAATTGCAAGGATCAAAATTTTGTTTCGAAACGGTCGAAATATCTGAAACGTTTCCATTTTCAAGGAGACCGAAACGAAACAGTGATGAAATCGAAATTCTAATACTTCGAGGTGTTTCATAATGTTTCAAAGTGTTTTGATGTTTTGTAATATTTCAATGCATTTGTACAATTGTTTCGAAATGTTTCAAGGTATTTCAAGATACTTTGGTATATTTCGATCAATGTTTTGAAAAAATAATTCTTAATTTTTTATTTTTTTCATTCTGTTTCCGAAACACGTCGAGATGTTTCCATTTTCTAGGTGACCGAATCAATACACCGAAACAAAATTTTGATCCTTGCACAATAGACATGGCACAACACCCGGAAAAACTCAATTACAATGAATCTAGAGCTTAACATGTTTGCATCTCACCTTGAATCCAACTTTGTTATCAAGGCATGAATGCCAGTCAGACTTCATATCTTTCAAAAGAACTCGGTCATGAGGCCTAATAACAGGGAACAAGGACCATAAGTCTGAAAAGAAATACATTAAAAGTACAACTAACAAAAATCATGCATGAACTCTACATCAAAGTTTACCGTTTTGGTCCCGAGACACAGGGTTCAACATCAGCTAGGTCTAATTCCAGGTAAGATGAGTACACTCTTTCTTGTTGAGGCTGGATCATATCATCCCCTAAACTTAGATTTATAAAGTAAAAATATATCAAAAGATAGCAGAGGAGAACAAGAAAAAGGTTCTACCTCATTGTAGTCAATAAACATTTTATTTGCACGCAAATATGCTTCAATCATTGCCACCTGATAAATAGAGGCGAAAAAATGGTTACAACATAGCATACGAATTCCCGCAAAAAAAAATTTTGAATTTAGCAAATATGAAAACACTTAGCAATGGAAAATTCACCGTCTCATCACTTCTTCCGGTAAGTTTAAGGTACTGTAATGTGACGTGATCCACAGGGAAGAAGCCCATGGTTGCTCCATACTCGGGGGACATATTTGCAATAGTTGCCCTATCAGCCAATGATAATTCACCCATGCCCTCACCTACATGTAAATTCATAGAAATTAGAACGGCCACAACAGTAGTAGAGAGAGATGTCTGACCATTGAAATTTTTAGGAAGCTGTACACCCTTCCAAAAAAATTAAAAAGAAAATCTAATAAGCCAGTTCCATAAATAGTGGCATTACCATAGAACTCAACGAACTTGCCAACAACACCATGCTTCCTCAACATTTGGGTCACAGTTAGAACCAGGTCTGTAGCCGAGACACCGTTGAGCAATTTTCCAGATAACTTGAACCCAACAACACCAGGAAGAACCATGCTCATAGGCTGTTAAATTTACAAGAAAATCATAGCATCAACGGAAACACAAGACACTCAATAATGCATGTGTGTCTGTCTACCCAAGAAAATGCAAGGGCATATACTATGGGCTGAGTGCAGAAATGCAGGTGAAAGTGTAGGCATGTGAATGACTGATATTCCAACAATATGAACCGAAAAAGAAAAAGTAATCTTATATTGGATAAGATTATTTCATAATGCAGAAGGCCCCTGGTTAAAGGATTTAAAATGCAACTGAGATACTGAAGAGTGGCTATGATGAGGTAGTAAGCGGAAAATACCTGGCCAAGCATTGTTGCCTCTGCTTCAATTCCTCCAACACCCCAGCCAGCAACTCCTAACCCATCAATCATGGTTGTATGAGAATCAGTTCCGACCACACTATCAGGGTAAAGTATGCCATCAGTGTTGAAAACAACCCGTCCAAGGTATTCCAGATTAACCTATTGCATTATCAGAGCAACTTCCTCAGTGCCAAATCCATCAAATATAATGTTGTTTCAACAAAAAAAAAAAGGGAAATAAAGATGAAAATAATGAAGAACAAAAAAAGAGAGAAGTAAAAAATGAAAACACTCAAGCAACGATAGTAAACATGATAATTTTCTTTTGCTGCGCTGGACTAAAAATTGACAAGCTGTATAATGATTTAGGCTTGACCAGCAAACACTGCAGTGCTACAACACACAATGAGTTGAAAAGTGTAAGACTAATTTATGTTCTTTCCTTTGGCCATCCACCACTTGGCACTTGCATTAAGTTAAAATACAACCTTTGCTTCTCTGAGGAAACTACACACATCATCTAATAAAGAATGGTCCTTTATACAATTAATACGAAAAACTTTTACCTGGTGGACAATACCAGAACCAGGAGGCACGACAAGCATATTGCAGAAGGCAGTCGATCCCCATTTAAGAAAAGCAAACCTCTCGTAGTTTCTCTGGAATTCAAGGTCCATGTTTGCCTGCACTGCATTTTCGGATCTTGCCACATCGACCTGTACCGAATGATCAATGACAAGGTCCACAGGAACCTGTACACAATATCTTATATTAGACCATGTGATAAGGAAAACGACAATGCCCGTCTACAAGATGGCCACGGAAATCAGACCCATACATGTTTACAATTAGTTCAAGATAACAAATATGCCGAGTGCAAATGACAAACATTTTCTACTATTTTAATGATGCTGCTCTTGCTGTTTGTCCCCCTCGTCGTTGATATGCAATAGCGATAAAAACTATATGCATAACAAATTTAAGATTGAATATAAGGTTCTTACATAATTTCTGATTCTAGCACAAAATGATGTCCCACAGTCTCACGGATTATGACAAGATGTAGGACAACTGCAGACTGAGAGAAGTCAAAGGTATCTACAGATAAAGGGAAAAACTGCGTACCAATGGATTGATCTTGTTGGAGTCACTGCCAAGATTGTTCATAGCATCCCGCATAGAAGCAAGGTCAACCACAGCTGGAACTCCAGTAAAATCCTAAACAGCAAACAAAGCTTAGGGAATGGAATATAAATATAAAATTTAAATTATCACTGAGGTCATGTCATTTAACCTGTAAAAGAACACGAGCAGGCTTAAAGGGAATTTCAACTTGCTTTGGTGAAGTATTTTCCCAATCAATGATCTTCTCAACATCTGCCTTAGTAACTTGGAAGTTGTCACAATTACGAATTGCAGATTCCAAAAGTATCCTGATGGAGTACGGCAGCTTTTCTGCAAAAAAGAACGAACAAATAGAAAGAGAAATAATGAGTGAAAGAATGAAAAATTAAAACACTGAGCCTCATTAAATAATGATGGCAGTAGCAATATTAATAATGATAATTACAACCTCAACAGGAAATGTTTGGGTGGCTTTCTAATTCCATAAGCTATATCTGACATAACTACAGGAAAATGACCTATGATGACGATACTCATAGGATAAGGCCGCAATATTCATCAAAAGAACTTAACCAAAGATATAGGCTCAAGAAAAGGAACCACCGACGATTATCAAATGAGTACAGGTTTTGAATTCATACCAACTCTTGGATCATTTAGAGCGGGAAGGCTGTAAAATTTTCCAAACTCGCCACCTCCAGGCTTGGGAAGACCCATTAGGATTCCATTGAAATGATGTTCAGGAGCTGGAAAAACATCAGTGAGAAATGAATCAAGTTCTGAATTCTCAATATTGGATGCTACAGTATCATAAAGTCTAAATTCATGACAAATACAAAGGCAAAAATGAAGTGAATCAACTAAACCTAAAACAGTTCTATTCAAAAATACATTAACAATCACCAAAACAACTACGTCAAGAAATTAACCATGAGCCCACGATTCAACGGCAATTGTGATCAAAAGAACCAATGCAACACCCATAAGTGAACATAGATCTACTACATCAAATCCATCAGCTATTACGAAGCACTGAATCACCCAATACAAATTATGGCAAATCTAATACCATAAAATTGCGATACAACAACTAATTTCAACAAATCAGAATTAAAACAAAATCAACGATACCCATAGTTGCGATCTTGCGCTCGAAGCGTTCAAGGACAGGAGCGGCGGCTCTGATGGAAGCCCTAAGACTAACCGGCGATCTCCAGTCAACACCGTGACTCCACCGGGGTACAGAGCACCGGAGAGATCGAATGGCCGAAGAAAAGCTAAGCGATCGATAACTCACAGAAGTAGGCGACGATTGAAGAGACGAAACCGAGGTTCCAGAGAGAGAAGGCGAAATTGGATATGGTGAAAATGAAGAAGTGAGAGTCGATGCCCAACGAACCCTTGAAGCTCTAAGAAGTGCAGATGATGATGATGATGATAACGAACAAGCGGGTGCATACATCACGATTTTGAATATGGTTTTTTGTCTAATTGTCAGAAACCCTAAATACAAAAAAAAAAAAAAAAAACACCCTCGAAATTATATAAATCTGAAGGTGTTGTGACGGATCGAGCTGTGACTGTTCATGGCCCTTTGGCAGCTTCTGGTGAATAGTGTATAGGGAAAATTTTACTTTATATCATGAACATTTAAAAAATTGGAAAAATTTCAACCACATCCTTATAATTTACCATATCCTCAATAACACCTCTTATTTTTTAAATTTTCACTCACACCTCTGTGTGATTAAAAATATTAACTAGAATACAATTTTACTAAATTGTCCATGATATATTTGAGGACAAACTCCATTCACACTCCCTCTAGATAAGCATATTTTCAATGAGAACCGGCTGTTTTTTAATTTTTTTTATGTATTAAAATTAGAGCTTATTAAAATTCGATTTAAACTAATTAAAATTTATTTTTTTACATATTAAAATTTGATCCAATTTAAATTTTTTTTTTTACATATTCAAATTTGGGCTAATTAAAATTCTATTTAAGACAATTAAAAATTATTTTTAATCTACCCAAATCAAATTTTAATTCACTCTCATTGAATTTTAATCAGTCGAAATTTTAATCGACTCAAAATTGAATTTTAATAGGCGCTAATAACTTGGGTAAAGTTCAAATCGGCTCAAATTTTAATATATTAAAATATAAATTTTAATAAGCTCGAATTTTAATTGATTCAAATTTTAAGCTTGAATTTTAATAAAATTTTATGTAGAAAAATTATTTGAGGTTTATGTAGTGACATTTTTTTGTATTTTAGATGAATTTGTTTTTGTTATAAATGATAGTTTAATGATAGGGGGTATTAGTGATGTTTAAATATAACTAGAAAGAGTTTTAACGATGTTTTTTATAATAAAATGGGTGTCCTTTAAGATATAGTAAATTAAGAGGGGGTGTGACTAAAATTTTCTCTAAAAAATTTTATTTCATACCCTCAATGTTTAAATTTTTCCCATTACACTTTTAATGTGTTAAAAATGTTACATTCAAGTTGATTCGAGCTCAACCTAAGCTGCTAGCACTGATTAAAATTTGATTCGAATCAATTAAAATTTAGGTCAAATAAAATTTGATTCAAACTGATTAAAATTTATTTTTTACATATTAAAATTTTAGTCAATTAAAATTTGTAATTTTTTATCTATCAAAATTGGGGCCAGGTAAAGTTCAATTTGAACTGATTAAAATTCGATTCGAGCCCTCAAATTTTAATTAGCTTGAATTAAATTTTAATACTTAAAAAAATTTAAAAAATAAAGAGAGGTCTTTTAAACATATGCCTATCTAAAAGGGTGTGGATGAATTTTTTTTTAAAATATATTATAAATAACATAATAAAATTAAATTCTAGTTAATGTCAGGGAGGTCAGTGATATTTTAGATAATAAAAGAAATCTTATTAAGATATGTCTATTTAGAATGGTGTCAATGATAATTATCTTAAATTTGTAAGTGCAAAACGGAATCCTTCATTCTTTATGCAATTTCTCTATTGTTTTTATTTTGGCTGACATCATTTATACAATTTCTGAGGACCATGTGTTTGACGGGAACGTGCATTGCACAAGCCGACCTACCCAAAAAAACCCAACTCAAATAAATTTTTGGCATTGGAGCAAAAACTAGCCATATTCTGATTAGATTTGTTTTTTTTCTTTTCTTTTTTTTTTTTTTTTTTGGGGGTGGGGGGGGGGGGGGGGGGGGGGGAGAGAGAGAGAGAGAAAGAATTCCAATTTTTATTAGATTATAAATGAGATTAAAATTCGGACCTTACTCAAATTGGAGCATTAGATTTTCAAAACTCAATCCAACCAAACCAACCCGAGTGCATCATATTCACCGCAACTCAAGTTGAAATGAACCTAAAATTCAACGAATTTTTAATCCTGTAATTATACCCAAATTTCATCTCGATTTGTAAAATCATAGTTTAATTACAAGTCATAGTTTAAAAATCTAAACACGGGCAATACTCTAAATGACTATTTGGTAAAGGAGTATAAAGAGACTTACTGAGATAAGTTTGGAAAAAATAATTCAAAAGATCTCTAAACCCCATATTTGTTTTAAAAATTCAATCTCAGGTTCTCAAATCTGACTCGTAACTAGCCCGAATATTAAAACCATGATCATGAGTTTCCTTAATCCTAGAGGGTGGGTTTGAAATAATAGGTTAAAGGGTTAAGAATGTAAAAAATAATTGTATCTCTAAATATAGATATGAATTAGATTGATCAAGGATAAAATAGTCATTTACAGGATAAATAGTTGTTAATAATTATAACATATCCATGAGTCTTACATGTGTATATATTACATACCAAACATAGGTATGGACAGAATTTAATGTTGAATCTCACATTTATAAAGAGGAGTTTAAATTTGAAAAGGTTTGAGGAAGTCAATCAAAATCCTCCCCAAAAATCCATCCAAACAAGTCTTGATGGTAGAATCTAGGATGAGTTTGGCTTGAAAATTACATAAGTGGTGTTCGAACCCGAATTTCATATATGGATTTGCACCGCAAGTGTTGGTTTATTTTTATGGAGTCTAGTTTGTATATGTGATCCGGATGATGACCCGACCCGAAATAATGTTGTGTGGTTTTTAATGAAAAATTTTCTGAGGCTTAGTCCATGGAGCGAAGGCTTGGGAATTTTTTTTGGGCCCGTTATACAGCCCAGTGCGTAGGACATATAAACCCTGTTGTTTTGGTGATTAGGGTTAATTTGTGGATGGTACAACCGCTCTCTGTATTCAACTCTCTCAATAGTGAAATCCCTGCAGCTTCGTGGACGTAGGCAAATTGCCGAACCACGTAAAATCTGTGTCTTGTTCTTTCTTGTTTCTTATTGCTTTATATTCTTGATTTGTTCTTCGATTGTGTGTGTTTGTTAGTGGATTTAAATAGTGAGAAATCCCAACAGCAAGCACACAAATCTAGCTAAAAAATACGCACAATCTATCTACCAAAAATGTGAAAAGAGAATGTTCAAGCAAGATAAATTTAAGTAATACTGAAGAGTGTGTATTCTTCGTGTGCCAAAGTGATTTCAATGGGTGGAGCCAGTTGAATCTGGTTGATTGGTTTGGAGTTGCAAACTTAGAGAGAATGATCATGCTAATAATATTCATGAATTCTGGCAATGAGTGATGATTATCATATCGGTGGTTGCCATGTCCCGGGTGTGAAGGATTCGCCAGATCCTGTAGGCTCCGAAGACCTGAAAACAAGGTTGTAAAACCATGTTCAGTTGATACTTGGATGTATAGATCTTAGAAGCTGGTACTATTATTACTGTGGCATTTCTAGTCTGAACAATAGAGTACTTTTGCGGTAAGAATGGTAGATATAAATATTGCACACGGGTATCCAGTTTCCAGAAGTTTAAAATGACATGCAAGCGTGCACACAAAACGCCCATGCTATAGCTAAAACAAGTGAACTTACTCTGGCTGCTGTTTCGCTTGATGAGCGACTTTAATCTCTGTTCCCATTTCTTTGGGGCTCCTGCATATTACATGATGACACTATGTCAGAAGCAGAAGCATCTTCATATAAACCAAAACTACGCGAATCTGAGTATATGTATATGCGAAATAGAAGTTGTAAGGGAAAAAATAAAAAAGAAAATGGCTACTGAGAGTGGGCAGCTTCACAACATGTAGCACTCCTGATGAAAAGAAAACTAAAATACATAAGAAATGAAAAGTAAAGACAATTGAAAAAGGTGGGATTTGATCTCAAGATCCTGGTGTGACTATGTGAAGACTTGACCAACTAGGATAATTGACACTACCTCGTCTTTTCTCAATTTTGGAAAAACAAACTAAAACCAGCATAATGGATGCATATGTAATAGTTGTAATTACGAATCTTTCAGATGTTTTGTTGAGCTATAGACATAGCTTACTCACCTCAAGCCACCTCTTGCATCAGATGCTTCTTTGATTGTATCACCTTTGAGAAACAAACAAAAGTCAAAAAAAATACAAACCAACAATATTGTTTCTGTCAATCAGAATTTTAACTTAAAAATGGAATTAGAGCACAATAGAGAAGCAACAACCATGTAGCCATGAGTTGAGTATGTTAAGCCACTTACATCTTTGGATTTTGAATGCCAACAAAAACAAGGACAAACATGAAAAAATGCACCTTAGTTTCTTAACTTTACGCTGATGAATGCCTCTTTTCTTTTCTCTGAATTCTGTTGACTAAAGGTGCACATCCAACTCAGATTTTACTTAAAAAACAAATAGTCTTGTCCGACACCATCCTAGAATCACTTCATTTAACCACTAAGCTGACATCCATGTTTCAGGTCACCAATATCAGATTATATTTTTTGAAACTCCACCTCAAGTTCATCGCATGTGCAATGATTGATTGTAGATAGAAGCTAATAAGATCATATTTGCCGGTGGTCTAGTAAGACGCTTAGGCTTTGCAAAATCACTTGAGATCGGTAGGTGTAACAAACTGTGCAATGCAGCCGCTGGTACGTGCCCATGGTTGTAACTTGTGTAGAGTACTCCACTTCTTTTTTTCTCATACTGATATTGGCCTATACCAGCTCTACTGACTAAATAAGCATACACCATTCCATTTTCAAGTTACAAACCCAATAGATGGCATCCACCTTAAGTAGAAAGTGATATTCCTTGTAAGCAGAAAGAAGAGTGTTTCTTCCATGATAATAACTGAAATGAGTGTTATACACAAATATATGCTCACGTCAAGCTGACTACAAAATATGCAGCCAAAAATAACCAAGGTTGATCCGATAGTGTGTATTACAGGCACAATAGTAAATAAATTAAGTTTGAATGGACCATCAGCATTATTGAGAGAATTGCATTTTGTGTTCATTCCAGAATCACAATTACAATTCATGTACTCTACCAAACATTGTGGCAGTAAGACATTAGACTGAAGATGGTTAACAGCCCCCTAAAACTATATAAATGTTGTGCGGGCAACTGGCAATTGATCAAATATCATGCTGACCATTATACAATAAAACAGTGTTACAATTTTCGGGGTATATTTAACACTCTTGTGAACTCTTGCCAAGCATATTGTGATAACCTTGAAAGGCAACACAACCAGAGTGAAAATATAGTGTAAGGACATGGTACCTTCTGAAGCACCTGGAAATTGCTGAATAAAACTTTTCAAGTCTGGACCTGCAGCTTTACCAATGCACAAGAAGGTATATAATTATTTGCATAAGCATTATAATGCAAAAGATAAGACTATTTTTTTTCCCCTTTTTTTCTTCATTTTTTTCACTTTTTATGGGTCCGGCAGAAGAAAAGAAGCAGCTTACCACTGCCCGAGGCTTTGGGCCTAATGCCTTCTTTGGCTCTCCTTTCCTCTTCTTCCTTCTTGAGAACTTGGTCAATTAAAACAACTGCTGTTTTAGTACTTCATGTAAAGCCATGAAAATGTTAAGCAAAAAGTCCAAATTTAAAGGGTCATCACAATAATTTCTTACTATTAGCCTCATTTCGACACCAAGTGAACAATTTAAGGTAAGAAGTAAATTTTTTTAGATAAGAAAAACAAGCTAGCACCAAATCATTTATGCCTTCCATTGTTGAGCAATTGGGACAATTCGAGACATTGTTGTATTGACTTCAAGGTTTTGCTACATTTAAAGGTTACAGTTATAAGAAGGGTAGTAGCAGCAGTGCAGAGCATCATTGAAAAAAACAAAAAAAGGGTTAATTACAAAATGCCCCCTTCAAGTTTTCGTGAAATTAAATTAATAAAAATAGAAAAGTTCTAAAATACCCTCAATCTTTAATTATATTTTCTTTGTTCTCTTTGTACCCAACTTATTAAAAAACAAGAATTAGCCTTCAAACCCTGGCAACCCCTTACCCCCCCCCCCACCCCAACAACTCCGGCGAACCACCCACCCCCATGCCCAGATTTGACAGACCTCCCAAGCCCCATGCCCAGCTCCGACGACCCCCCAGCCCTATACCCAGCTCCACCTAAACCCCCTCCCCCCCCCCAAAAAAAAAAAACCCCATACCCAACTCTAATGGCCTCTCCTTCTACAACGCCAACAGTCCCCCCAAACCCCCATTCCCACCTCCCATAGCTCCTCACCCTCATACCCAATGCCGGCAACCCCTCAACACCCATAACGAACAATGGCAGTACGCCAAACCCCATACCCACTTCTAGCAGCCCCTCGCATCCATACCAACTCCGACAGTCCTCCCAATGTCCATAACAGTTTCGATGGTACCCCCATCCCAACTCTGGCAGTCCTCCACCCCCATCAAACAAGTAAATTTGAAAAGAAATATACTTTTCAGAGTATACAACACAGAATCAAACAATATTCAAACGAGATTCATCCAAAAATTGACACCAAACACCAACCCCACTACCCCCAAAACTGTTAGGGAGGTGTTTCGGTTTTGCTTGGGTGAAGGGGTTGTTGTCTTGTTAGGATTGGATAGGGTTTGCTAATCACAAATGGGTGGACGATGGTCTAGTGGTTGAAAGGGGCTGCGTGAGATTTTTTTTCAGTATTGTTTTTGAAGGCATGAAATAGGAGGGCAAATTTGTCATCAAATGAATTAAATGTATTTCTGTCAAATTTAACGGAAATGAGGTAATTGCTTTTAGTAAAAACTTGAATAGGGCAAAATGTTTAAATTGAAACCAGAAGGAGTTAATTGTAACATAACCTAAACTTCAAGGGAGCATTTTGTAATTAACCCTAAAAAATATATAGCACTAGTGACCATATCATGATTGGCTGAATATGTTCTTTTCTTTTAGCCGGTAACCATTCAGATAAGGGATAACTCAGTTAGCTTTACAGCAAGAGAAGTGAAAACAATAAATAATAAGTTTAACTGTTTAAGGTATAACAGTAGTGACACTTACGAGCAACATTTAGTCGAACACGTTCACGCCTTGCCTCTAGCACAGCCATTTCCTAACAACAAAAAGCTTAATATTCTAAACTTCATATTGTACTAATAAAGTAATTCCAATACAATATCTAGAATAGCACGTGTTAGCTTCCAATAACAATGACCAACAGAACCTGCATGAGATATCAAGGTGCAAGCTTCTCATACTTGAGATACTCGAAAGGTATCCCCCCTCCCCCTTCTCTCTCTTGATTGGTTAGACAAAGAAGAAAAGGAGGAAAAGTTCAAAATTGAAAAAGCAACATCAATTAGCTTGCCACTTCTCACCTAAAATCACTTTTTAAAGATACAACTTCAGATCACTAAAATAGACTTAATTAACTGGTAAATAGAATATACAAATTTAGCATAGACATAAAATAACTGAAAGAAAAGCTCCTGTGGCCATGAGAAATGACATGACTGCCTCCAATATGGCCGACAAGACATATCTAAGTAGCCAGACACGCAGTGATTGGGTTTTGGCAAACATAAATAATCTAATCCTATTGATACAAAGAAACTTCAATTCTGTAAATTTCCTGGTGACATGAACTCATCTTTTGATTGATTAGGGTGTGTCTGGACAAAGGATAACCTGAGAAGTCGGAAAAGGTAGATTTTAAGTCAACAACAATAAAAATACTTTCATTTGAGCAGGAAAAACAAAAATGACTTGGGAAAAGATGATCCAGCAAATGGTGATGATGCCAAGATAGGTAGGGAAGAAAAAATTATTGCAGCATAGGTGGAAGTGGGAATATGATTGTGGCAGTGGTAGCGCCAGGGTGGGTTTGGCTGGGGCAATAGGGCTGGTAGCAGCAGTAGCCAAAACTGAGAACTCAGAGGTGAAGATTAAGGATGTGACTAGGGGACGCTGCCAGTGATCTGCTGTATTCATTTGCTTGTAAGTCCTATCAGAAGTAATCCCATTCATTCCCACTTATGAGATACCAGTATCGTAACAATTCAAGGGGTGCAGGAGACAAGAATATACATGAGATTATAGAACATCTTGGATCAACTTCTAGACAAAGTATATTTTTTGGTAAGTAACTTAATTTATTTCAAAGGACAGAGATAATAAAAGCTACAGTCAGCATACCCAGGAACATCACAGCAGGAGCTAAAATCAAAAAGGAAAAAACAATTGAAAAAGAGATGAATGAGCAGACTTTTGAAAATGAAACCCAGGAGGCCAATGATTTAAGACTTCAAGAAAAGGATTATCTGCAACCACAATAATAACAACATGCAAGTTGCAACAGACAAATAGTACTCAGTCTACTAAGCTGATCCAACCAAGGCCAACTAAAACACATGGACAGCTCCACAATGCAACATGACTGGATGATGATCACAAGACAGAGTACTGAATGGTAAGTGGAATCTATCTGTTTCTATTTTCATAAACTACGATTTTCAGAATACCTGCACTAGACACATGAATACAAAGTGGTAGTGGTTGAAGAGCGATTGATAACATCAAAAGAAATAGTTTCTAATTTACCTCTGGTGTTGGAGCCTTTTTGCGCTGTCCATTAAGCCAGCATATCCATTCAACTACAATAAGCGAAGTATACAAAAACCATTGAATATGGGAAAAATATATATCTAACCGAAGTCACTTTTCTAGGAATGTTTATTTAATGTGTCTACCTTTCAAACATTGCAAGGAGCAAGTGCATGTAGTACATGCAGGAGAGAACAAATAAGACCATCATAACAAATCTTATCAAACAATGCAAAAATATAATAAATAGATTATGCTATGAGACGGGAGACAGGTACTCTCATTGAGAACAATATAAGCTCTTCTTTAAATCAAGCATCTTTTTCATGCTTCTCAATTCAGGAAACCACTACGTGAGAAATAAATAGTAATATGGTATCCTTAATTTGAGGTAAAAAGGCATTATTATAGATTTTCCTCTAAGTTATCAAATGAAGAAGTTGGCCGCTTAACCACTATGAATACAAAGAATATGCAACATTAAGCTGCATGTGTACGATCCCTAATGAACTTATTACTAATAACATCTGCACAAAATTGTGAGCACATGCAGCAAGATATATGCCATACCATGCAGTAAATTATAGATAGAACCGAGGTCCTGTAAGTCTTTTTGTTGTTCTTCCCCAAAAAGTCCACAATGATTAATATTTAGTACCAAAAGTACATAAGAGAATGAAAGCTTACCTGGAACAGAAGTTGGATCTTGCTCGCCTTTGAATACCACCCATCTTTTCTCTTTCACTGGTACATTAAAGGATATTACAGCATAAGAGGGTAGCTACCTGTGTTTGTAGTGATAGAACCATGTGTGAACATGTATAACAATTAACAAATATAGCATATTTTTTTAATGAACAAATATAGCTATGCTTAAAAAAAAAAAAAATTTAAATGCACCGAACCAAGTTATATTGATACTAAAATTTAGCAAGTTCTACCGAGGGTAGTGGCATAGGCTTTCAAAAATTAAATCGTTCAATTTTCTTTTACTCTAAAAAAAATCGCAAGGGACACAAATTGACCTAAAGGTTACTTCACGGTGATTTTAATTGTAAAAAAAAAAGCAGTTGCAATTGCAAACTCATATTCTCCAATAGGCTAAAAAGTATACAACTATGTCAGTTTCTGCTTCAGATGACTGGAAACATATCCTCCTTCAAACTAACACATCAGCAGTCCAAGTACAATTTACAGAAGCAAAATATATCACAAGGATAGAAAATCACATTGCATAAGAAGTCATCCATAAGTATCTGCCTTAGCCAGAGTTATATATATATATATATTTTTTGAACTTCTGATATTTACAAAGAGCAATAGTTCAAATGACCACCATGAATCAACAACCAACATGACAAACCATGATTACTACAAAATACCAATATTTTAAAGACATTAAACCAAGAAACTAAGAAGTCTCAAATACAAAAGGGTGCACATGTAGATTAATGAATTAATAGCGTATAGTAATTTGCAATCCCAACGAAGCTCATGGAATCAAAAGTGGAAAATTCCATTAGGAAGGTTGTGATTGAAATAAAAATAAGAAAGAAGTAGACCCACTTACTGATACCATCGAGCTCTTCAGTTCTAGTGAAGTATCGATTCCCTGCTTTGTCCATCCCCACCAACGATCTATTGCTGAACATAGCTGCAAACTTCGCCCACAGTCTCGACATTTGCTCTCTCTCTCTCCCCAAAATCTTAAATCAGACTCATTGTTATCGTCAAACAACAATCAATTGATGAAGAGCAAGTGAAGGGTCCTGCAATAATTTAACAAAAATTAAAGACATGTCTTTGTATTACATTCTGCGCTATCATTTCCCAACGTAAAACCTTGAGTTGGGTGCTTCAGTTTTTCTTGCCCTGCTATCGCTTCGACCGGCACGGTTCTTCCTCCGGTTCGGTTCAACCTTTGTATATAGGCCCATGAAGTTTTCAAGTGCACCATTTATTCTATTTTCTATTTTATATTTTAATAAGAATTTTTAATTAGGGCTTTAAGTTAGTAGAAATGATGAAGAAAGTATTCCCCACAATTCCGACCCAAAGTATACCCCTATTCACCGATAAAAGAAATAACTATCACGAACAAACTAACCATTTACTTTATTTAAAAAAAAATATGATAAAGAAGAATAGAAACAAAAAAAATAGAAAGAACGAATAAATTTTTTTTATTCTTTCTTTATTATATAATATAGATATTTAGACCTATATACATATTTATAGAGATAAAATTCTTGTCAGAATTCTTGAACTAATGCAAGGTCTAATTCTTTTTTGTAATCAAAAATATTAGGTTGAAATATCTATTAATATTTCTACAAAAAGAATTTTATTCAAGGATTAAGTTATTATTCAACAAAATTTTTTTAAAATTATTAAAAGTTGAAATCAATTCAGAAGCATTTTATATTCAATATTTATATAAAATATAAAAATAAAAAAATAAGAAATATATATAACAGACAAAATTCCATTGGCCTAATTTGGGACCTTGCTTTCTAAATAGATGATAATATTACTATTTTACAGACTTTACTCACTTTTTTTTTCACTTATTAGAATCTAGATAATATTATAGCAAACAATTTAAATTGCACATTTTATAAAAGCTTGAAATTAATTTAATTTTTATTCAATTTTATCTAATGTTACAAAATTTATTGTATTAAAAAAATTACCCAAAAATATTATATTCTCTGCACGATATAACTTCACTAATTCACATTTACCTCTCTCTTTTCTTTCCCTTACATCTCTTATTTTTTCTTATATACTTTAATTTTAAATTATGGATTTAATTAAAAAATAAAAAAACAAATTATTATTTAAAATATTGATATAGCACAATCAAAGATTAATTATTGGTATTATAGAATGTCTTTACACACGAGTAAGTAACTAGTGAATATAAATGTAAGGAATTGATTGAATCACTTATAAGTGTTTGTTTGATGTTGATTTTATACGTTATGATTTAATTAGCGTTAATTTATTTAGAATTAATAGCAAATTATTTTTAAAGTTACAATGTATAAAAAAACAATTCGCGGGAATTGTGTACACATTTGAAATCAATTTTATTAAAACACTATACGACTCTATATTATTAAAACACACATTTGAGGTGGACGGGTTCCGCTAGTTGACGGAGTTACTGCTTTGTTGGGTTTGCAAGACATAGAAATGGGTGGGGTCAATTGAAGGAGGGTTGGGGTGGAGCGGGGTGAGATATTTTTTCAATTTTTGCTACTTTTTTAAAGACTAAGGCTATTTGGTAAGGGGGTAATGAAGGTTTGACGAGATGAGTTTGAGAAAAATAGTTTAAAAGACCTTTGAATTTTATGTTTGGATTGAAAATTTAATCCCAAGTTTTCAAACTTGGTCCGTTACTGGCCAAAGATTAAATCCATGATCATGGGTTTGACAAAATCTATGGAGGAGATGAATTTGGAAGGATGAGTTAAGGGATTAAGAATTTAAAAGATAGTTGTACCCCTTAACATGTGTATGAATTGAATTGATTAAGGGTAAAATAGTTATTTATATGATAAATAATTATTAATAATTATGATATATCCATAGGTCCTGCATGTGTATATGTTGTATACCAAACATAGATATGTATCAGATTGAATGTTGAATTCCATATTTGTAAAGTGGGATTTGGGTTTGAATAGGTTTAGAGAAATCAATCCAAAATCTCTCCCCAAAATTCATTCAAACAAACCTTAAGAGATTAAAAGGTAAATGTGTCCTTTATTTGAGCTAAAGCTCACATGGACAAATTTTGTCAATTTTTAATAGTCAATTTAACGGCAAGAGGGTAATTTATGTAATATTAAAACTTGAAAGAGGTAAATTATTTAAATTAAAATCATAAGGAGTTGATTGTGATATAACCCAAATTTAAAGAGTGTATTTGGTAATTAATCCTAATTTTTTTTCCAGAAAATAAACAACTTTTATTGATTGGAGTGAAGCTCTACTACAATTAGAGGGGTAAAATAGATCAACACCCTCTATACATCTACTAAACACCAAGTGTTTAAAATGAATCAGTTGCAAGTCAAAAACGAAACAAAAGAAATTTGTTCCAATCAGACCACCAGATTCTTCCATTATCTAATATGCAAGACAATGGTCTATGTCTGTAAACAGGATTCAAGAAGTTGCCAATTGCATGCAAAGGGCTCTATCTTCCCTACACAGTTCCTGAGCTTCAATGCCAATAATCTGCATCTTATGGAGACCTATATTACACGTTTTAAAGCTGCTGCATTTCTCCTTATGTTGCAGTGGATTCTCAAGTTCCTTTCTTTCCACAAGTAGTACATTGTCGCCACCAAGCAAAGCTTCTTCCCCGTAATACATTTGGACTTTGCCTTCGACTGAGAAGCTTGAGAAATGAAACTCTGCCATGGCGTAGGCTGTCAATTAGCCCCACACTTAAACATAACACCCGACTAAACCTCTGCAAAATATTAAGAGTCAAAGAATAAGTGATTGCAACACTTTATTGCAAGGATCAAGGTCGCGGTATTGGTCATTGACTCAGAGAGTTGTGAGATGCATTGATAATAGCGTAGTATTGAGTAATACGACTTAAAAGAAAATATTGAATATGACGAGAGATTCGGGTCATATCACAATATCATGGAACCGTATCGATCAATTCAATGACGATAACTCAACGATTCGGATACAACTTGGACGACTCGATTGAATTGTGCGAGACTCAGAATTTATACGTTTCGTGTGACGATATCATTTCAAAAGGGGCCAAATCGAATATGAGTCGCCGACTCGTATTGGTATTAGCCTATACTTTGAATTATGTTTCATTGAAAAAGTACAAAAGACACAATCAGCCCCTAAATGAGGCGCATATTCCACTAATATATCTCTGATACTAAGTTTTTCTTTAATTGCAAGCCAAATGATGAAGCTCATACGTGGATAGTTTGACTGAACCACACCAGCTTGTACAAAGTAACTCTAGCAATTTTCTCTCCCAAAAAACCCCATTAGAAGAAGCAATATATATTACATGGGGCACCACTTAACAATATCTCTACAATAAGGATTACTCGACTAGGACTAATAATCAAATCGAGTTACTTGAGCTCAATTCGTTCTGAACTCAGTTTAGGCTCAACTCGTTGTTTAAATAAGTCGAGTTTTTCAAACGAATTTAAAAAGATCGATTCGTTTATATATAAAATAATTGAATTATTCAGGCTTGAATCGGGTTCAGCTCATTTTAGGATTGATTTGGGCTCAACTTATTTTTTAAATTAGCCAAATTTGAATAACTTTTTAGATTCGTCTCAACTGAATTATCCATACTCGGCCCAGGAGGCATTGAAGCGTTAATTTCTGTAAGCTTACCATAATTTGCAACAGGCCAGAACCACTGTCCTTTATGAATGAAATCTCACTGACTTTAGAACCTAGTGGAAGGCCAGGTTCATAAACACATCTTGTGCTCGACTTTAGTAACAAAGGCCCCAGGGGAGACCAACTGTCCCTCCAAAGATCAGTAGACTTCTCATCACCAATGACATGTTTAACACACTCTGATCATTTTGGGATTTAGTTATTAGTTTTATACAATATACATCGTTTCATTTATAATAGAGATAAAATATTATATAGTTTTACTTCATTTTATCATAAGTCTAATTTCTTAGGATAAAAATATTCATTAAACATAACGAACTCAATGGCACAGACATCGTTGCAAACATGGGCGAACAGTGATAGGATAGTTTTGTGGAGTTCGTGCCTCCAACCCATCAAATCATGCAAAGCCCTTAGGGCTGATAACAAGTGTAGCATTTGTAAGGGGTGAAATCAATCTTATTTTCTTTTTCAACTGTCCCAATTGCAGTGCCCGAAGAGCTTCAGACAAATCCCACATCGACAAAATAAAAGTACATTAGTGGCTTAATAAAGGCGTCGTAGGCTCAAAGGCAACCGCCGAGCTCAGTAACGTGGGCTTGTGACCCGAGTGGGGGTAATAAATTGGTTGGACTTTGGATCGATCCGACAGGTAGGATCTAGTAGAGCAATAACTGGGCCGCCCGGTCCAAGCGGATGAGCTGAATTATGTGGCCCTGCGAAGGCTTAGGGTCTCTTAGTTCTTAAAGTTGGAGGGCTCCGCGTCAGGCTGGTTTCACAGAGCAGCGATAACCTCCCGCTCCCTGCAGTGGATGGATAACGGGTCGGTGCTCTTCGGATCCACCAGTGCCTGATGGATCTGTCCCAAATGAACCATCAATTTTTTGTTTCTTTTTTATGTTATTTATTTTCCTCAAAACGAACCAATCTGGTATCAATTATGTTATTCTAGGATAATTCATTTAATTTTATAATAATTATAAAATAATATTTTTTGTCAACAATACTCATTAAATATTTATTTTTTATTTATAATATCCATGCATAACTTTAATTTAATTCATTTATTTTAGTAATGTTATTTGAATTTAAAATTTTTATTTAATTTATTAATTTAATGACGTGATTTCAATAGAATTAGCGGATCAATAATAAATTTTAATATTTAATGGGATTGATAATCAATAAATTAAATCTTAATAATATTATTCATTTATTTTAAGTGTTAATTAATCAGATTAATTTCAAATCTTATGTGACATCGTGGGTAAAATTGACAACTTAGGACGTCGGGAGCTTCCAAAGTAATAGTGCGGATTTTTTTTTTTTTCCTTCTGATTTTCCATTGTTTTCTAGACAGCCAAACGGAGATTTGTTCGCTTTGTTTATACACCATGAAAGAACTCTAGTGCTGGAAATTAGTCCAAACTGTTTGAGTTTGCGTCCTCATTTTAGATTCTAATCCCAGAAATCTCTGCTAAACCCTAGGGAAACAGTCAAAAACCATGTCATGCTATAATTTATCGACATGGGTATCCTCAAAACCTTCAATTGACGGCACTTCTTCTCTCTTTTCCCAATCTCAGCTCAACCAATTTAGTCTACCTCACTGTATTCAATTCCCAAAAACTGTTTTGCGATATTCAACAGTGGTTCGATGTGGCCTCCGTGAAGTCCGAGAGCGAATCGAGACTGTGAAGAACACCCATAAAATCACCGAAGCGATGAAGCTCGTTGCGGCTGCAAGGGTCCGGAGAGCCCAAGAAGCAGTGATTAACGGTAGACCCTTTGCTGAAACCCTAGTTGAAGTTCTGTACGAAATCAATGACCAATGCCAATTTGAAGATGTAGATGTTCCTCTGACAAATGTTAGGCCTGTCAAGAAAGTTGCACTTGTTGTTATCACAGGTGATAGGGGTCTTTGTGGAGGTTTCAACAATTCAATTCTCAAAAAAGCGGAGTATCGGGTCGCTGAATTGAAGAATCTCGGTTTAGATTACACTGTAATTAGCGTTGGAAAAAAGGGTAATTCGTATTTTCGGAGAAAGCATCGTGTAATGGTGGATAGGTTTATTGAAGGAAAGAGTTTTCCAACCGCAAAAGAAGCTCAGGTTATTGCCGATGATGTGTTTTCACTATTTGTGAGTGAAGAAGTTGACAAGGTTGAGCTTTTGTATACCAAGTTTGTGTCATTGATTAGGTCTGATCCGGTAATTCACACATTGTTGCCATTATCTGCAAAGGGTGAGGTTTGTGATGTGAATGGGAAATGTGTTGATGCAAGTGAAGATGAGTTCTTTAGGTTGACAACAAGGGAAGGAAAATTGGCTGTGGAGAGGGATAGTGGGAGGGTAAACAGAGCAACATTTTTGCCTAATTTGCAATTTGAGCAAGACCCAGTTCAGATTCTCGATGCATTGATGCCTCTTTATTTGAATAGTCAAATTTTGAGGGCACTGCAGGAGTCTTTGGCAAGTGAGCTTGCAGCTAGGATGAATGCAATGAGTAATGCAACGGACAATGCTGTGGAGTTGAAGAAGACTCTTTCAAATGCTTATAATAGGGAACGGCAGGCTAAGATAACAGGTGAAATATTGGAGATTGTTGCTGGAGCGGAGGCACTTATGTAGCTCTTCGTTTTTCTTTTTTTACTTCCCATGTTCTTAGGTTTGGCCTTGATACTCATTAATTATACTTGCTTTAGAATATCATTGCTTAGAATGAAACCACCTGTTAATTGCTTCATTCCGAAGAGGAATTTTTTTTTTCTTGGTAAGAAACTCTAAAGTTGTATCAGTTCAAGTATTACAAGTGTTTTCTCCATGCTGCATCTACGTTATCCTACTTTTATCCTACTTGATTCTAAGTCCAGTTCAATAAAAAAAAAAATAAGGGGGGGGGGGGGGGAGGTGCTAAGGCAGTTTTGCACCTTCTATAAATGAGGTGTACGGTTTGATGGCGGTTCATGTTTAAAAGCTTTGGTTGGACCCTTATATGACATTAGAAAAATCCTTGGAGACACTGAAGCCGGATGATGGGGCTTCATGTCCAAAAGCTTTGATTGGATCTTTTTTTGACATTAGAGAAGTCCTCGCAGACTCTTCCCTCATGTGATTATTGTTGTGATTTATTAAGTTTATTTCATAATACAAAATACATATTTATGTGTTTGTGTATGTATATATTTAAATTGCTTGGAACAAAATGTAAAATTAGAGTTGGTTATGCTTATAGCCGTTGATGAGCCGATTCAAACAATAGGTGTCAAAATCGTAAATGGACTTCAAATTGTGGAAGTTTTCCAACACTTGGGAAATGTACCTCTTCGTATGGGCGTCTGTTCACTTTTAAATAGCATACTATAATATTAAAAAACTTCACATAGCAATGGTGGTAGTTGTTGTCCGTTGGTCACCCACCAGTTATGAACAAATGCGTCACTTCATGGCCCATCAAAAGTTGTAAGTCTACTGTTCTGCTTTTGGGAATGAGCACTGCTATTTAAGGACACCGGATTGTATAAAAAAAAAGATATATAATACACACACAAAACGGAAAAATTAGAGGAATATTATGTGAGTTTTAGAACAGTGGGCTTTGTGAACATTTTCAACTGTTTATACCGAAACTTTTCTGCAATCCAATTTAAGTATACTGTTTTATTACTTTGTCATCCGATTTGAAAAATTAAAAGTTATTCGACACACCTCTACATTTGCGAGTATACGCTTATGGAGAAGCGATAGTTGAATCCTGGAGGATAGAACGTCATAACCTGTTGCACCGGATTTCAAATTCAGGGGGGCAGAAATTTATTCTTAAGGACAGTGACTACACGTCTCTATGAATAAGTTTTTTGCTTTGTTTATTATCTAATTTTTAACATTCTTGAACTGAAATTTAACAACAGTTATTTGGAGCTTAGGCACCGGAGTAGATTTTGGAAGCATTTTGATTATGAGAATGGATTTTCAGGATGTTAGCAGTATGGGAACTTAGAAGGATAGGTTCTTTTCGTTTTAAGAAGAGTTGTGTAGCTTTGGAATTGGAGTAAGATTTCTCTATGTGCTTACTATTCATCACTTGTGTCCCTGTTGATCAGTTTATTTGGAGGCTCTTTCAAGTTAGAGATGTGAAGCTGTTTCTGTATGTAAGCTCCCCAGTGCCCAGTTGCCATGTATTGACGATTTGTGCAAGGTACTCGGCTGAAGTACGGACTATTCATAGGAATATGAAGATGGCAAGCTAGATTGGATTATGAGAATTACATCATCCGGAACACAGAAAGCATAGCCCATAGACAAGCAAATGAAGCTTCTTGCAAGCTAGGTAGATTCTATTCCACCAAGGTAGCAGTGAATGGACAATTGGACATCCACGAGGAATAAAGAATTGCAAGAAGGAATATGTTTGTTCTGTTCTCAAAGAAAGGAAAGATTTTTAACTCCAAGCTTTGAAGCACCAAGTTACTTGAGGAATCTCTAATGTTTGCTACCATGCTTTGCCACCCAGCTTTTTGTTCACTTCCTAGCCTTAGCCTTAGGGCAATGATAAGATAAAGAACCGTTGCGCACCTTCCTATGTGCAATGCAAGAAGTTCCTTGGCTTATAGAGGTCAATCAGTCAGACATACCATGTTCAGTCTAATTGCCCTATAACACTTGCAGACTAACTGTGAAGCCCCCTTACCATTACTCCCAGTCCAAGCCGTCCCCCTGCTGCTGCCAGAATGATCCCCAGAGCTAATAACTGTTCCACTCGTGAGCAGTAGTTAGCTCAACAGTCTGTTCCTATCAACATACCTGATTGGGCAAAGATTTATGGGAAGGACCCAAAAGCCTCCAAGAATGCATGATGATGATGATGAGGTAGTAACTTGGAGAGTGCTGAAGACGACGACGATGGTGATGGTGGTGGAGGTGAGAGTGGTCCACTCATATGATACCATGTAAAGAAATTTTAAAAAATTATAAAATATCTATTTTCTTCTTACAATATATTAATACCAGTTAATTGGGTTATTCGTGTTTAACCTTAATCTGACTTTTTATTACTTGGCGTTATTTTTGAGTTAATGGGTCAAATTGACACCCTAGCAGAGGAGATATGAATATGATGCCTCCACATGAATGGATACCTTTGTTTTTGTTGGGACTTGGGACTACTCTTAAAGGGAGAGATATTGGGAAAGTGAGGAATGCTTGAATAACATGCCCATCATATATGCATCCATTGTCATGATGCTGATACAGTATCCTCAATTGATTGGCAATATGATATGTGAAATGGATCCCCATGCAACCATTGCCATTTTTATTTAACCTAAAAATAGTAAGCAGATTATTTTGTAATTTTAATGAACCCTTATGTCTGGTTTAGGTATTAAAGGGTGGATTGGATTAATTTAATTTGGTAATAATATAATATTAATATGAGGTTATAGTGACTTAATATTAATTTTAATTAATCTCGACTCGAGTCACTATTGCCAATTTAACTTCTAATGTTAGGTAGTAATAAATATCATGTAGTAGATGATATTATTTTTAACTAGTTAAATATTAAAAGTACAATAACTTTATTATTCTTGTAAACTTAGAGTTATACTTTCATATAAAAGTTACACATTATGTAAATTCTTATTCTCAATATTTATTTTGTCATTTTTAATTTAATACTATACATTATTATTTAACCCAAACATAAATTTAGTATTCTAGTTATATCTATATAATAATGTAGCTTATAATTCAAATATAAAAAATAAACAAAATGACTTTTGCTATTCGCGATTGAGATTGATTTAAATTTTACTTTAAAGTTAATTTAACGGCTAATATTAACACCCTAAATTTAATAGGAAAAATAGGCCGCTAAGGGTGTATTTGCAGTGACTTTTTTAAAAGTATTTTTAGAAATTATTTCTCATAAATATTTTTTTAAAAAAATAATGTTTGAAATTGTCCCACCATTACCTCTACCACCACCGTTGTTATTTATATATTTCTTCTGTGTTTCTTAATGTACATAGGTCAAGCAATAATCATGACAAAGCCAAGGTTAGAATTACAAAAGAAGTACCAGGGAGAAGAGAAGGCAATGGAGGATGAAGGGGAAAGTAGATGAACATAGATTCTTCTTTAGGCCTCAAGTTGCATCCGAAAATAGGCTCCAAAGTAAAAGAAGCAACTCCCTTGTGGGCTATTATGATCCAAATTGTATTACATGTCTTCTGCTACAAAAAACCAACCAGGCATGAGTCTACATACCACATGGAATTCATATAACAGTCACCTGTATGTAACATGAATTTGTACAAGTGGCCCCTTGGGGTTTGGGTATTCTGTGTGCATTGTTTGCTTTCACATGTAACAGAGAGTATTAGGTAGAAGCTTTTTTTTGTCATTAAAGAGAGACTTATGTTGCACCATTCTCTAACAACTTAAGCTTTAAGAGTAGTTGGTAATTAACATGGTATCAGACCCTGAAGGTCCTGTATTCAAATGACACTAACGCCTCCTCTCTTACTACACTATACAAACACGCGAGTCGATCACTCAAGAGGGACTAAATGTGCGAGGGAGAATTAGATAGGGACTTATATTATACCGTTCTTTGTCCGCTTAAATGATCAATTTGAGTAGTTGGTGATTGACAATCTGCATGGCCACATTTCTAAGATTTGACAACCAGACTCCCTATTGTGGTGATATAGTTGAGGGCCTTGGTCCTTAGCCTCAACACAATCCCTTACAATACATATGTAGTATAACATAAAGGCAATCGTATTGACATAATGTGCCTGCCTACCTTTTGATGCATATTTTGAGTGGAAAATTTTACATTATGACTAGATCGGAAGTTTTAAATTAATTTTAAATGAAATTGTAAAAAAAGATATGATAACTTATAATTTAACTGAAAATATTATTTTTGATAGAGTTCAATGACGAAATATGATTCATGTAGTCGATCTTAAAAATATTAAGATAAGACTTAGTTGAGTTGAGTAGACTAAATCGGAAGGTCGACAAGCCATGTGTCTAGTGCGCCTGCAGCTACTTTTGGTTGCTAAATGTACAGCTATAAAGTGAGATGTGGATAGAAAAGAAGGGCTGTAGTAAAGGGACAGCCACTCCAAGCTGAGCATAAGTTTCCCTTAGTTTAATTAGAGTCGTCATAATCGCATATTCCACTTTATGGTAAAAATCTTTATTGCCTTCTAGAATATTCAAGTCAATTCGATTCAACTCAACAAAATTTTATTCTAATATTTTTTAAATCGATTATATGAATCCTGTTTCGTTATTGAGCTAATTCATTGCCTATGTCATGGATTGTTGTTTTAGTATATTATTTTGGATCATCTAAGAAATAAAAATGTTTCAAAAATATTTTCAGAAGCAGAATAGAAACAAATAAAAAATTGAGAATTTATTCTGTCACATTTCAAAAAATTTGTCAAAATACACCAAACATCTTGAAACACCTTAAAACATTGGTTGAAATATGTCGAAATATCATGAAACATTCAAAGCATTGTAATTTCAATTTCATTATTGATTCTTTTTGGCTTTTTGACCGTTTCAAGACGAAATTTTAATCCTTGCCCTTAAAATTCTCTCATCCTCTATCAGATAATCTGCTAAAAACTTGACTTCTCCCAACGAAGAATGTTTATCAAGGGCAATGTTTTCAATTAAATCATATGTTATTATATCTTTCTTTATGATTTTATTTAAAAGTAGGTCATCTGTAAATATGTCCAAACTACTTTAATTGACTTATCTCTTATTTGTGCTGCCTCTACCTTAAGGGTCTTCTTTAATCTTCATTAATTGTTGTCTTCTTTCACATGGGGTTTGGTTAGCTATTATCTTCACCTACTTTTAATTTTGTAAATTGAAGCTGTTTGGCGTAGTTTGAAGGCTTATGGGCAGCTACTATTGAAGTATAAATATTTAAATTATACCATCTCTAACAACTTAAATATTTGAAATAAATAATTGTTTAACATAGTATCAGAATAAGAAGTTTTATATTCGAATCTCACCGCGACTCAAATTATTAAAAAAAACCCTGAAAAACGATGGTAAGAGTTGTGGCATAGACGTCCATGATGAAGACGGCACATCGGACTCTGCATGGCTCACTACATACATCAAAGGGTAACACCTTTTTTTTTCAATAATTATCTTCTGTGATCACCCCTTCATGCCATGAAACTTCAAAATTTTCTTTTAAATTGTTAGCGAGAATTAAACCCTTTGTTGCATCTTTTATCCATATTGAGAATTGAACCCGTTCACTAATAGCTCAAACTTCACCACTTAATTGATGTACTAGTCGAAGGTGGAGCGGTGGGGAGGTGATAATGTGAATTTTGGTACATTAAACTGGTCCACCATTAGCTAATTCAAGCATTAATTTCATCTAACTTTCTCCAACTTAGTCTGTTATATTTTGTTTAATACGATAAAAAATAGGAGAAATACTAAGTAACTCAAGTTTATAACGCAAATTTTTATCCCAAATGAAGGAGACTATTAGATGAGTAGATCCCATCAACTTTTTTAAATAGAATCCATTAATCCAATGGTCCCCTTCATTTGAGATGTAATTTGGGTTACATACCATTGCTCAAAAAATAAAATGATGAAAAGTTAAAATGATAGATAAAACATCATGTTTGGTAAGAGAAAATAAAATAAGAGGATAGAAAAATGAATGAATTAGTTTTCTTTCCAACTCATCAAAATCAATACCTCCAAAATTGAGAGAAAAAATAGATGAAAAATTAATTATTTGTGTTAAAATATATTTTATTTATTGATAGAGTCTCGGAAATCACAGCCCAAACCCAATATGAGTGAAGTTATTGGGTTTGGTGTTAGAGCGAGTTTAGTTGGTTGGGTTATCTAATCAAAGGGCAAAAGAAGAAGATAAGTGGTTCACCTCAATCCATAGACCGAAGGTACGTCCACTGTAATGGAATCTCTTGCTTCTTAATGTTGTATATTAAAGCTCCGATGTACACAAGTGGGATTCAGGCGCTGTGTCTTTACAAGGGTTGGTGTTTGGCTTATGGAATGGACTCGGTTTACAAATGCTCTATTTTTGGGATCCCCCTTTTTGTAGGGTACTGTTCTATATATATATGAGTCGTCTCTCTTTGTGGTTTTTGACGGTTTCTTCTACTTTTTATTGATCCTGTGGGGACCTCTTGTCATTGGCCTGCAAAAAGCCTTTTCCAGTCGGTGCCATTGCGCCCTGATCTCTGGGGCGTTATGCTCCACCTTTTTCTGCCTGTTGGAGGATGTAGTCATCGCAGGTTTCAGATATGGTCTCCCTGTCTTCTGGACGCGTGGCATGGTGGGACGACTCTAAGTCAGAGATCCAATTTCTCTTCTTAGGACTGTTCTTTAGCTGGTGCCTGGTTGGGCCAAGTTTGAACCACTGCCCCTCCTCGGGTGCCCGTCGGGGCTTGTCCTTTTAGCTCTCTGTCTTGGGTCAATAGGAGGCGCTCTCGGTTGGACCAATGGATTTTTCCTCCTGTTCCTCATGGCCTTTTGGGCTTCGGGCCCGTTGGTGGCCCATGCCCAGAATTTTACCCTTATTATTTATCTTTATATATTTTTTGATGTATGCATATATACTTTTTCCATCTTAGTAAACATTAAAAAAAAAAAATCAATTATTTCTATTTTTCATGTCTCCTACCAAATACAAAGGAAGAAAGATAGAAAATATATCACTTCTATTTTCATCTTTTTATTTTTTCATCCACTCAACCAATCACACTATTAGTTCTTTAGGTCAATAGTCCATTTTCAGTTAAGAATAATGTTAAACGAACCTAATTTGAGGATCTAATCAAAGACCTCGTAATTGTTAAATTAATTATGAATTATATTGTTAAATGTATTCTATTTGTAGTTTATAAATTATAATTAATTAAATTCTCAAATTATAACTCTAAATTATATCCAAATAAGATTTTCCAAACGTTGAAGTTCCTCAATTCACGGTGGGTGATAGAAGAATACCAGCGTGATCTCATGACCACCCACCCATTTGGAACAACTCAGTGACATGTTTTCCTTTCCTGAACCTAATTGAATCGGACTTTTGACCTCTCTAAAATCCATGATTTAGCTGAGTCACGTTCATGGCACGTGCACCACGTGTGTAACACCTACCTTTGGTGTTTTAGATTGAAGACATATGATGGAATAGTGAGCTCCTTTTGTTTTTTCCTTCGTTTTTCCTTTTAAGGCAATGTGATTATGCCCATTTTGGCTGGTTTGGTAGCTTGAAGAATGTATCAAAGGGAAGGATTGGATTAATGATTCTTTAATTTGATCTTATTCGGTGCTTAGTTGTATTAAATCTTTTTTTTTTTTGATTTAAGTTTGTATTGATTATTCATTCGAGTTCAACAATTAACCATTGTGACTTAAATTGCGTTAGCACATGACTTTAAGGGGACAAGAGTAATTAACTTTTACGGGATGTGAAAAGAAATTAAATTTGAGACTTTTGAGTTATTAAAAATTAAACTCAATTACTGAATCACTTCTAAAGATTAACTTGTCCGATATTCTATTATTTAGCTAGAGTACGAGGAATTAGACTGAATTAGTGTGGACGATCCTCTTTACCATTACTTGGTTTGGGAGGGGTAGAGAGATTAATTTAGATTCAACCCAAATTTTAAAACTCTCTAGTTCAATTTTAGTTCAAATTTAATCTAATATTTCATCTAAAGTGTTGTACATAATTGGTCACAAAGGTTAACTAATTTCTTCTTTGATTGGGTTAAAAATATGTCCTCCACACCAGAACTAAAATATTTATGGTTAATAGCATTTTTAATCTCTAACATATGCACTTTTTATTAGTTTGATCTTTATAATATTAAATTTGTTAATTTAATTCTTAAAATATTCAATTTATTTTTAAATGATCTATATATAAACTGATTGTTAAGTTTTTATCAGAATGATCACGCGTAATAATACATGATCACTTCTGTTAAAAAATTGATAAATTATCTAATTAAAGATCAAAGTGATACGAATTAAACTTTTAAAAACTAAATTAACAAAATTAATATAGTAAAAATCAAATTCATGAAACAGACATACTTTAAAAACACCAAGGGCCCGTTTGGTTGCCATATTGTAAAAGAACTGATTGTATTAGTTAAGTCAGGGTAATTCTATATAAGCGAACAAAATATAAAATTAAATATAAGATAAATTTAATATTATTTGTTATTCAATGTTTAATATTCTTTGTAATCCAGTGTTTAGTAAGACACCGGATAAAAGTGAAATAATATAATATTGATTACATGATGACAAAAATACCATCAATCTTATCTAGTTATTAATATTTTTGTTTATTTAATTTAACGGGTAGAATGGTAAATTTATAAATTAATACACTTAAGGTAGATTATAATACCATTTTTTCAAGTAATATTATAATCGACTCAATAATATGAATAGAGTATATTATTTAAATAAATATTTAAAATAAAATTATATATAATACAAAATATTTTTTTATAACTAAATACAATATAAAATTAAATAATTTTTTTTTAATTTATTACGACTCTTTAATGCAGTCTTAATGCTGCAGCAGGAGACGTCCGTAAATTTATGTCTTAGTTGTCACCGACATTTTATGTCCTAAAACTAAAAGACATTTTAATGTAGGAGGTTTGTTGATGACGGCAAGCGCACAGTGTCAGTGTAGTTTGTGGGGCTTCTCTAATTCTACAAAGGAAACCACAACCACCTCCACCTTATTCTCCCTCTTGTCAAAAGCGAGAAACACAACCGATATCTGGAAGTCCGAACACACACACACACACACACACACAGTTAGTTACTGCAGTATATAGATACATTTAGAGATAATCGTGCTGTGAATATCAAACAAAAGATTGAGAAATATGTACTATAGTTTTGCTCCTCTGCTCTGAATCTCACTCTACACCCTAACAACTCCGACATTCGTAGCTCTCTGTTTAGAGGTATCTAAGAAGCTGATTGGTTTTGAACTGGAAGACTAGAGCCTTTTGGGATCTATTTTTGACTTTTTTTATTGTTCTAGTTGAATTGGAATTTGAAATGGCGGTTGTTTTTGATGCAGCTACTGATTGATTAAGGTAAAGAAGTGCACAATGTCTTGGAAGAGCAGGGGAGCAGAGCCAACTTCAAAGAACATTGTGTCTCGAAAATTGACTATTTTACTCTGTTTTGGCTGCTTCTGTGCTGGGATGTTCTTCACTGACCGGTTAGTTCCTTCGATCTTTTGTTGTTTTTTCCTTCCAAATGTTTCATTTTTCAGTTAATTGAGCAATTTGATGAAGTGGGTGGTGGTCGTTTCATCGAAAGCTTACTCCTTTATCTCCAATGACTCAATTCCTTCTCTTGGAGTTTGGTAATTATGGATTTTCGTGGGGTTTAAAAGGGAATTTTATGGTGATGCAAATTCTTTTGTTTTTATGGGTTTTTTGAATAATGCAAATCATTAAGAAGTATTGAGAAGTTTTCAATGGATTAGTGATGTTGTAAATGCTTACTTAGAAAAAGTGAATGTTGAAAAATGATGATCAATTTTTTTTTGACATTTCTGTTTTCTTCTTTATATGTACCTGAGACCGGCTTTAATCTGAATTATATGTCAAGCATATGAATCTGATAAATTAAGAATTATACTCCACAGCCATTTTGGTGCCTGGAATTAAATAAATATTACTGTATTAGATAGGCTCAATTGAAGTTTAGGTTGCTTCTTAACATATCTTGTTTAGACATAATCATTTTCAAAGAACATTGACATTGCCTCTCTTCCAGTGGTGCAGTAAAGTCGGTGGTTTTCTTAATGTTTCTACGAGTTTCTGAATGCCCCCTTATTTCTTGTTTACCTTCAATATATTTGGTTATCCTATGTGATAAATACAAAGGCTTCAAAGATAAGGTATACGTGATCTCATGGTTATAAGATTCTAACCTGCAAAAGCCCCTAAATCCTAATAGTGGTGGAACACATCAAGTTTTGTAGCATTTTTATCTTAAAGATATGTTGGCGTGAATATGGTGCCTAAGTTCTATGTAATGTAGCCTTGAATTCTGAAGTTGCAATTTGACCTATTTATTCACTATGCTGCATAGAGTTATTGTGTATGCATCCAATACTAATCAGGATACTGTGGTGATAGCATGTGGACAGTGCCAGAAGCTAAAGGCATGTTAAGGACAAAAGGGATTGAAGATGAAAAGCTAAAGTTGGTCTCAAACGGTTGTGATCCAAGATTAGTAAGTATTTCCTTACTGACAAGTACATAAGCATTAAGTTTTAATTTTTTGGGGGCAAAGGTTCATCAAATTAAATTCTAATGTTGCAATGGGAAAAAGCAAAGAAGAATAATTTCAACAGTTATTTGAGTCTTTATGGTTTCCTCAGAAGGATGTAAAGACGGAGTCCAAGAAGTCCAAGGACATTTTAGGGGAAGTTTCAAAGACGCATCATGCTATACAGTAAGCTTCATTAGGCTCACGATATCTGGGTTTCACTCAGATTTTTATTTGTTTTGGTTTATGTATCTACTTGATACAAAATTTATGGTCGTATACAAAGTGCAGAACACTTGATAAGACAATTTCAAATTTGGAGATGGAATTAGCTGCTGCAAAGGCCATGCAAGCTTCTATTCTCCGTGATTCTCCCCTGTCTGAAGATTTGAGGATTCCTGATGTAACTAAGAAAAGGAAGTATTCAATGGTCATAGGCATTAACACTGCTTTTAGCAGCCGAAAGAGAAGAGACTCTGTCCGTGCTACTTGGATGCCTCAAGGTTCATGAAATTTCCTGTGAGCCCTTATGTGCGCTTTTTTTATTTTCCCCCAGTCAAATTCATTTTACCCATAGAGAGAGGCCTTGGCGCAATGGTAAGGTTGCTCCATTGTGACTTGGAGGTCATGGGTTCAAGTCGCGGAAACTGCCTCTCTACTTGTAGAGGTAAGGCTGCGGTACATTTGACCCTCTCCAGACCCCGCCATGATGGGAGCCTTATGCGCCAGGTACGCCCCTTTTTTAAATTCATTTTACTCACTGTATCTTGGGGCTGTGTCCCATTGCCCCCCTAAATGCATGGTTGTGATTTTAAAGACCTTTCTACCTGTGGACAAACTAAAATTGGTATACTACCGTCTAATGTAACCATTTTGTGCCATGCGCACTCGATAAGAGTTGTTTGGTATGTCAAACTATGTAATATCCTTGAGTTCCACCCCTACATCTTTGTCAAAAATCGTTTCTAAGACTTATTACTCGACAACGACGGCATCATTGTTATCCATCGTCTAATTCTAAGCCACCACAATCCCTTCTTCACAGCCACCACCAAGGCCAATAACCAACAGTGAGACGGAAGATAGGAAAAAAATTCATTAAACATGTATCTTTGTTGATTGTGAGCACGAAGTTCGGCTTCGTACTTAGACTTGCAGCTATCTAAACTCTAAAGGGTATAATATTATAGTGCTTACTTATCAGTGCTCAGATGGCTTCTGACATTGTGTTTGATAAGGACTCTAGAAGAAATGCCATAGCCAATAGATATGTATATGGAAATTGGGGAAAAGAAATATAGAGTTCCAAGCTTAAGGGGCAAATTTTTTAGAAAATGAAAAAGAGTGTGGTTTTGGTTGCTGAGCTAAGCTTAGTTGTGGTTTAGAGAGGGGAGAGAGAGAGACAATTAAGGTTGATGCAAACATACCAATTTTGGTTAGAATATGAGGAATTCTAGAAGAGGTAAGTTATTATCATATTCGGATTTGGAAAGGTGAGGAAATGGCACTTTGTGATCTCTTGTAGCTTGGACAAATCAGACCGCATCAAAGATGTTTTGATCAGTGGCAATGGTGGTTTTAGAGAGAGAAATAAAAGGGTTTTATGGACTTGTTTGTGCGTCTTTATCTCACAATGTCTGTGAATTTGGACTTTTTTTTCATGAGTTTTGGTTTTGGTTGAATTGAAGTGCATATCGAAATCATGGATTTAATTGACATCGGTATTAAAATGGAGGTTGAATTGAAGTGGATGTTAAATGGTGGTTTATGTAATGAAGTGAGGGTGGAGGGTATGTTAGAAAATTGACACAACCCATCAGTCTGTTACAATTTGCCCTTGACCCATTAGTCCAAGAAGGTTCAGTAACTGAAAATGAAGTTAAAGTGGGTAATGTGTTATAAGCCCCAAATACAGGGAGATGATTTGTTTTCAACCCTCTTTTTCCATTTTTAAAAAACTTAATTTGAAATAATATTGCTTTTCATGTATAATAACTTGTCTTTATTTGTTAAAAATCAGGTGATAAACGAAAGAGGCTAGAAGAAGAAAAGGGCATTATAATTCGATTTGTGATAGGGCACAGGTGGGCAACGGATATTCAAAGCTGATCTATATTAAGTGAACCTGTCTCTTCTGTATTTTTGGGTTTGTGAATTTTGCTTATTATCCGAAGTACTAAATTAATGAAGTTCACTAGTTCCCAAGAATTCTTGTGAATATGATGGTATTAGTTTTGTCTGTGCTCTCAATTTAAGAATTTATAGGTAATGTGAAGATTTTGTTGCCAATTTGCACATTTAAATACGTTGAAACTGCATATTGATGTAAAAGACATGTTACTCAAACAGTGCTTCATTTTCATAGCTAATAAATCTGGAACTTGCTTGCCTCGATGAGAATCTGATGGAAGGTACGATCCTGAATGAGACAGCCATGAATAAGTTGTTTGTATAACCACAAGTTTCACTCATGGATAAGTAGACATTGATGAAATTTTTCATCCCAATTTTAGCAGCCAATTTAGGTGGATAGGTCACATGTGGAAATACCAGTTAACCTTCTTAGCTCTTCTTCGTTAGTGAAAATATCTGCCCTTTTTTCTGTCATACAGCTTTTCTTAAATATTTTTTTTTAATCTTTGTTCCTTTTTCAAAATAAAAAGATTCTGTGATTTTGTGCTCTTTCATTGATGAGGATGACAATATTAGGGTCTAATCAATTGGTTGGGTTAGTTGCAAAGTGTCTTGCATATGCTGTATAATGCTTTATCGTTTGTTCGATAACTGTCAACCTGATTACAAGTTGGGATGGGAAAGCTTTAATTAAGACCTTTCAGTTCCATTTTATTTCGCCACCTGGGTACCTTCTTGGCTCGTAAGCATCTAATATATTGTCCTCAACTTACTCTGATGAGGTTAAATTGATCCGTGGCTTCCACAGTTATAGACTATTATATTCCTCGACTTATGCTCCCTTTAACATTTAATTCCATGGTTGATGGGTGGGATGGGGGTTTCTTGGTGGGAAAGGGGGATTAACTACTTTTTCTGTCTCTGCTCATTTCATCTGTGCTCTATATATCTCCAGGGCTGTGTTTGTAACACATCGAATGTATGTGAAAAGCATTTGGCCGCTTCCGAAATGGGAAATAACAGTCCTAAAGGACAGTTACCATAAAACTGCTGCTGGTTGTGTTGCTCTGTGTTATAGTTCAATGCCTATTTAAATTATTTAGTTTGATTCCTTATTGTCAAATGAATAAATTTTTTTCGATGGGGTTATAGGTGAAAAGTTTTTGAATGCCTTATTGTTTCCTTATAGTTGAATGCTTTGGATGGGGTTTCCCATTTGATAAGGAAACACAGTTTGTGCTTGTAGATTCCCTATTTTGCTCAAAATATTAAGGGGAGACTTTAATCCATAATGTCTGCACATAAAGGCTTATTAGAATTTTTTAAGGTTGACAACTACATTCATATATTCCTTTCTATGCGACTTATGGTGAATGGAGTCTAATTTCCTCTCTATTTCCCAATTGAATGTTTCCCAATTTACCCTTCAATCTCCAGTGCTACATCTGGCAGTATTCTTGATAGAGCTATTGAAGCAGAGGATGGGAAGCATGGGGACTTGTTGAGGCTGGTACTGCTACTATTTCTTGTTTCTTTGTCTGTAGTTTTTCTTAACAGCTATTGGACAAAAGAAACAATGCTCGCCACACTTTTTTTTGGGTGTGGGTTTGCAGGTTGGAGGGAAGGGGAGAAAGTATCCCATACCCATGCCCGAACCTGTACTGTAGCTCATGTGTGCATTTTTCATGCTGCATCGGTTCTACGCAATGATATTGTGAGAAGCCAACTGACTGATCCTCATGTAAATGTGACATGTGTAGGAACATGTTGAGGGGTACCTTGAACTGTCTGCCAAGACAAAGTCATTTTTCACTACAGCTGTTGCTTTATGGGATGCAGATTTCTATGTTAAAGTAGATGATGACATACATGTAAATATAGGTAAAGATGCTGACATTTTTCCTTTCACATTGGAAAAAAATATCCATGTGTTTTGACAACCATGGGGTCTGCAACAGTTGCTAACCACATATTTCCCAGAGTAGGTGGTTCCACTAAATTACTCTGCTTAAAGAACAACATTCATGTATAGTTTGAAAACAAGTGTTAAACTACATCCTTCCATGACAGAAGAGTTTAGGAGATTAATAGTGCATCTAGTCATTGGTGGCCATTGGGAATTTTAATCTTGTGATGCTGTTCTTATATTCAACTGCAGCAACACTGGGAGCAACTTTAGGTAGGCATCGTTCAAAACCCCGGGTGTATATTGGATGCATGAAATCTGGTCCCGTCCTTGCTCAAAAGTGAGCGAAAGCTTTTCTACTAACTTTTCTTCCTTGAAACAAGGTGAACCGAAATGTTCTTCTATTTCCTGGTTTCTAACTTGCGTTTTGATAACAGGGGAGTGAGATATCATGAACCTGAGTACTGGAAATTTGGTGAGGAAGGAAACAAATATTTTCGCCATGCTACAGGGCAGTTATATGCCATTTCAAAAGATTTGGCTACTTACATATCAATCAACCAGTAAGAGTGTGCATGCGTGAAAAGCTGTTCATTTATGTTTTTTGGGTCTTGTATTTCATCTTATTACCCTTGTGATGGTAATCATAGGCATGTGCTACACAAGTATGCTAATGAGGATGTCTCATTGGGATCTTGGTTTATTGGATTGGATGTGGAGCACATAGATGACCGGAGATTATGTTGCGGAACCCCACCTGGTAACAATACACTATTATGTAGTTTTATTTGCTTAAATTCTCAGCTTACTCACAAGGTAGTTTTGGAACACAATTGTATTAACTTAAGTCTTAAGCAATGAAAACAGTTTCCATTGGCCTAGTGTCTTTGGTTCAAAAGTCTCTCTCCAATTGTTGCCAGAGACCAATCACAGTGAAGCTAGTCATGTTTTGGTGCAATGCATCAGCACACCTTGTCACTACCCCCTGTTCTATGTCATTGGTGGGAATAATTGGCAGTTGTATTGGACATAGCTCCTGGATCACATTTTTGACATACTGGTGTGGTCACCTTGCATACCAACTTCACATATTTGGACTAGGTATGTCCATCATGTTGGGTTTGGTGGGTTCGTATAAAAAAACATTGCACTCATACTTGATTCGTTTATTAATTAGTGTCTAATGAATCGTGTCATATCAAGTTTGTATCCTATATGAATCGTATATAACCAGTCATGTCATGTATTTTTTCAGATTAGTTTCACTGATACCTGACTCGTTTATTAATCGTATTGTATCGAGTCCACTCATTCACAAAATGCGTTACTAAAAGAAGACCCAATCCCTCTAATTTCGTGTTGTGTTAATAGTCGTGTCATATTTTAGCACTCCTAATTTAGATTACATTAGAAGTTCCTCGAACTAGTCAAAATAACACACTATGCATTCTAATCAGAGACTGGATGTTTCTAATATGATAAGCAGGCTGTTACATAACGTTTGATATGAATGTGGCTATGTTTTGAACACAAGGCCTATTTAAAGATCCGTAGGAAAGCTTCATCTAATTATGTCCCAAGTTCTTACCAAGAGGATTTTCGGCTGTCACTGCATTGATCATCAACAAATTCGACCTGGTTGTGAGTCAGAAGACTGGAATCTTCAAAAAATAGATAAACTCAGATCATTTGATTCTCTGGTTTCGAGTTTGTTCAATCGTATCAGTAATTATGATTCTTGCTTGATGCTTATTACCTAGTTTAGATTGAGGCTTACAGAGTGGTTGCCCATAGGCTGAACCACTTGGATTGATCATATGTTCTATGAGGTTTACGTAGAACAAACAGTACCCAAGGTCCACGGTGGCAACAAATAAGTTCCTGGCTGATGATTCTATTGTATTATAATCAATCAAGAAATATACATGATTGATGATTTAATCATGTCATTTTACCACAGACTGTGAGTGGAAGGCACAGGCAGGCAACATCTGTGTTGGTTCCTTTGATTGGCGTTGCAGCGGAATTTGCAACTCTGCTGATAAGATTAAGGAGGTCCATCGACGGTGTGGGGAAGGTGAGAATGCTCTGTGGAGTACAGTTTCCTGAGAAAGGGAAACTTGTTCAACCTCTGGAAGATGCACGTACGTACGAGCTACGAGTTTGTATTAAGGATTTGATTATTTAAAACTGTATGTAAATCCAACCTGTAAACTATACATATGTGGGACGCTGAGAAACAGCGGTCGCAGTTGGGTTTCTGCTCCATTTTAGGTGAGGAGAGAGACTCTTATAGCCCGCGATTGATGAGCAAGTGTTACCAACCATTCTTTAGATGCTTGGGAGACCATATTGTTAGTCTGCCACGGCTATTGAAATTCATAAAGGGTGTCAATCCTTGAGCAAGCAGTTGCTGCTTGCTTCACAAATTAGTAATTTTTCTCTTTTGCCTTTGTTTCTTTTTCATGATTACTATGAGATGGTGATACAGATCCTACTTTTTGATGGTCTCGTTTCTTCAGGCTAAAGCCGTGTGTGTGATTATTTTCTTTTCTGGGTTTCTAGGCGTGGGGGTGGGGTGGAAGGCATCATAGATGCTCTTGCTCATTGCTTTGCATAGGCTTCCACAAATGGCAGAGAGACAGCTCATGTAGGCCCTAAAAGTCTATATTATGTGGATTTTACTCGGTATCTTTTAGAGGTTGGTTTTTTTTTTTTTTTTTTTTGTAGATTTTTTTGAACTCTAAGTTCACTTAAAAAACTTATTTGGGAATTAGTCTATTTTGATTTCAATTGTCTAAAATACACTCAATAATTATATTTAATCAAAATTTATTTGAAAAAATTAGCAACTCCTAAATTGAAAATTGTATTAGTATTAACAACTCTTAAATTGGGAATAGTGCTAGCATTAAAATTATTTTTTTATCTTATATATATATATAGATTAGAGAGAGAGAGACAGAAAGAAACATCAAATAATAATATATTCAACAAAAAAATAGTAACATTAAACGATAATATACTCAACAAAAAAAAATGAATATCAAACAATAGCATGTTCAATAAAAAATTTAATTAAAAATTTAATCATTGCAATAGAATAACATCATACAATGAGTATTTATTTTGTTGTAGGCAAGACAATAGTTTTGAATACTACATATGATGTCATTCTATTGCAATAATTAAATTTTTAATTAAATATTTTATTGAGTATGTTACTGTTTGATGTTATTATTTTTTTAATGAGCATTTTATTGTTCAATTTTACTATATACATATATATATATACACACACACACACACATACAAGGGATAACTCATGTCTGAAGGCACGGTGCAACATAAGTAAGAAGTGATAGATTTGAGGGGTGAAAAATTCAATATGAATAGTTTTGAGAGAATGTTGTTAGTCGTTGGATGAATTTATTTGAGACCGTTGAATAATTTTAATGGTAGTACAATCCAAGTTAAAAGTTGTTATATTTGAAAACATAAAAAATAATAAAATAGACAATATTTATGGTATGAGAAATTAGGTAATATAAAAAAAATAATTTAAAATATTTACTTAATAACAATAATTTGATGAAAAAGAGAATTTAATAAAGTATAGATATGACAGTCTATTTAAAGTCAAATAAGTTTTTAAAAAAAATACTGAGGGCCAAATATTGTTTTACTTGGAGGTTTCGTATGCATTTATATGTAAGGTGATCCAAAGGAGGGTGGCTTCTTGAGTTGAACTAAAGTCAGCATCCATGACCTCCAAAACTCACTTCAGACACTAAATATTTTGTTGTTTTTAGTAAATATGGCAGATTAGCTGATAAGATGGGCCTGTTTACTTGGTTGGAGTTTTATACATCGACACAAACAAGATAATAGAAAATAAGACAATTGATAAACATAAATAATAAATTGATTAGATTAATATTTGAGACGAGTAATCTGTTTATCGAATATTTTCATAAGAAAATGAATATTTTTTACTTTTTTATTGCTTGATCTAGAATTTTATGAATCCTTTTGGATAGAAGTTTTTTTAACATGTGGCTTAACACGAACACAAATTAAAATTACACGATATTACTCAATTAACGCTTTATTTTGAATCATTCAACGAAGCATGAATCATTTTGAAAGATTAATTGAACTTCATTTTAAATTCAACTGAATAAAATGTGTTCCTAATTATTTAAGATGGATTACCTGCTTTTTTAGTATTTTTTAATATATATATATAAATTAATTATTGCTCATGCCCAAAGGCACGGTGTAATAAAAAAAATTATCAATTATAAACATATTTGTATTTACACTCAAAATTAAATCACAAATATAAATGAAAGAAAAAAACAATTTAAGCACTGCACTACAAGAATAAGAGTTTTTTGTGATAAATTTTTCACGGCGGTTGTGTTTGCCGCCACAAAAGGCCTGTTTGAGACAATTTTTTTTGGTGACTGTGTTTGTCGTCACAAAAAACGTGTTAGTATTAATATTTTGTTAATATTTGTGGCAGTTATTTTTCCTGTCGTAAATAATGTCATAAACTAAAAAAAAAATTATATTTAAGATAGTTATTTTTTTTTGCCACAAATAATATTTCATAAACTCAAAAAAAAATTTATATTTATGGCAGCTATTTTTCCTTTTGTATATAAGATTTCAAAAAACATTAAAATGTTGTTTGAAATTAAAAAACAGTTTATAGTTTAAAGAAGAAAACTTCTAAAAAAAATTTGTATTGGTCAAAACTATTTTTCATGTTACAAGTAATATTTTATCAGATTACGTAATTTTACATCAAAAGATAATTTCTAGTTCAAAGAAAAAAAATAAAAATTTACAAAGTCAATTTTTTATATAAAAATTAAATGTGTCAAAATATGACATGACCTATTAACACAACATAAAATTAGTGGGTTTGAGTCTTACTTAATCCACCTGCTTAGTAAACGAGTGGATCTGACACAATACAATTATGAATCAGGTATTGGTGCAACAAATTGGAAAAAATGTATACGATATGACTCGTTCATATACCATTAACATAATTGGATAAGTCGTTCAGAGAAATATTGTGTGATCCTCTGTTAATATATATTATAACTTTTTTTAGTTCTTTATTGTATATATGTATATAAATATCATTTTAGTATAGTAACAATAATTTTATGTTTTTTTTTTAGATGTCACTGAGAGCGTAAATGGTTCGGGAAGGATGTTTAATTTTTTGCATTAATTTCTTATACTCATAGGTCGTTATATTTTATAAAAATACATATTTTACATTTTGTTTAGTTCATTGGATTGTTTTTTTTTATATGAAAATTCTGTTATGTTTTTGAAAATGTTGGTCATATTTATTTTTGTGTTTATCTATATATTGAATTGGGTAATTGTACGGATATCAATGGGTCTTTGGTTCAATGATATTTTATGCCTTGTGAAAAACTTTGTTTTCTTGATATCATGGGTTCAAGCTCACTTCCCCCTCTCCCTACCAAAAAAAAAAAAGTTGTATGAATGTCCACACGCATAGGGTATATAACATTGCTTACCAGCGGTTCATAATAATTAAAAAAAAATTATTTTTTTTGTGACGGCATTGTTGCCGTCGTAAATATATTTCATTTAACGTAGAAAAAATTTCATACTTTTTATGACAGTATATTAACTGTCACAACAAATTTTTTTATTTTTTACAATAACCAAATGTGGTATTTGAGATAGTACATTTGTCGTGATAAAAATAAAAGTGTCGGATTTTGTTATGATAACTTATTTACAATAAGGTCTTGTTGCCGCAAATATTATTTGAGGTAAATCGTTGTTGTTGTAAAATTTTTTTGAGAACATACTTATTATGACGAGACAATGCCGCCACAAAAAAATTTTGTGGCAGCAAATAAACCTTTTATGACAACACTTTACTGTAACAAAAACTCTTTTTTCTTGTAGTGCCGATTGTAGTAGGGGTAAGCAGTGATAGTGGTAGTGGACAACAGTGGTGGTGGGGGGGGGAAACGGTAATAGTTGTGATGGGCGACGACTATCGTGATAATAGTAGTCGTGGGTGGCAACAGTGATGGTGATGGTAAATTTTGAGTGACGATGATGATAGTAGCAACCATGGGCGACGACGATGGTGGTGGTGGTTGTAGTAGAGGTGATGGTGGGGCAATGACGATGAGAGTGGTGGTGGGGGTGGCCGCGATGGTGGTAGTTGTGGTAATGATGATGGGGGTGGTGATAAAGGGGTGATTCTAAATACTATTTTTTAATATATATATATATGTATGAGAAATTATAAGTTTTAGAAACACTTTTAAAAAGTCACCACAAATATGTGAACTTTTTTTTTTTATTAAATTAGAGAGTTAATATTAGTTGTCGAATTAATTTTAAAATAAAATTTAATATAGATTTTTGTTTATATTTTGAATCTATAAAATTTAATATAGATTCAACCACGAAAAATAAAAATTATATTATTTATATTTTAATATTTGAATTATCTTTTACTTTATTATCTAGATTTTTTTATATATATGTCCAAATCATCTGACCTATGCATTGAAGGTTTTAAGTACCTTGAAGAAAACATACTTTGAATCAAAGAAATGCTTGCGAATTGAAAAGTTTCAGTATCTGTAGGTTTATTATTACTTGAAAAAGAAAGCCTATGAGCCGTGTGAAATCAAACCATGCCACCTCTCTCTCTTGGATAACTCCAAACCCAACTAACCTTTCCCATGATTCCTAATTTTCAAATGATTTCTACCCTGAAAGGCAAACCCACTCTTTCTCTCTCTTCCGACTAAAGAACCCTCTGTCAAGATATAAATCTGTACCCTGAGGCTTTTATTTTCAATTCAGCAACAAAAAAAAAAAAAAAAAATCCATTTCTTGTCAAACTATTACTTTACCTTTTCCTGTCTTCATCTTCCTTTCCCTATTGAGCCTCTCAGTTCTTGTAATTACTCTTAGTTTTGAATATGAGAACTCTTCATGACACTGTAAATGGCCTTAAACTCATAGATTGTTTCCTCAGATTGTTTGTGGTTCCTCTGAGTATTGCATCAATATGGTTAACTGTGACCGATCAGCAAGATAACAGCAGCTATGGGAAGGTAGAGTTCAGCAATCTCTTGGGACTCAAGTAAGTTTTATAATCATCTTCATCCTTTTAGCCTTGTATTCAATACTATTTTGTATCTGCAGATGCTGAATTGTCTCTGCAGGTACATGGTTTGTATCAGTGCTATTTCTGGTGGGTATGCCCTCGCTGCTGCTGCGTCTTCATGGATCAAAGTCTTAGCAACTAAAGCATGGCTGTTCTTTGTTTCTGACCAGGTTTCATCTTTTAAACTTTTCCTGGATTTTATCACTTCCATGATTATTTTCGAAGAAATACATAGCAGACTACTGGAACTGATAGTTGATTATCGGCTTTATCAATTCCTTTTTTCTCTGGGTTGCAAGTTGGGTTGGTAATTTTTGACATCATCCGATATGAAACTAACATGAAATTAGCCCGAGCTCAGTCTTAAAGATTGTTGTCATAAATAGGTTGATTGAACTCATTTATCAAATGGGTGAAAACAAAAAGAACTAAACATGATTTATATACAATTATAAATGGTTCAGAATGTAGATTGGTCAAATTTTAACACGACACAAGCCATGAAAAACGTTTGTTTTAAACTTGTCCATTTATATTATAATAAGCAGCATAGAACATGATGGATGAAGTTCAATTGCAACAATTTACTCCAACTTTTTAGCCAGACTTTTTGAGGGGAATCATCTAGGATCTGTCCTACCAACGCCATACGGTTGAAGTAAATGCACTAGGTGAAATCTCATTGATTCCATAGTAGTCACGTCTGTTTCTACCTCAAAATAATGGACTTTACTAGGGGACCATACTTTTAAAGTTTATCACTTTAATAGATATTTTTTTAAGTTTTGTAGATCATTTTATAATTAAAAAATTTATCATGTTTGTGATTGATTTATCACTTTTATGGGTATTTTTATCAATGTTGTATGTGTTTTTATCACATTTGTAAAACTATTTGTTATTGATACAAAAAAAAAGTACTACTTTTGTGGGTGGATATCAACATTTATGAATGTTTTTAACTATCTATCATTTTTTGGGTACCACAAAAATAGTAAAAACATCCACAAATATAAGAAACGGAGACTCCAAAATAATTAATGTTTCTATTGTGTGGGTGGTTTGGGCAGGTTGTAGCATATTTAATGGTCACATCAGGGGCTGCAGTGGCAGAGATTCAATACTTGGCCTACAATGGTGATCAAGAGGTTACATGGAGTGAAGCCTGCAGTTCTTATGGGAAGTTTTGCAGCAGATTGAACATAGTTTTGGCTCTTCATGCCATAGCCCTTTGTTGTTTCCTTGTATTGGCTGTGATCTCAGCTTATAGGGTCTTCAGCAGGTTTGAGCCTCCTTTTGTTCCTTCTAAGGAAGGTGAAGAACAAAGGACTTAGTTATTATTGTTATAATCATCTTTTCTCTTAGTTATGGAGTGATATGTAGTAATTTCTCTCTTATTTCGATGTATTATGAATGCATTTGCATCTATTTTATATTATTATATCCATCCTACATTCTCCATTTTTTTTTTATTGTTGAGATATTGAGGTCTTCTCATGTTCTTTCACCTGTCACATCATTCAAACAAATTTAAAAAAAAAAAAACAACATATGTTGATTCAATAGTTGAACAAGGGCGAGACGTAAATCTGTACATTTTGAGTTTGATTTTTCGTGAAAATATAAAATTCTAAATTTAATTTATTTTGTAGGTGATTGTGTGTATTCATAATTTTTGTGTTTCACCAATGAATTTCGAGAGCAAGTGATTGAACCAAGCAATGACTATTGGGGTAACTATTAAATCCTCAAATTCAAGTCAGCATTTACTATTTCATTTTCTATTTCTTTTTTTTGTTTGAATAGTTTTAGTAAGCCCCTACCAAACCCACTACGATGAAGAATGTGATGGTTAATCAATAGTGTTTGGAGAACAACAAAGTTGTATTTAACCCCACGCTTAGATGATGTCATGGTGATGAAATTGAGCAATAAAAAAATTACATCAATTTCATGTTTTATGTTATGAGTAAATATTTGCGACAAGAAATGAATCTTATTCGATGCCTATTTAATATTCAAATATCTTCCATCTAATCCATTCAAATATCTATTAATTAAGGTTCTCATATGAGAATAAGCGGATGATTCAGTGAATAAATATTCAGATAAAGAACTTCAGGTTGAATCTCATTGGTTGTTGCGTATTTGTTCCTTCCTATATAGACACCCTCGATCAAGTGCAAAAATATTAGTTTATATCAATCGAGATGGACGAATTAATTTGTATCATTTATGTATGATAATATGATACCTCGCTTTCAACGAGAGTCAAACTCAAGACCCTCCATTTGAGAAGTATGAGTTTTATTCTATATAGTGAGCTAGACTCAACCCGATTGATTCTACCAAGTTCCAATGACAAATCGATCACCCATATGTCAAGTTGGATTTATTACCTACTTTAGTTCCAAAATTATTGCACCTCCGTTGTAAGACATTGAGTTTGAAATGATTTGTGAACTTAATCATTTTGAGTTTGAATATTTATAAATTTTTAAAGTCAGATTATGAAAAATTTATTTTTTAATATTGTACCAAAATTTAATTGAGACCATTCTAGACTTCACCGGCACGTCTATTCTTCCTCCATCATTTGTCAAAGCCTTTGCAAACCCTATTGCTTGAGCTTTAGATCAGATGTCAAAATCACATCTTGTCGTGGAGAAATGACACACCAAAAAGTTTACCCTACGATTTTTACTATCTTTCACACGTAATAGTATGAACTACGGGCACCAAACACATCATTAACTCTAAAATATAATTCAAGAAGCTGATATCAACACTTCCTCAATGATTATACCCATCGAAAAATGGAGGTGTCATTGGGAAAATCGAAGCTGCCCGAAAAACTTAAAAACATAGTGAATAATAAAACATAAAGACGTAGGGGGTATTATTAGCTTAATGATTCTCTTTTTGAATACTCTAATAAACAAGGTGGACCTCCTTATCTAGACTCTCAACATCATGACCATAATGGCCAAATATTAAATCATAAGAAAATGGACCACTAAGACTAATCAAATGAAACAATCATTGATTATAAAGAAAGTGAAATTGAAATTGAAATTAAAATAAATAGAGTATTAAAATTTGATAATAAAGTTTTAAGTCATTCTTTTCGGATAGTTTAGGATATTGGACCTTGAGAGAATTAGGAGCGTTCGGTCCAATTTGAAATATTGGGCCTTAGTATGATTGAAACCCATATTTTTATTGGGCCTTGAATTTTCAAATTAGTGAAAATTGAAGATGAGTCTCTAATAATAAAATAATAATTGATTATAAAGAAATTAAAATCATAAGAAATTGAAATTGAAATTAAAATAAATAGAGTGTTAAAATTTTATAATAAAGTTTTAAGACATTCTTTTCTGGTAGTTTAGGATATTGGACCTTGAGAGAATTAGGAGCGTTCGGTCCAGTTTGAAATATTAGGCCTTATTATGATTGAAACTCACATTTTTATTGGGCCTAGAATTTTCAATTTATTTCCCCAAACATGTTGGGCCACTCACAACTAAATTGCCCAAATGAATTAGTTGGCCATGTATCTCCCTTAAACGTCGTAGTTCCGTGGGGTGGTGGGACAGAGGGGTGTTTTAGTCTTTTAGAGCTGCACTTGGTGTGTACGATTGATCAGTTGCCCTTCCCTACCTTTCTTGTGCAGAAAACATTCTCTCTTCTCTCTCTCTCTCGTTAGTATTTCTCTTGCTCCTTTAATTTCTAACTTTATCCTTCGAAATTCCCTTAATTCTGTTCTGTTTAGGTACTTGATCTTTGTAGAGCAGTAGGCGATGGCCAAGAGTTCCTTCAAGTTAGAGCACCCCCTCGGTATCTCTCTCTCTCTCTCTCTACTTTTTGCAACTGTGATCTGATTTTTTACTAGCCCTATATATGTGTATTTTAACATTTTGGCCTTTGAATCGTTGTTTTTATCGTCGATTTTGATGTCTGATTTGTTGGATTTGGGTTGTATGTTGCATAATTTGTGTATGCTGAAGATTTTATTGGCCTGGGACTTAGAATAAGTGTTTTATTAATTGTATGTGAAAGACCAAAAAAATATCTATTATATTACGGCAAAATGGATCTCGATTTGTACTTCTCTCTGTTAAAACATGTTATATGTGCATTGATTTTGCGACCCTATTTTGCGTTTGTCCCTTTTTTTTTTGGGTTTTTTCTTTTTCTTTTTCTTTTTTCGTTTGGAGGGGGGGGGGGGGGTATAGGGTTTCTGATCCGTCGAATTTGTGCTTTGGTTTGATTGAGGGATATGTTTACAATGCAATGGAAAATGCTAGTTTTTGCCAGGTTGAATTCAGTCTGCTTCTTAATTTAGTTTTTGCCAAAATATCTAGTTTATTACGCTAAAATGGATCTCGATTTGTACTTCTCTCTGTTAAAACATGTTATATGTGCATTGATTTTGCGACCCTATTTTGCGTTAGTCCCTTTTTTTTTGGGGTTTTTTCTTTTTCTTTTTAGTTTGGAGGGGGGGGGGGGGTATAGGGTTTCTGATCCGTCGAATTTGTGCTTTGGTTTGATTGAGGGATATGTTTACAATGCAATGGAAAATGCTAGTTTTTGCCAGTTTGAATTCAGTCTGCTTCTTAATTTAGTTTTTGCCAAAATATCTAGTTTATTACGCCAAAATGGATCTCGATTTGTACTTCTCTCTGTTAAAACATGTTATATGTGCATTGATTTTGCGACCCTATTTTGCGTTTGTCCCTTTTTTTTTTTGGGTTTTTTCTTTTTCTTTTTTAGTTTGGAGGGGGGGGGGGGTATAGGGTTTCTGATCCGTTGAATTTGTGCTTTGGTTTGATTGAGGGATATGTTTACAATGCAATGGAAAATGCAAGTTTTTGCCATGTTGAATTCAGTCTGCTTCTTAATTTAGTTTTTGCCAAAATATCTAGTTTATTACGCCAAAATGGATCTCGATTTGTACTTCTCTCTGTTAAAACATGTTATATGTGCATTGATTTTGAGATATTATTTTGAGTTTTTTTGTGTTTTTTGGAAGGGAGGGGGGTATAGGGTTTCTGATCCATCGAATTTGGGCGTTGGGTTGAATGAGGGATATGCTTACAATGCAATGGAAAATGCAAAATTTTTGCCAGGTTGAATTCATGCTTCTTAATTTAGAGCTTGTTATTACTCTTGGTGGTGGAAACTTTCTTCTAGGTGGAGATGTGTAATAAAAAGGAGTTCTTCCTCAAGAGGTTGCCAGTATATAGATCAAGCTTTAGTGAAACTGATATTCGTTTAGATTTCTTGCAATGTGGACTAATTTTATTAACAAGGGGAACTAATTCCAAAGATTTTCTGTTTTCCGTGTCAATTTAGATTAATTAATGTAACTCTTCTATATTACTTTCTGAATCAAGTGTTGTCTTTTTCGTTTCACTAATGAGAAGAAGAAAGTTCCATAGAATATTGATAGTTGACAGGGAAAAGGTTGCAATGATTTTTATGTGGTTCAAAATCTTATCTATATCTGTCATTTATTGAAGTCAATCATATAAAGCTGACCTTGTGTGATATTGTTCTGCATTCGTATTTAGAGGTTATAAGATATTAGAAGTTCTTCCTTGCAAGCTCTTTCTATAGTATGCGTTCTCATGTTTTTTCCCAATTTTTGCAGAAAGGCGTCAGGCTGAAGCTGCTCGTATCAGGGAGAAGTATCCTGATAGAATACCAGTATGAAAAATGTGCCTCATTCATCTGCACGATTAGTCTTTGTGGATGCTAAACCTTATAGTTCTTGTGTTCGGTTTTATATTTTCAACATTTCTCCTCCTCTATATAGGTTATTGTGGAGAAGGCTGAAAGAAGTGACATACCTGATATCGACAAGAAAAAGTTAGTCACTTTTTATGGCCCTGCGAATGCAATTATGAATTATTGGTCTTTTGTAATGGTCAAATTCAATTCAATGCAATTGAGATTATTGTCAGATAAAGTTAATTCTACTTACATCCGTTGTCTTTTTTTTGCAATATGAGTTTGTTTGGACTCATAATTATCTTACAAGGTTAAGTGGTTGTGCCATAATATGTTGATTGAAGCAAGGTATTACTTATTCTGTTACAAATTACTCGTCAACCAAAGAAATTATATTAACTCTGGCAAATATGACCTCCAAAATAAGTTGTTTCCGAAGAAGTAAAGGTGTTGGGTCTTTTTCTAATGAGACGAATTATGTTGGCATCTCATCTTTTCTGGGGGATAGTATAACATGCTTTGTTGAATGCCCCAAATAATACTTTTTTTTTTTTGGCATGTGATCAAAGCGGCAGCTGCATATCTACTTCTGAAATATTTTATTCTTGGTGAATGCAGATATCTGGTTCCTGCTGATCTGACCGTTGGTCAGTTTGTCTATGTGGTGCGAAAGAGGATAAAGCTCAGTGCTGAGAAGGCTATATTTATCTTTGTCAAGAACATTCTGCCACCCACTGGTGAGAAAAAATCGCAATTACGCTACTCATAGCTATGTATGAGCTTCTCTTTTTTATGGTCCATTATTGATACTTATTGATTTGTGTTATCACAGCTGCCATGATGTCTGCAATTTATGAGGAAAACAAAGATGAGGATGGCTTCCTTTACATGACTTACAGTGGGGAAAACACTTTTGGATCATTCTGAAATACAGCCAAGCTGAATTTATGTAAATAAACTTAATGAAACAAGATAAAATATGTAAATTCTCGTCTGTTATGATTCTAGGGCTATCCTTCTCTAAGGATTGCTCGTTTGGACAGTGTCCCCGTGTTTTAATTTGGATATTTTTCGTTATTGTAAGCAGTAAATATTGGTATGGTTTTTCCAAAAAAGTCACACCTGGAATGTTTCTGTAGTTTACCCTGTTGATGTCTTCTTTCTTTGCTTTGACAATGATAACATCGATGCCATTGCAGGAAATATGTCTTGACAAATATGGTTAAATTTAAGCTTTGTTATCCTCAGGCTCAGTTTCTTTTCAATCAAACTGATAACTTTAGCCCAAGCTTGGTAGGTTAGTATTTGAATAAGCTTGTTGAGAAGAAAGAATGTTTGATGACCAATTTATGTGTAAATCTTATGGATACAAAGGGTGATGATAATGTCAGATGCATTGTCTTTGCAGCAATGTTTTGCAAATTTTAGCTGTGATTGACAGATTTTATAATTAAAGTGAGCCAAAAGAGAGTTTATGATTTTGTTGTTGTAAATATAATTACATTTTTTAGGAGGGAACAGCGAGGTCCGAATTCACAGCAAAAGTAGTGATTATTATGTAAATTGTTAACCTCAGTAACAAAATACATTAAAAAGCAGAAAATATATTTTTTTTATTTTGTAATAAACAAATATGGACCAGTCCACAAACCAATAATCCTGACTTGGGACCCAAGCTAATAGGATCTAGCTCAAGGCCTGGATTTTCTGGGCTGGGTACTCAGACCTGGCAAAACTTCCATCCCAGGGACAACCCTAATTTGTATGAGATGACATAGGAAGAGTGTAAAGCTAACATAGCTGTGTCCTCCAACACTATATGCTTATCAAGGTTTAGAGCATAGTAATAAGGGATTTTATAGCCAAGTAAAATTCATGTATAAGGTTTCAACAAATCTATGAAGTGGGTGGGTTTAGGCAATTTTATAGAAAATATATTGTGATACTTGTGATTAATCTATGGATCTCATGTGTATTTGTATCCCTTACCAAACATTGAATTGAATATAATACATTATTCAATCTTATGAACAAAACCTATAGGTTGGATTTAAAAAAGCCTCGTCAATCTAATTCAATTCCGGTCTTAAAAATTATCCAAACAGTTCTATAGCACTAACGTGTATCTGTCATTAGAGCAACTCCAACCCAACTCTCTAAAATAACTAACCAAAATATATTTAAATATTACATTATTTATTTTAGTTAGCCATTTTTATAAATTAACTTCAACCACATTCTTTGCGTTAACTAACTATTTTACTTAATTTTCACTAAATTTCAATAATTTTAAAAAAATACAACATATATACAGAGAGATAGAAAGAAAAAGGGGTAGAGAGAATTTAGAGATGCTAAATGACTCTTCAAATTTGGAGAGTTATTTAGGTAAAATTGGAAACAGAGAGTGAATTAGAGATAAATTTTTGTATTTAGCTAGCGAAAATAGTTAAAAAAAAATTAAAGAGTGAGTTAGAAATGCTCTTAGACATTTAAGAGGGAGAGTTAGAAGTGGGTTGAGGGTGAATTTTTGTATTTATCTAACTAAAATAATTAAAAGAGAATAAATGAAGAGCAGGTTAAAGATGCTCTTATATCACCCTTATCCTCCAACCAAACATGCCCTTGAGCGAGAGAGTTGGAAGATATTTCTATTATTCCGTAGTGGAGAACAGTCAAATCCATTGCATTTAAGTTGGTCCAGACTTATTGCTTGAACTACTTTACGTGTACCTCTTGTCCCCAAACCAACTGACAATTCACAATTCCTTTTAAAAAAATTGGATTGTCAAAGTCCATAGCCCTCCAACATCGACTTGGATTCTGCATTAACCACTTTCACACGAAACGATTCAAAACAATGAAATTTGAAGTAGATCTAATGTTCTTAACGAAGTCATTTTATTAAATTAATAAATTCAATTCAATTTTTAGAACCAATTAACGTTACTCTTCTTCTTCTTCTTCTTCTTTTTTCAACGTGGGTGTTTGGGTTAAATGACATGTACCCAAGTACATGACCTGATGCCAAGAGTTGTTAACATTCGAACAGCTCGTTTCTTTATATATACAGAACAGCTCTCCGGTGTATATATATATATATATAGACTGAGGAGAGAGAGAGAGGGGCAAGTCATCAGAACAATGTCCTTGTTCTTATGTTTTTTGAGATGTTTTTCTGTGTCATCAGAGACCGACAAGCTCGTATGCAATGGCGACGTTTGTGTTCTTCGTGATCAGAAGCCAGCCCGTGGTACGAACTTGAAGAACAAGCGAAAGCAAAGCATTAGAACTCAATTTTCCAGTCTTTCGAGGCGAAACAAGGATTGATTATTTAAGGTTCGATCAAGCCCATGATGCCGAATGATGAACTGCGTAAGGAGGATCTTGAGGGGGGGGGGGGGGGGGGGTTACGCGAATTCATGGATTCAGAAAGGTGTAAAACATTCTTATTTCTATCAAATGTTTTGTAGTTATGCTTGCAAAAGGGAAAGAAATTGGAGAATCAACGCTTGTTAATTTCTTTTTCTTTTTCTTTTTCAGGAAAATCCCATCAATGTTTTTATTTCTTTGATGGAACAGCGTGAAAAAATTAATTATTTGTGGGATAAATTAAAATTTTTTGTACCTTTCGAGGGCAAAATGAGATTTTCTCTTCTTTTTCTGATCAATCTATTTTGTTGTAATTGGTTTCTCCGGGAGGAATTTCAATCTGCATAAGATGCGCCTTTTTTTATTAGGAAAAAAATAGTACATAATTCTGCAAACCTGTGGGAATATTATAGTTGTAAGTTGAAACCATCGTTACCACTGCTTTCTTTCTGAATAGAAGGGAAAAAAAAAGAGGAAAACATGAGAACCAATTCAATGATTCTACGAAGAACAATGCTATTCTTACGCTTGTAAATTATATTAAATTTTTAAGTTCAAATAACATTAATCTTAAAAGAAATATGCAATCCAGTAGAGTAAAACACAACTATCTCGAGGTTTATCTTGAGGTTTGACTCCATATCTGGAGATCCCAAATTCAAGTATCACAAGATAACGCATAATTCAATTACCCATGATCTTCGTTGATTATGCATATAAAGCATCTAATATCATGTAACTAAAAAATCACCATCACCACAAGTTAATATCCAAATCGCGATGCACAACACATTTTTATTTTTCAAAAAAGTAATTTTTTTTTTGCATAAATATAAATCGAGACATGGAATTCAAGAAGGGAATCAGAAAAGGACATGTACACAAAATTGGGAAACTCCTTATCCAATGTAAAATTACAGTATCACATGTACATGACAGTGCTAGCAAATGCAAGAGAGAGAAATCACCAAAGCAGTTACAAAAGAGCCATCACAGTCACACAAGAGCCATCACAATACAACATAAGTAATAGCCCTCGTCAGCCTGTAAATAATGTACAAGTAATCAACTTAGGTTTCATACGAGAAACGCAGCTTCAGCTCTCTGATATATGATAGAAGCACAAGCCAATGCAAATCAGTACTCCTCAAATAGGAAAGAAGGGCCATAACCACCTCTGTCTACAACTATTTTGCCCCAACTATGATCCATTTTCTACGCCTGTTGCCTACTTTAAAACTACTCTAAATGCCAGAAAATACACTACTTTATGTGGACAAACCCCGGCAAAAAAGACACAAGTCTCGGAGATCTGATTCCAACAAAGTGAGGAACTTCTTCCCCGTCGTTGCTTTAGGCAGACCAAACCAGTTATGATGTGCTTCGAGATGTGGTGGGGGTTCTGACATACATGCACATCAAATGGCCTTGCCAGAAAGTAATGCAACCTTCTTACAAATGAACCAAGAGCCCCATCAGATTGTTGGTTCTCTTCATTCTTGGTATCTAAAATATTGTCAAGTCTCAGAGCTGTAAAGCCAGGTCTGGCTGCTGAGAATCAACTGGAACACCAATAGACTGTCTCACAGGAGACCCTGACGACTGGAAACCAATGTTCAAGTCTGGTGGAAGAGATTCCTGTTTTTGCCTAGGCTGAATTTGCGGATTAGGACCTCGCCAAGGAGAGTGCATCTGAAACCTAGACAAGTCAGATGTGCTTAGTTGAGGAGCAAGCATTGGTCGGGTTTGGAATTGAGCTTCATTGGCCGATATAACCGGTCGTGGCACAAAGGTATGAAGAGGAAAACTGTTCTCAGGTTGAAAATGCATCCCGGAAACAGGAAATTCTCCCCGAAATTGCTCAACTTGTGGTTGAAGGTCACGAGTGGCACTGCATAAAAAATCAGCAATTATCTGATTTTTGGGGGTGCCCTCATTCACCACAGCTGGTTTAAGGCCTCCGACCCCCATAGACATCCATGCATGAGCAGCTGCAGCAGTGGCATTGCTTGGGTCATCTCTGCTCATGGATGCAAAGGGTGACACAACTGGTATGGAACCAACGGACGACTGATTTGAAGATTTATGTTGATTTTGAGCCTTTTCAGATAATGTTCTCATCATCTGCACGGGGTCACTGAGACACTGCTCCTTTCCATTCAGAAAGGAAGTCACTGGTCTGACCATTCGATTATGAAAACTATCAGAGGAAGAACTAACCATTCTACTGGTATCTGAACCATTGCTTACAGCTCTTCCATTAGGCAGCGCTCCAGTGACTGTGCCATTATTATTTGGCTGCTTAAAAGATACGGACTGCAAAAAATTCCTGTTCCTAGGAACCGCATCCAACGACCTGGAAGTTGGCAATTCTGAATAATTCGAGATCTGACTCTCTTCTGTATAACCAGATGCACTGTGATTAGCTGAGGGTGGATTATTCAATTCGACTTGCTTCATAACCATTTTCTCAGGTTCAGTGAAATTCCTGGATTGCGATTTTTTCTGCTGATAGGTAGCACTATCAGAAACATTAGGTTTGGTTCCAGAAGAGTAGGAAAAAGAGGGCTTCCTTTCTAAACTATTCCGCATTGCAGGCTGTCTCTTTGCAGTGAGTGGGGTAGTGGTTCTAGAAGTGGCAGTAGGCTTCGTTCCAGCAGGACCAAACTGTGGTGATTTCCCCTCCAATATAGGCCCATTAACAGGGAGCTCCTTGGCAGAAACTGGAGTCTTAGCACTTATGTCATTCTTTCTCGTATCAGCACAGGTTTCAAGCATTAAAACTGGTGTTGGAAGCGGCTCATACTCTCCAACCCATCCATGGCCAAATTTGAACCCAGCAGGCAGGGCCTGTTCAATCATCTGGGAAGCAACTTTCCAAGCAACAGGGCCTAGAGTTGCAGCAAAACGAGCCACGCTCCTAGCATAGGAATGATCTGCATGAAGCCCTACCTGATTCAGAACAAAGAAAACTGCATGAGCAAGAAGCCAATTATTCAACCAGAATATATCTAATTTATGGGTTACATACAGGAACGAGCTGCTTGCTTTCACCATCAAAAGTTGTAAATATTGACTCTGATCTGAGTACTGTTTGACCGGATAAGTTGTAAGTTGCACGGCGATTCTCATCATGTGAAGCTGGCTTCCTCCCAAATCTAGATAGGAGACCCTTCCCTATAACCATAAAGGAAATAAAAACTTATTACGAATACAACACCCCCATGCCGAATATGAAATGAGGCAGGATTTGGAGAGAATAAATTGAAATATTACACATATATATCGAACACAACAGCTTCAAATGATATGGCATCAGTTACTTGAGATCCACTTCACAAGCTGAGAAAATGGAGTGCTTCTTAATTTTTAGCAGGAATGTCAAATATTTTTGGTGCCAATGTACCACAATTCATGTTCAGAATCTAAGTCTAGGTGCACAATACTTCAAACCATCAAAATCAGACAAAGGGCAGTAATTTAACCACCATACCTGGTAGTAAATCTTCTGCCTTCTCCAGATTGTAGTCAATCAAGGAAGTATTCCCCTCTACAAGCCGATCAACACTGCTAGGCCTCTCAAATCCACCAGCTTGGGCCACATAGGTATTATTCACGAAGTCTCCAGCTGTGGCAAGAGTGGCGCCAGAGGAAAAGTCAGAACCAATAGGCTCCTGCACTGTCCGGCTCATGGGCTTCTTTATTTGATTCTTAGCCAAGGAGTTGGATCTTGTCTTCTCTTCGGACTTGATCTCTTTCTCCAAACGTTCAAAATCCATCCTTAATTTTTCAAATTTCCTTTTTGCCAGCTCTTGGATAGAACGTGCCTTTTTAAAATAATTGTTTGACAAGATAAATTAACCTACTAAAAAGGTCAACACAAAGATACTAACTTAAACGCCCAAGCCTCACCTGTTTATGATATATGGTATCCGGTGCATTGTATTGCATTGCATTTGAGCAAATTAGAAAAACATCACTCTGCATTCAAGAAAACCAACTTCAGAGGACGATATAAAATAACTGGCAGCATTGGACAAGAAGAAAATAACATGCAGTATTTCTCATAAAGTTATTTCACTTGGGAGCGATAGATTTGAGAAGTTATGAAAAATTTCTACCAAAAGCACAGGGAAGCTATCACATGCCATATATATCAAGTTTGAACCATGCACAATATAAATCATAATTACACTAAGCACTGAAAATGCATTTGATTCCGTACCATTAAAGGATTTTGTCGCAAACTTGAAAAATAGCCCATAAAGTCGAAACAATAATTGGAAAATTGGTTTATATGGATTCTTCCAGGTCGAGACCACAAGTAAAAATAACATTGTCAGAAATTGACAAGGCAATATTTCCATTTATTCATCAAAAGAGATGTCCCTTTTCAAGCCGGAATTGATTTTCCTTGATACCTAACATAATGTATGAAATGATCCTTGAACAATCGTAAAAGCCTTAGCAAAGACTTCTACAAGATATTCTATTTTTCCATAGAAATATATTCAGTCAATAAGAACTCCAGAAGACGTTGATTGTAAATGAGAAGATTGATTATGTAGAAAAACGAAGATAGATTCGTATTCACATACATGAGAATTACATAAGAAATATAATCTTTGATTTCTTTTTGAAAAAGAAGAACCGGATTTCTGTGAAGTAATAAGACTATTCCAATTATGATCCTCATAGAGAAAGAATTGTAATAAATGCAAAGAAGAAGAAGTATCTTTTACCCAGAAACAAAGAGTTTGAACCAAGATTTCCACAAGGACTAGGAGGGGTATGAGTATATTCACATTTGTCATATGTATGCTCTAATCGAGATCATTGGAGATGATTCTGTATTACAGTTCCATAGAGGAACTTTAGGTCACCCTTGGAAAAATGCACCAAGTATCGTAGCTAATCGAGTAGCTCTAGAAGCATGTGTACAAGCTCGTAATGAGGGGCGTGATATTGCCCTGATTGAGGGTAATGAAATTATCCATGAGGCTAGCAAAAAGAAGTCCTGAATTCCAACAATGGATACTTTGTAATTCAATAATTATTGTTTGTTCTCTTATCATGGTTGAATTGACATTCCATGTTCTAAGAAATATTCACCATCCGAAAAAGAAAAAAACGAAATCTTTGTCTAAAGCAATGCATTGAGAAAGCCCGAATGTATAGAACCTTTTAACAAGATAGTATTTTTTCAACTCTTTCAAAGTAGAATCTATTCCAAACATATATGTCATGGTTCCTTACTTCGATAGGGTACAAATATCTAAATTTGATATTTTTATATACTTTTTTAGACCTATTGTCGATGCTAAGTAGCAGTCAAAAATTTGAATCTATTTTTCATGATATTATGCATAGATCAGATACATCCTCGCAAATTCTTCAAAAAAATAGTGTCTTCCACAATGAATCTGATGAGCGAGATTTTGAATAAGTGTTTACATAATCTTCTTATGTCCAAAGAAATGATTCATCGAAATAATAAGTCACCATTGATATCGACACATCTGAGATCGCTAAATGTTCGGGAGTTCCTCTATTCAATCATTTTCCTTCTTCTTGTTGCTGAATATCTTGTTCGTATACATCTTCTCTTTATTTTTCGAGCCTCCAGTGAGTTAAATACAGAGTTCGAAAATGTCAAATCTTTGATGATTCCATCATCTATGATTGAACCGAATTCTTTCGGATTAATGAATCTATTTCTAGTTACACTGAAACAAATATGAGATTCTTTAGAAAAAATACAGGGTTCTGCCTCTGGCGACAACATGCTATTAGATTTAGTCATAAGTGTCTACAATTCAACATTGATGACCTTTAAAACTGGTGATTCACTGGTCTAAAAAAATTTATTCCGTTTCTCCCCCACAAGTCATTGACTTCCTAGCTTCCATATGATGCAAATGCCGAATATTTATAATTTTCCCTTTTTCTTAATAGTAGTTTCCTTGGCTTATTAACCATCAGAGTAACATAGATCTGTTGTTATCTCCCCGCAAAACAGTAAACTATTTTCCCCAGGGTGTGTGAGCTATGTGGCAGCCTGCACTCACTGAAATTTGTTAAACAAGGCAAGTTTTACAAAGATCAAACCAACCAAACTAAGATACACAAGCCTAAACACAGAGTAAGACATTGATGGAAGCAGAAGGCAACTTGCACCCTTCTTCAATCTTCAATGATTGTGTCAATAGTAGAACTAATACAGTGAAACATGATCAATATTCAATACTATGGTGTGTAGCCGATAACTTTAAATTGCAGAACCACAAAAGCTGTAGGCAATCCGAAAACAATTAATAAACTGTTCAAGGAGCCAAGATCACTGTATGTTAGAAAATTTTAATAAAAAAGAAAAACTTTTCATAACACAACATTAAGGTAGGTAAGAGGAACAGATGATCAACGAGCGTCCTCTTTAGCAACAAAGTATTCAAAACCATTACTGATGCATTGGACTAGTATCACTCGGCCAAGTTCTCAAGGAAGCAATGTGAGCAATGGAATCATTAGGTGTCCAGTCTCCTGAACAACAAAAGGATGTACTGACCCTGTAAAGAAGAAGTAGGGGACACCCACCTCAAATTGTTCCAATGTTGAATAGGATCCATTTTTTAACTTGCTCCTGACCGTGGCAAAGTCCAATGGATGTTCAATCACATCAAGATAATCAGGAAGCTACAACACAACAAACAAAATTATAAACTCCAATTCAAGCAATGCCTTCTAATAACACAAAAGTATGAATGGAACATGCAGACATACCTCTTCAGGATCAAACGGTTCCGCATAAACACCATAAATGTCTTTCCTGTCATAACCAAACCAAACCAATTGAACACTGAATGGATGAAATAGCTAACAAAATAGAGTCCAATTACAATTCTAATATAAAATGGATGAAATAGAATTTAAAACACACTTCTGAAGCTTATCAAGGATTAACTCCAAAGTCTTCTTATCAGGCAAGGGAAGCCCAGATAGAGGATCTGACGGTGTCCCTAATCAAAAAAAAAATTGAAAAAACAATAAACACATTAACAGATACAGAAGTCACCATTGATCACAGCAAAACCCCTTGAACCAAAACGTACCTGGAACACAGTCGATCCCTTTTGGCTCAACCTTTCGCTCTCTAACCTGTCAAGATCAACAGGAACCTTAAAACCTCAGCATCCTAAGCCCGACACACGAAGAATAAATGCTATGCTCAGAAAAGACGGCATATATGAGACAGACTAACTGACTAAGATAGAGAGGGGGGGGAGAGACAGAGAGTATTTGTGCATGCATATGTTGGAGGGAGCGAGAGAGAAAGAGTAGAGAGAGAAAGGTGGGAGCGTGATCAGATTCTGTGGGGGTTAGTTTTTGACAGTTGACCCTTCCGTTAAAATCAATCTTCCTACACAACACACACATATGTATAGATGGAGGGTGAGTATTATAGATGTCCAAAACAATTAGAAAAATCTCCGCGAGTGAGTTCCGCTGAGCTGGATTTTCTCTCTCTCTCTCTCTCTCTCTCTCTCTCTCTCTCTCTCTGATAAAGGCACAAATTGTGACCTCAACGCATACATATATAAAGACATCACTTCAAGCTCTTTCTTTTTGCTCTTCAACTACTTCACTCCCTATCAGATCGCAATTTGTTTGTGTGATTTACCTCATCATTTTCATCATCATCGTCAGCAACTTCATCGTCGCCGTCGATTTTCCTCTTCTTCAATGGCTGATTACCGCCGTCGTCATCGTCCGAAGACGCCGAAGCAGTATGCGTGTGATCCACGCGCCGCGTCCGATTCACAACCGACTCAGCACCGCCTTCTTGGCTCTGCAGCTTCAGCAGTACCTGCAGCTTCTTCTCTTTCTTCCTCACGTCCTCGTCGTCCTCGTAATACTCGTCCTCGTCGATATAGTCGTCGTAATCGAAGATGTACTGGACATTTCTTCGCCGGAGACTCCGCCGCAGATCCCTCCCCGGCGACGACTCTGCCGGCTGCTCCTCGACGGCGTTTCGCTTTGCAAGATCTGCCTTCGATGGACGGCCCTTCTTCTTCCTCCTCACGATCTGACCCATCTTTTGGGGTTCCGAACCTGATTCTCTCTTTCTCTCTCTAGAACTCAGCGACACCCACTGTATCTGTCTCTCTCTATCTACACTCTTTCTCTCTCTTCTTTTATTCCATTATTTCTCTTGAAATGCTTTGGCTTTTTCCGAGCCTCAATCGCTTTCGTTGTCCGAGGCTAGGTCAGAACCTGAGCCTTGGGACGTAGCAAGGGGTTTTAAGAAGTGATGATTGTCCTTGTGTGGACAGAGAAACCAGCGTTGGTGACTGATATAGACGGCGTTAGGTGTTGCCCGCTGCCCCAAGCGTATCGGTAAGTTACATTTCTCAATTTTATTATCTAGTAATTATAATAAAATAGGTGTTTATTTTAATTTACTTTATAAATTTTATAAATTTTTTCTAAAATATTTAACTTATTTGAGATTGTAGCTTCACTCAAACTAACTCGAAAACTCAATGTCACAATTTTAAGTATAATTTGTAATAATTTTAATATACCATTGTTATTATAGAGTATAGACATTCTCTCTCTCTCTATATATATATATATATAATGTTTAGGCCTTATAATTCTAGACTTAACCTACAAAAATAACGTCAATACAAACTAAAGATTTAAATTTATATAAACGAGTTTGAATAAACTTGTTAAATCTACGTGTTTAATAAACAAATGACATAAAATCTAATAAATAGGATAAATTTATGTTATGTGACTCAATATAAAACAACCGCATGTATCAGAATGTGGCACGAGGACATGAACAATTATAATCGATATGGTGAGCAATTAATATTGGGTAGGTAGGCAGGCTCCACGACACGGCGTATTGTAGAGAATAATTATATGCACTATACTTCACATTGAATCATACATTAAATATCAAAAAATTCAAATAAAGGCATGACTCTTATTAACTAACGTATATTACGCGGAGTATCTATATTTAATGTTTGGCGCAATTTATTGAATGATCGGCACAATTCAATAAATGCCTGATATAAATCATTAAATAGTGAAGGGACAAACACTAAATGCTTGGTCTTCTAAGCGAGATAATTATTACAACTATAGATTTCAAGGAACCGTCGACTTTTCTCGAGCTCGAGCTAAGTAATTACATGGGTTGAGCGGAAAATAGATATTGATTCATTGCTCCTGTGGAAGTACTAAAACTGGCTTGATAGGACACCCAAAATGTTATGTAATTACTTTTGAAAGTATTAGATCATCCACGCGTGTTTTATACGTGTCGCATTAATAAGATTAGTATTGCATTGATGCTTTATTTTAAGAGTAAAATATTTTAACAAAATTTAATGTTAATCAAGTTCTATTAAAAGAGTTTTACATTAAATATGATTAATATTGTGATTATGTTTTCTTGTAGGGATAAAATAATCAAATAAAAATTTTTCTTGATAGCGTACTTTTATTAGTAGTATATATATATATATATATATATATATATATATATAAATATTCATTCTAACACAATAAAAAATTAATTTTCTCTTTGAACGCTTACTAACTTAGACACTTTGGGGGGTCTCACCTTGGTGCCATTACCTCAAGTTATTGTACAAAAAAAACACCAAAGCAACTATAAATTTAATTGACTATAACATAATTATCGAATTGAGTGGTTCAGTAGAGTATTGGTTGAATTTTTTATTCTGAAATTAAAGGTTTGAGTCTTAGAGTTTATATTAAAATTTGATAATTGATTACAACGTTAATCTAATTAAGTTTATTTTCAAGAAAAATAACGAATGCGATAAAAGATCTAATAATCTTATCAACGAAAATCTATCAAGGTCCTGAACGCTCTCCTTTGCCCCGGAACACTCATGTGCACATGAAATTGGAAACTCAGATTGTAATTACATTCCAATCTCCTCGTTTCTCTTTTGAATTATTTTTTTTTGGGTGGGTCCCATATGGACAATCATATGTTCAATTTCCTGAAATTTAGCTCCATCCCACCATAACGGGCCCCACAATAGGTAGTGTCTCTCACCTGCACACTCTTTGCTTGTAAGAAGAAAAGAGAAATCAAGACCGTCGACTAACCGGAAGTATTTTCCATTAAACTGAAAAAAATAAAAAGTAGGCATTTATAGTTAACAGCTGTCCGAAAGTAGAATACAATATATAAGTGGGCCCCACAAATTGTAATTTTTTCAAATTTAGGAGTGTCTCCAAATTGCTTGAAACACGCAGCCACTGGTCTGCCACGTAACCACTCAAGAATCTCTAGCTCTCACTACCACTTGCATGAGGACGTCGTCGACCACGCTATCAACAAATCAAATTTTGATCCATTCTAAAATTTAAAGTTTGGGCCCTTAATTTAATGAATTTTTATTTTTAATCTGAATAATTTAATTTAACTAAATTTAAAAAAATTACAGCTAAATTTTATTAAATTCTATACATAATCACTTAATTTTTTAAATATATATACAAAAATATATAAAAAAATTTCGAATTGGATTATAATCAGATTGGATATAAGTAAGATTTTGAATTTCAATTTCATTTCAAATTCAAGTTTGAATAATCGGTAAAAATTATCAATTCATATTTGTATTAATTAGATTTATATTAAAATCTAATCTATTGACAGGCCTACTACCTACGCTCCACCCCTCGGGTTATAATTAATCCAACTTAAACAAGGTCTAGCGTGGGAAGTTCAAGGTGACGGTGGTTTAATATTGCTCCAAAGATTAATTTTTTAATATTGCACCTTTAATGTATTAAAATTATTGCAATAATGTGACATTGTTGTTAGTTTCTCTTGCTTTTATTGATGTCGAAAAAATGAGCAAAAAAAGCTAAATAATCATATCATATTACAATATTTTTAATACATTGATGGTGTAATGTGATATATTTAATTTTTGAATTATAACTCTCCCTAAAAAATTTTATTGTTTTTGTCATTCTAAAAGGAATTGAGTATTGGGGCTAATGATGTTGTTTGGAGATAATATGGGAAGTAATCACTAAGTGAGGTGGTCCAATAAGGTATTAGCTGAACTTCTCATCCTAAAATTTGAGATTTGGGGTTTATATTGAGATTTAATAGTTGATCGTTATATTAACATAGTTAAGTTCGTTCTCGTGAAGAATAACGGGCGCAATTAAAGTTCTTATGATCTCACCAATGAGAGTTTATCGAGATAATCTTTAGACGCTTTTCTTTGTTTTCATCCCTTTTTTAATAATAAAAAAAATGTGTGAAATATAACTGAAAGCAAAAAAATGGAGAGAACAAGCATTTATTATGAAGCTAACTAACTAAAAAGAAGACAACCCCAACCATCCCAATACATCTATTCCAGGCAAGTAAGTTATGAGGGGGTAGGGGAAAACTTGAAAGCAAAAGACAAAGAAGTTAAGGAACAATGAGTCGATGAGCATTTAAACAGAATATATGAGTGGGATTGTGCTTGTCATGTCATGTCTCTGTCTCCATCTCCAGATTGAGCTGGCTTGCCTTCATTTATCTGATTATGAAATGTTCCTCAACATTGTATTTGCCTTAATCCATGTATTTTTTTTAAAGTCCCAACACCCACCAAAAACAATTTCTCAAATTATATGTATTTTTTTTCACTATAACTAGATACAAAAATTTAGTACGAAGAAACTGAAAATGATGTCACATACTATAAATTATATATACTAGTTATTACCTGTGTTTGAAGGCACAGAGTAATAAAGAATAGTAAAAAATAAATATATTTGTATCTATATCTAAAATCAAATCACAAATATATAAAAGAGATAAAAAAATTTAAATATCGGTTTGTAGTGGGGGTGAGAAGTGGTGGTGGTAGGAAACGGTGATGGTTGTGATAGGTGACAATGACCGTGGTGGCGGCAAAGACGACGATGAAGATGTAGTGGCGACGACAGCGACAACGGTGGTGGTGGTGGAGGCGGTAGTGGTGGGGGTGGGGGTGATGGTAGTGGTAGTAGGGCGGAGTGGTTTCAAATATTATTTTTAAAAAAAAATATTTATGATAAATAATTTTTAAAATATTTTTAAAAAGTCACTTCAAACACACATTTAGGGACCTATTTTTTCTATTAAATTTAGGGTGTTAATATTAGCTGTTAGATTAACTTTAAAGTAAAATTTAAAGTGATCTCAACCACGAATAGTAAAAGTTATTTTATTTATCTTTTAAAATTTGAATTGTAAGTTATTTTATAATATAGATATATATTCTACTATAAAATATCAACAATAAAATAACTGATGTCAACACTAATTTATTAGTCATTAAATAGCATTTATATATTGTCTATATCTATATTTATGCTATTATATTTATCTACTAATTATAACTCATGCCTAAAGATATGACGAAATATAAAATTCGAATGCTCAAAAAAATATATTTCACCATATTAAATAATAAATTTTCTTTGTTTATCTATTATTTTCTTAAAACTATCGACAATTTTTTTTCAATATACATATGTATACTATAATGTATGGATAATATGTGAAATAAAAATTATATTAAACTATAAATTAATCAAATATTAAAATATGTAGGAGATAAAATTCAACTTGTGAGTTATCTTATTATATATATATATATAATAAAATAATTTACAATTCAAATTTCAAAAATAAACAAAATGACTTTTATTTTTCGCAATTTAGATCGCTTAAAATTTTTCTTTAAAGTTAATCTAACAACTAATATTAATACCCTAAATTTAATAGGAAAAAAAGACCCCTAAGAGTGTGTTTTGAGTGATTTTTTAAAAGTACTTTTACGATTTATTTCTCATAATTATTTTTTTAAAAATAGTGTTTAAAACTGTCATCACTCTCATCACCACCTCTCTACCACCATCACCCTCAACACCACTACCTCTATCACCACCATTGCCATCACCACCACTACCGCTGCCACCACCATTGACATCGTCACCATTGTCATCGTTGCCACAGCCACCATCACCACTATCATCGCTGTCACCCCTCTCCTGTTACCGTCGTCATCGTCGTTGTCTCCACCATCACCGTCGTCGTCGCCGCCTCCACCACCACCATTACCACCACCACTGCCGCCCTTCACCTCTCACCTCCACTACAACTGATACTTAAATTCATTTATCTCTCCTCTATATTTGTGATTTAATTTTAAATATAAATACAATATATATTTATTATTTACCATTTTTTATTACTCTGTCCATTCAGGCACAGGTAATAACTAGTTCTATTGGTTATAAAAGTGAATTTGTTTGATTGGCTATAATAATCTTAATAAAATAATTAATGTCAACCCTACTAGTTATTAAATAACATTGTTATATTGTCTATATCTATATTACCTATATACTACTTATAAATGCCATTATTTAAGAATTCTAGCCTTAATAAAATAATTGATGTCAACACTATCCTATTAGTGATTAAATAACATTAATATATTGTCTATACCTATATTACTCTATATACTACTTATAAATGTCACTACATAAGAAATCTTTCTAATCCTATTAGTTATTAAATATCATTAATATATTATCTATATTTATATTAGTCAATATACTACTTATATATGTCACTGTCTAAGAATTATGTTTTAATTTATTTTATTTACTTCTAATTAACATTATAAGTTCTGTCATATCCTTTGATCTTAATTTATTACATAAAAAAACTTTATTGAGACTCCAAGAATCATTTAACATTATAAAATCAATTGCTCTTCACATCATTAAATAATGTTTCTTCTTCTCAATGGAAGAAGAAACATCAAAAGCCTTTTGATCTTTCACACACATTATGCCTCTCTCCCTATTTGTTATGGATTATTGTATGTGTTAATTTTGATAAGTATTAAGCAACTGATCTTTTTGTTATTGGGGAATCTTTTGAATTTTTGCATGCTATTGCTCTCTTCTCTATAGTGTTCTAACTTCCATGGCAAGTTTTTTCTTATTCTTTTCTTACTTTTAACCCCATCCACCAGTCATTTTCTCATGTTCTTAATCAAATTTGCCGTTTTGAACCAAAACTAAATTGTAAGTTATCTTCAATAATCAGGTTAGTGAATCAATAGGAGGATTTTTTTTATCATATTATTAGGTTGTTTTATTTTATATTTTTATTTTTTTTGTTCATCCAAACAAAATCTGATATTCGCATAACAAAATTCGATTTTTGAGTGCAGCATAGTGGTATCAACGATATTCAGATTCAACGTTTGAGGGCTTCTGAAACCTCAAGCAGAAAAAAATTATGGTTCTGCTTTCTTTCTTGGCCAATCAAAAATGCATTCAATACTGATTAATCTTGTCTCGAATGTAAAATTGTCCTTAAAAAACCTCAAGCTTTGTAAGTACTCACTTATAATCCAATGTCTTTATATTAATTATGATTTTTTATTCACAAGCTTAAAACAATTGATATTCTATTAGTTAGTATTTGAGAAGCTGATTATCTCACTTTAAAATTTTTTTAGGAATCACAACTTGCATGGCAATGAATTGTATATATTACAGGTTATCTTTTCTTCCCCTTTATTTTCTATCACTTGGATTCCCACATTCTACAATGCCAACTTTCTTGTAGGCATGAAATCCCTTTGAATCTTTTGTTACTCAACATGTAAAGAAGAATTGATAGTCTTTTAAGTTGCTTAGGAGTTATTAGAGTTTTTTATTTTGTGGCGACAAACAACTAAAATTTGAATTTTTATCACGTAAAGAGTTTTGTATAAATTTTTGACCGATAATTGAATTCTCTTCTCTACCTCCTATAGAATGACCTTTTTAGCTCACGTCTAGATATGATCTTTAAAATTTTTCTCACTTTTGCTATTCGATGCATAATTTGAACATAATATGAAAATAGTTTTGTTTTTAATATTATTATAATTATATTCGTATCCATATCCGTATTCATATCCATATCCGTATCTGATAGCAATTAAAAAAAGCATCGGAAAAAATGGCATTTGATATTGCAGCTCTATGTGAAATGAGGAGGTGCGCCACACTGAATTCTAACCCCTTCGGTCCCACGTTTCCAATTTTTTTTGTGAAAATCAGCTATTTGTCCCTCCATTAACACTAATTCCCCCGTAGCCTTCATTCGTTCTTCAATGGAGAAACTGAGAAGACTGGTGAACGAAATAGCCTACACACCACCTTCTCAGAGATTCCCCACTCTCTCTCCTCTCCAACTTTCTCTCATCCCGCTGCTCTCTTTCGCTTCCACTCTCTACAAGCTCGTTCTCTCACTCCGCCACCGCCTCCACCACTTTGGTATCCTTCGCAAACACAGGTAATCCCAACATCCCCCCCCCTCTCTCTCTCAATTTGTTTTCTTCATAAACATATCATAAAAAATGAACTAAGAAGTGATTTATAACTGATTTTCCATTGTTTATGCTCCCAAAACAACTTAAAACTTCCTGACCACCCATTTGGGTTACTTGATTATTGTGGCTAGTATACCCCTTTTTTCCCCTCTATTTTATCTACGTGTCAACGGATATTTTTGAAACTAAGATGGGGCAGGGATTGGTTTACTGGTATGTTGTAATACTGGATAAGTTGTTTGGCTGTATTTTTTATTTTGAAGGCTGCCGGTGCCGGTGATTAGCGTCGGAAATTTGACGTGGGGAGGTAATGGGAAGACGCCCATGGTCGAGTTCATCGCGATCTTTTTGGCAAACTGTGGAATTTCACCTCTGATTTTAACAAGGGTATTTGAGTTGTTTAATTTATATTGTATTATTGTTTATTGTTTTGGGCCTTTGGAGGGTTTGGATAGTTCTGATTCAGTTGAAGCCTTTTGCTTAACGAGGTCTTTGTTGATCTTGTACGTGTGTGTGCGTGTGTATGTTTTGTTTTTAAATGGTGAATTGATGTTGATTTTTTTAAGCAACCAATCACTGGTTATTATAGTGGATTGGAGTCAACTGGTGTTGCCCATAGAACATCTTGTAGTAAAGATTTCGTGGTTCTATTGTTCCACGAATGAAAAAGAAATTAATTAGTGGTGCTAATATTGAACTCCTTATCTAGCTAGATTATACGAACATAGTTTTAGAGCAATAACCGAGACCTATTTGAGATTAAGAGGGCTAAATTTAATTCAAGCATAACACAGAGCTGTAAAGACAGCTATTGGTATATTAGGATATGTCGCACATAAAAGTAGGTAATTTTTTCCTTGTTTATTTTAGGATTTCATAATTTCAGTACTTTTAACTGTGTGATGAGAAGAATTTTTTTTGTGTATGTCAGAGTTAACACTGCAAAAGACTAATTTTGAATGTGTATTGAATTGGCTTTAACTGCTGAGGTAAGAACAGCATATTGTTGGCAGGGATATGGTGGTGCTGATGAAGCTAAAATGCTTCAAAGGCATCTTAATAGGACATCTGCAAAGATTGGCGTTGGTGCAAACAGGGCAGCCACTTCTGCTCGTTTTTTGGAAAGATATGGTTTCATAAATCCGCATAGTAGTACATGCATTGAGAGACGTTGCTTGGATCTGGAAACAGGAAGCCCACTTAACATGGAAAAAATCGGGGCTGCAATTCTAGATGATGGGATGCAGGTGATTTATTTCCTTCAAATCCATTGTTGCATGCTTGTCTTTTCATTTATTCACTCACCAGCGGTGATATTTAATCTATTTGAAGGATACATTTATGGTGATCTACATCTTTGTTCTATGTGTGTGTTTCTGAACAAATTTATCAGAGGATGCTTTTGTATTTCCCAGGATTCAAAATTGAATCCATATCCATTCCTTAAATGCTTAATTGATTTTATCTTTCTACTATGGTTATTTTTAGCAGGGAAGTTATGAAAACAAAATTTTATCCTAAAGTGAGAATTGCACTGATACTTTATGAAATTTGTCCATTTGGAAGGCAGCATTTGAGTTTATTGCGAGACATAGAGATTGTAATGGTGAATGGGATGATGCCATGGGGAAACCATCAATTACTACCCCTTGGACCATTAAGGGAACCATTGACCGCACTCAACCGAGCACATGTTGTTGTGATCCATCATGCAGACTTGGTATGAAAGGCTGGCCTGTCCCGATTCTTTCTTTCTTTTTTCTCAATTTCCCTCAAAATATGTTTTTTAGGCATGATGCAGGTGTTTATGCTTGTGATATACTTAAGAAGCTGTTTCTATTCCCCATTTATATCTATGTGCACATTTAAACATTAAACAGCACAAAATATGAGACAGCCTCTGAAAAGTGTATGTTCTGGAGTCCTGTAGGTATCAGAACAGAATATTGAGACTATCAAATCAACTTTGCAAGGAGTCAGAGAATCTCTTCCAATATACTTCACTAGAATGGCTCCTTCTTACTTTTTCAAAGTGGACAACATTTCCTTTAAATTACCTTTGAAGGCTGTATGCAATATGGTTGTATTATGTGTTTCTGCTATTGGGTTCGCTGATTCCTTTGTGCGGAGGATTGAGCAGGTATTCTTCTTTTCATTCCTCATTTAAAATTTTCTTCTATTAGCTTTTCTTCAGGTTCTGGTCTGACAGAATATGTTCTAGAGATTAAAGAGTGATTTTTCCTGGGAATATTTTTGTTTGCTCTTTTGTGACTTCCTCCACTTTGTTTGTCCTCTTTATTTGTGCCTTTACTTCTAAGTGGCATGTAACTAGTTGCAGATGAAACCATTGCATGTTGATCGAATAGACTTCAGTGACCATCACATCTTTCAAACAGCGGTATGCCCATCTTCCTATTCTGGTTTGACTAGTAATCTGATTTATCCTTGTGGTCCAAGGTAATACATGATGATACTTTGACTGAATAATAATCTTCTTATCATATGCAAGTGCAAGGAATCATTTTTGTTAACCCCACTCCCATTTCCAAGTTCATTCTGATGCAGATTCAACCTTGAAAGTTCTGACTTTCTGGTTATGGATCAATTCAGGATATTGACATGATCAGAACAAGACTCCAAAAACTGCAGGCCGAGTTTGCTTCCAAGCCAATCGTTGTTGTAACCGAAAAGGTATATGGATATCAAAAAAAGCTCGAGTGATACAAGACATCATGAAAAATTCACTTACGTTACTCGTTCATTTGAAGTTAAGATAATCATTGAACATGAAGTCGATCAGTAACTTGCCCTTCCACACTCTGTTGTGGGATTCACCCATTAAAAACATGACTTGAGGAAATCATATAATTTTTTGAATCTGGAAGAATAGGATTTCTTCAATTATGAACTTATGATTGTTTAATTTTTTTTCGACATGTATCATGTATGATCTTTAGCTGTATGACTAGGTTTTTTTGTCCATAATTAGTAATTGTATGTTCCCAGGACTATGACCGAGAGCCAGAGGTTCTTAAACATCTGAATCCTTATGAAATATTGGTGCTCTGTTCTCACTTGCAAATTCTACCTCACAAAGGATGCACAGAAGATAGCTTCAAGGAGGTACTGAGGCTGCCTTTTGAAGTGAAATTATCAAGCATAAAGTGATCTTTGTTTCCATTTCTTAGAATATATCATTCTCTCTGGTCGTGGACTGCTCAGAGCTGGGGTGATTGGGAGTGAATGTGACTAACGCATGAGGATTCTATTGGAACCACCTAGGCATGATGAGGGGAAAGGGGATGGAAAGCACTAAACGGCCTTTGAGAAATGAGGTGCAGGACAAGAAGGAATTAAAACTAAGTGGCTTCTCCTTAGTCGACCGTTAAGCTGCACATAACCCTTAACATCATATTTCTTTTGAGCCATGCTAATATTACCTACTTTTTTTTTTACTTAATTTGCTGAAATATCATTTTTGTACAATTGGATAGACTGCGGATACAAATGAATTAGATTAGTAAATTAAATCATTGAACGATATACAAATAGTATTATTAATGTCTGAAGATTGAGAAGTGACGTACTTGTCGTTTGCACTAAGCTTTTGATAATATCAAGACATATATACTTTTTTTTTTTTATCAAACAAGACATATATACTTAAAATCGCAAATATGTGAGTAGTCCGTTACCTACGAGACAATGAGAAAAATTCACAAGAAAAAAAAAATTAAAATTGAAGGACTCAATAGCAAATATATTGTAGTGGTAAGAGTATGATATATGGTTAACATGTTTTTGACTCGATTCCAATTATTTTATTCTTGTGGGTACGCTGAATATAAAATTACACAAATTGTTGATGTGTCATGGTTTAAATTACTTGTTCACGACTAATCCGTGAATAGTTTAATCTCTCTTTTTTTAGAGTTAATTATTTTTTTTATTTTCATGTGGTTTTAATTAGAAGTACTTTATCCACTTGACGTTTAAAAGTATACACATTATCTCCTTGTAATTATGTATCAAAATAAAATAGTTATTTTTATCATCAAAGTTAAAGGAGAGTGTGTTTCATTTGCCCAAAACATGTTATGGGTTTTATTTCCATTGTTTTTCTCTAAAAGAACATTGTCAAAGTGCCTCAAATACCCTTTATAATATATGGTATAATATGTAATGACATCGATCTCATATCAAAAATTATGTAAGAAAAACATAAGTTATTTTTGGTTCCAGAACAAAACTTCACTTGAGGAGAAAAGAGACTCGACTTGTTATGTGTTTGATTAAAATATGTTTAACTTCTTGTTGTGATCCAATTGTTTTATAGTCAAAAGTATGTCATACGAAAATTTTGATTTTAAAACGTAAGTATTATAGTAATTTTCTAATTCTATTAATGGCATCAAGTACTTTACTTTAGTATATAACAATAAGGGAATAATATGCATAATTTTAATTGTCAAGTAAGGTGTTTCTAGTCGAAATTATGTGGGATAAAAAATAATTAATCATTTTTTCTATGAGTTAAATATCTATTTGAATCTTGAATTATATCATTTATGTCAATTAAGCTCCTGCATTACGTTTTGTGTTAATTTAGTTTCTGAATTATAACATTTATGTCAATGTAGCTCTTTCGCTCAAATTTGTCATTATGTTTGACGAATTTTTTCACATGCACAACATATAACCACTAAACTATGAGAAAATGTTCATTACAACAATGATATTACATGGTAAGGTGATGTGGTGGAGATGTAGTATCGCCAATCAATAATACTAAAACAAATAAATAAATAGATCCAACAAAAATTAATAACTAACTTGTTATATCAATAAATAACTCTTTACTCTTTTGTCATGTAAGTTTAAATAAGATTTATCTTATCCATTTGAATTTTATTATTGATTAATGATACCATGTTATCAATAGTGATATAGTATCACTGTTGCATTCAATATTTAGACAAAAGAGGTATAGTTCAAAAGCAAAATTAATACAAAATATAATTTATAGGCTTAATTAACACAAATAACATAGTTTAAAAGTCAAATGGATAGTTAACTATTTTTGTATTGCCTTTTACCACCATACAGCCCAAGGCGAACTCTAGGTCTAGCAAACCCCTCAACATGGAGGGAAAAATAGAAAACCATAATATTGCGGTGAGCGTGAATCGAACACGCGACCTTCAGATCTTCAGTCTGACGGTCTCCCAACTGAGCTATCCCGGCTGATTGATTCGACTTACTCCTTTTTTTTTTTTTTTAATATAAACAGTTGATTTCTTTGCAAGTAGCATAGTACTCTGCCGGTTATGAAAGGCTGGTGCAACAGCCAAATCCCTCTTCACTATTGTGATTGGGAGCAATGACTTGCTTGGCTACTTCCACCTTAAGACAACAGTTAAAAGGTTCGGTTTTCATTCCCCAGAAATAAATGGAAGAAGAAAATATTGTACAAAACAACTGTGATCGATTCTTGATTTTATGCAATTGTGTGGCGATAATTTAATTTTGGTAATTATCTTGCCTCTATTTATGATTTATCTAAAGGTTTTGAATCTTCTCCAATACAATTTTTTTTTTTTTTTAATTTCTGTCAAGAATGGATCATCCATCATAAATTTAAATGAAACATACCATATACAAGTAAACCCTATCTAAATACAATAGATAATATATCATTGAAAGAAATTAACTTGATCAATATAAAGTGTGCCTACTAGCAATTAGTCATTGCTACATGGAAATTAAAAGGTAACATTTGGCAATATTCTTTAAGCCAAAAAAAAATTATCAGAAAAGTAAAAGCATATTTTCTTACTATTCTACAAAGTGATATAGATACATTCTAGGTCATGAGTGATGTTTTCTATTGACTTGTATTGTAAATTTATCTAATTTGACAGTTTAAAAATTGAATTATCTCCATATAAAACACAATAATCAAGATTGATCAAATCTTCGTCTACGTTTAATCAAATAGTACAAAATTCAAAAAAAAAAAAATTTTGCCCAAACAATATGAATTTTTTTGCATTATCTCTAATGTTAGACAACTCAATCAACACACTCTTTAATGTCAAACAATCTCATTAACCCACATTTACTTCTCTTCATTTTAATTTTAAATTACATAGTTACAAAATTAAATTATCATTTAAAATATAAATATTACAAGATTAATTTAATTTTTGATATTATATAGTATTTTTAGACACAAATTATCGTTAGTTATTATATATCTTATTTTATTATGAAGAAGCGAGTAAACTCTACCAAAGAAAAAAAGAGAGGCAAAAATGTTAAAAAAAATAAAAAATAAACGTTACTTAAAAAAGTCCTTATAAAATAAAATAAAAAAACTTTCAAAAAGTATTACCAAACGATATCTTAACATTTCTCGGTTTTGCTGTGGGGTTTGTAGCGGCTACACGATCTTGGCGCAAGTAAACTTGCTTGGGTGCTGTCCATCGCAGAGGAATCAGAATAAAAACGATGGGTGCAATGAGGAAGCTAATTTCTGGTCAACTAAGTACAAAGAAGGCCTGAGATCAATGTTAGAGGGGCTTAAGTCGGAGCTGAAGGACATCAATTACTCCTATTCTGATGCATACAGCATCTTCATCAACTTCATTCAGACACCAGCGACCTATGGTATCATAATTCTCTTATTTTATAGGGTTAATTGCTTTTTAATTCCATGCAGTTCCGGTTAGAAATTATGCACATTATCCTAGTTAAAATTTAAAATTATGCACATTATCTCATTATAATTATGTACCAAAATGAAATCGTTACTTTTATTATCCAAGTTAACAAAATGTGTTTTACATGTTCAAAACATCATATGGCCTTTATTTTCATTGTTTTTCTCATAAAAAACTTTCTTTAAGTGTCTAAAATACCCTTTATAATATATGATATAATACCAAAATAACTAGTGTGTCGATCCCAAATCAAAAAACATGGAAGAGAAAAGACTCGACATGCTAAAAATGGAAGATTTTTGACTCAACTTTAATAGTGATTTTCGTTCATTATATAAGTAAGAGTAAATTAGATGAAAAATATAATTTTATAATGTGAGTATTATGATAATTTTATAATTTTTTTAATAATGTCTATTGCTTCACGTTTATACAAAACTACAAAGGGATAATATTCATAATTTTAAACATCAAGTAAAGTATTTCTAGTTAAAACCACAAGGATGTTGAAAATAATTATCTCTACTTTATAACTCAAATTATCAAAATATAACCGCCTTAGAAAAAAACTTTAAAAATGTTAATCCCTTAAAGGTTCCAAGTGGGACTCTCGAAAAAAAGCATTGATTGTACCAGATACATTGATTCATGAGCGATTACGTATTTCCAAAATGTATGTTTCAACCATGAGTCAAAAGACTTGTGCCTGGGGTGGCTCTCGTAGTATACAGGATAAAAAACCTCATTTTCTGAACTAGACTGAACCCTTTCTAAAACTTAAGATTACCATATGGTCTCTCATAACCTGAACACACTTCTGAAACTCAGTTTCTCTCGTGAAGTTTGATTAAGCTTCGATTATATTTCAGGATTTACGGAGGTTAAAGCTGGCATGTTGTGGGCTGGGGAACCTACGAGCGCAGGTTCCTTGCCTGCCCATTTCAACCTATTGCTCTAACAGAAGTAATCATGTTTTCTGGGATCTATACAATGCCACGGAGGCAGCAACTAGCATCTTTGTTGACCTAATTTTCAGTGGCTCACAACAGTATGTAGTCCCTATGAATGTGAAGCAGCTAATTGCTCTCTAAATGGAATGATACATGAACAAAATATACATGTCAGTTGCCTTCCTGTAATATGTTTGTGTCATGTCCATTGTCAACGCCATTAACAGTCAAAAGGAATGCAGGATTCATTGAGCAGTTGCGATAATAAGATTCTCTCATTATCGAGCTGTGCCATAATAGATGATGCTGCTGAAATGCTTAGGTGAGAAAACTGATATACCTTGATGCTTTTGAACCTATGGAAAGGCATCTTGAAAAAAGAGGCTCAGATCCCCGTTCAGAGCATCAAAGGCCAACATCTTTTCCAGGACATCCTGCACTCGGTTTGCAAAGCGATGTGCAACGTAAAAAAGAAATTTAAGAGTTTGTTAGATTCACAATTGACTGAATATAGCACCTTGTATTGCTGATCTTCAGTGGTTATCTTCTCATTGCACAGTCGCTCAACATGCTTATTGTTTCCGATAGCATCCAATACAATTGCTGCTCTCTTTATAACTTCTTCCGGAACACCTACAAAAACCGATGCAATATCAGAAAACTTTAAGGGGTGAAAATTGAAGCCCCGAGAAAAACAAAGAAGATTCTTTCATCATCATGATGCTCTTCAACCTTCCTATTCCCATGGGTCTCTAGAATGTCATTACACATACCAATCACAGTATATTGTATCTTGGATATGTCTATAGTGGGCTCAGTCAATTAAAACACTTAGGAAAATAGAAGTTATAGGTCCATTTATGGTTGTAGTCGGCAACCATGTTTTGCGTTAACCCATACAATAATACAAAACATTGAATACCCAGAATAAATTTAAAATTTATCTATTAAAGCCTGAAGGTCCTGAAAGTTTATTTCCAAAGCACCATTTGTTAAAAACTCACCAGCAAGCAACGCACAATGCAGTCCTGTAAAACATTAATTGAAGTGAGTGAATTTTTTTTTAAATCAAAAGCTCCTATAGGAAGATCCGACTAGATATATATGTACTCACCGTAGCTAAGAAGTGCATGTCCAGGAACCAGCCTGCCAGATATAGGAAGACAAATGGATTTAACAGCACTACTCCACAGAAATTTACAGGTCAATGAGCATATACACATGCATCTTGTAAATTAGGATGGTGAAGTTTTTCTGTTGACATGTCATAAGTGACATCTAAGGCTTTAATCACAACATTCAGCTGGCCAGAAATCATGATTCTAAAGTTCTATATACAAATGTGCACTACTTTAGGGTTAAAAATGTACCTGTACAAAAATACAATATCTTCAACATCGGTACAGTTGTCGTCAGGTCTTAATACGCTCATGGTGTAATACTTGATTTTCTCAGACTGAAATTAACAATGTATAGAATTGTTTTCACAGTGTGCATAGTAGTCCAAGTTTAAATATCTTCGAGTACGTAGCATAGCTACAAGATAGTACCTTGGGTAAGCAACTATTGTCAAAGATCTCAGTCAAGTGGGTGCAAACCAGAACCTGCAAACAAGTGTAGCATATTCCATCACAAAATGTCTAAGAATCAAAAAAGTATTAAAGATATAAGTTTTAAACAGGAAATTTAAGACTTTTTGTTTTTCTATCCAGTAGGCTTCTTTTTTCTGGTAACTCACAATACGTACGGCATTCCTTAATTGGTTTATGGTTTTCCAAAACGAATTTTAGACTAAGCAAAGTATTTCAATATTTGATCTAAGTGTGAAGAAGGTGCATCGCACTTGATTGAAAGCAATGACAGAAAAAGGGGATTGCATGCAATGACACATCCAGGTGTTCGCCTAAATTTTGGAAATTCAATCACGTCAACACAAGCCAGGAGAGATGTAGAATATGCGGACCATCAAATAGGTGCTGGGTAACTAAAACAAAGCAACACTCCTGCTCAATGTGATGGCAGATCACTTCTTTCAGGAGTTTATGGTAAGACAACAACAATCACGGATTGTTTCTGAAGCTGCATGGTACTATCAAAACACGCCAAAAATAAATCATTAATACTTCTCATAGTTATGGTGGATGAGTGCCAAAAGTAGGTAAGACCAACTGTGAAACAAATGTAAGAAAGAGAATAAAACTAATCCCATTGTGTAAAAAGTAGAATGGGGCAGTGGGATAATTTGTTCATGTGCAATAAAATAAAAAAGCTATGGATAGCACAAATGAAGTCAAATAGACTGCTGACAAAGGTCGAGGACGAGGACTGCATGGACCTTAGAATGTCTTACAACAGCATTTTTCATTAAATATTAGCTAGTCATTATCTTTCCAGGGTTTTGCTTATAAAACATGTTTTTTGATTATTATCAGCAATTTATACTAAGGTGGTTCATTTTGGAGAGCATGGTCCACAACATAATATTTAATGCTTAGAATTCACGTGCAACGCACATCTGCAACTACTAGTATTACTGAAATAGTGGTGTAGGAGAAAAAGTATACTGAAAGGTGCTCCCTATTTTTGTGGAACTCCTAATATTACTTTGCATTTCTTAGCAACTTAGAGCGCAAAAAGGGTAAGAATATCAAACCTTTGGCGGGTCATAGCATGAGACAAAATGATTGATGGTTCCACCAAGGAGACCGATGCCATCTGAAATAAATATTGAGGACTTTGTTTTCAATTGAGAACAGCCATGGATCAAATACTACGAGTTGGAGAGCCAAATATCGTGGGGAATAACTAACCTTCAGTAAGAGTGCCTTTCCCAAATTCATCTAATAAACATAAAGATCGAGAAGTTGCATGCCTAGGATGTGTCCAACACCAATATAAAGATCAATAACATATGAATGGAAAAAAAGTATCAATATGTATTTCCGGGAGTGCAGTATGTGAATTTCATACCCATTGATGCAATAATGAGAAATTTACAGCCGATAAAATAGATTCGATGTTCCATCAATATACTTCAAAGACCAAGTGTTGCAAGATGCAGATATGCTGTGTTCGTTAGTTATCAGCTTATAAGCTATCCTTACAAAACTCAGTTAAGTATACCTTAGCATCATTCCCACTTGATGTAGATCAATCATAAATGTTGATTGTTCAGCAGTCATAAACTTGCTCCCCATTGCACAAAATATCCTATTATTCACAGTTTGCTGAAAGTATGGTCATTTTCATACGAAAATACATAAAAGTAGTCCCAAGGACATTATGATTTAAAATTCGGAATACAGAGATCAAACCTATCAGTCAAACCCACAGTAGCTGCATCTGCTGGTATGAAACTCCCGATGTGGGAAAGGAAAACTATCAAAGCTACCTGAGAGAGAGATCTATCAAGACAACATTTTTATGCATGCACTCAATGGCTGCCAGTATATAAACACAATGGCTTCAGCTTTACATATTTGATATCTCGTGTCCAACACATTGAGGGAAAACAAAATGCTGCACTCAACACATCAAAGGAGGCCCAAATATGAATGGCACTGGCACCAGCATTAATATCTGATATATGGTGCCTGACACTCTGGCGCCAGGCCAGCATGCATTCAGCTCATACATCTAAGTGTCAGACAAGAAACAATATGAATTACAGAAAGTATAAATGCCTTGTAGGGGAGGGTGATGCTCAGTCACAGTGCTGGTTGTAAGGAGGCATATATATTATCACTGACCTGCTTTATGTAAATACTTTTCCCTGAATAATTAGGGCCTGTGATGATATTGATCCTTCCTGAGAAAGAGAATGTCATAACATTAACAAAAAGAACCAGTGTGCTAGGATAGGACAAGGATTTGTCAGATTGAATGAAATTTAGAGTCTTTAGACCACTATCTTACAAAGAAATGTGTAGTTTCAAATACCTTCATCCAAAATCTTTGTGTCATTGGGAATGAATGTGTCTACTGTCATTTCCTGCAAGACATGTCTTGTAACAAGATGAATTACTTGTTACTTCAGCAATGAACAAACAATTTCTTTAATAAGGTTTGTCACAATACACTGACAATAGTGACATATTCCAATTGTATAAGATGGCTCTAACCTTCCGTTCCGAATATCAAGAAAGCTTTCTGCTGTCAAAGTGGGCCTCACATAATTGTTTTGACGAGCAACCAACGCCAACGACAAAAAGCTAATAGATAATGTGAATATACTGTAGTTAGGAAAAACCTACTGAAAAATAATATAGAAACATCAAAAGAGATAGCGGCTTAAAGGACCAGCAGCCAGTGGTTGAAATGATTCTTCTCTGTTAATGCTAAGCAATCCTTCAGAAAGAAAGGGGGGAGAGTTGAAACCTTACCTATGAGCCAGAGGATAAACTGATGCTTACCAATCAAGTTCAGCTGCAAAATTGACAGCTTTGAGCAGATCCACCGAGTATTGAAGAATATGTGTCAATAAATCCCTTGTAATTACTCTCTCCATATCTTGGGAAAACAGAAGGCAAAAAGGAAGAAACAAAAGACACTAGCCATGCTGAGATTGTAATAACTTTGTCATGAAAAGTTATCAAGTTGCACATGTATAAAGTAGACGGCTTGCAGTAACTACCGCAAGCTGAATAATAAACCATGGATGTTCATCTGGAACACATGTTAAATCATATACTGTTATTGGTAATCCACAAAGAATACCAAGCAATGCAGAATTTCTCATCAGGAAGGCATACAGTAAAAAGTGGCTTGAATTACCTACCTAAAATTTTATGATATATATCTCCTAAGAGGTTGTCCAACTCTCGTGTCTTTGCAGTGCGATAGAAAAACTTTAGGGTTTCTCCATCCTCATCAGAGAACTATACATGGAGGGTACACTTTTTAGCATAGATAAGCAAATGAAATACAATTCCACCAAGGATAAATGTGAATTTAAGTGAGTCTTGACTTACGGCAAATTCAAAATCTTGAAGTTTCTGTAGAATTGTTTCATCAAGTTTTTCTCCAAAAATGCACATCAAGTAACCTACAAATGAACAAACAGCAGTAACACTGATAAAAGATGGTCTAGTTTAGCTGAAGTTAAGAGACAACATTCCAGTTTAATTTACAAGAAACGGTGAAAAGCTAACATGCAATAATAAAACATGAGATATCCTCATCTATATGCGAAAATTTGCCAATGTAGGGGTTAGGGCCCGTGGGATGTCAGTACTCATTGAAAGAAATTATTCCTTAGAATATTCGATGAAATTCGTACAGCTTGTCCAACCTTAGCAAAATCTTATACTCAAATACTTGGGGAAACTGGAGCCCGAAAATGATGCGTATTATTCTTTGCATTATGAGTTATAACAGTTTAGTAATTTAGGTGTTATGCACAAAAAGGTGAATTTGGAAGTCATTTCTAGCTCCCTCAGCCTCATCCATCACTGATACCGAATAGCTGAGCCGTATCTAACTTGGCACCTTCCGATCCAATACCATTCCATGTTTCATGTAAACCACGAGCCTCACGCAACACAGCCGAGTAGTTGAGACTTCTCCGAGTCATCTGTGGAATCATCGCCTAATTGACTGATATCGTTCTTCGACATTGCGATATGGCCTAAACTCCTTGTGATGTTAAACTTCTTTTTCTATGTAGCATTTTGCGCATATTATCCGACACCTTTTTGTGATGGAAAGACAGATATGTCTAAATGTCTTTCGAGTCGATGATCAATACCGCAACCTTGAACCATAATGCTGGGGTCTTTGATTTTTATTGGTTAATTTATAAATAAACATTCACATTTAATAAATGCTCATTGCTCAAGCAATATGGATTATCAGTAAAGGTGTGAAATGAGGCAATTCCACCATTGTTGTCCCAACTCCAAGCATCATTATATGAATTCTGAATCCATCTTAAAGATATATCCTTTTTAGAGTTAATTTCTTGTTTTTATGGGTTGGCCATCAGGAGGAGTTTTAAATGTATTGAATAATCCTGCACTACAGGATTACAGAAATTGGAGACTTTTTTTACCTCGGAATATCAAGATAAAAGACGGGAAGAATACTATTGATTTGACTTCTTGCTTTGGTGATTTCGATGTTCTTATTTATTATGTGTTGAAATGTCAAAAAGTTTTATAAAGGTGCACCTTAAAAACTGTTTTAAATAAGGGACACATACGATTAAGCCTCAGCAGCCTAGAACAAAATAGGGTGTCAAAATTGTCATTGTAAACCCACAGTAAGAGTGAGAGTCTGATCCAAAAAAAAACCTTCAGTGAGAGTGATTTTTACGCAACTAGGCAAATGTAGAATTTAATTAACTTCTAGTTGCATCGTTTTTCTGTTAATCTACATCTCACCAACCCATTGAAGGGAAATGGAAATATATTGAGGTTTGACAAATTGTGCGACCTACATTTTTATAAATTTTCCCTATCTTTCAATGTACAATGAGCTATCGAAACATGATTCTGCAAGTTCTTTTTATATATTCTTCACATGACAACAAACAGAAGCCCTCAAAATACTGCAAAAAAGCAGACCATCATACTTTAGCAATAAGATAAGATTAATAGGGAAAAATACAGTCTGTACCATATACGAGAGGGAGGCTATTAAAAACTAAAGCAGTAAAGAAATATGGTGCATCAACATTATATGCTCAAAACCATCCTAAGGACCTAAGCAGGAGATTCGATCTATATGAAATTATGAATAATAAAGCACCCATGCATAAGTGAAACAAAAATAGAAGTGCAAACCAACCTATCTGATGTATATAAACAATAGAAGGAACAAACTTGTCTCTGGACATATAAGGAAGTCGTGCAAGTTCCATTGATGACACCTGTAAAGCGCCGGTACAATCAAATTAGACATTGTGGAGATCCAATTTCAATTTTCTTGGTCTATCAAGGAAACTGTAAAGTGCCGGTACAGTCAAATTAGACACTGTGGAGATCCAATTTCAATTTTCTTTGTCTATCAAGGAAACTAAAATGCACCTCTTCCAGAAATTCCGGCAATTCTTCATAGATTTGCCTCAACTCATCCAACTACACTTAAAGGCATAGGAATTCTTTGTCAAAAGCGCCAGAGACAATGAGAATCTAGAATACCAAGACCGGTAAAATAACAAGTCTAAAAAAGTTTATGAAACTAATGAATATGATGCCCCACCTCATCACAGAAACCATCTTTTACTACTGTCTCATAACCCTTCTCTTTATTTCTAGTTACATCAATGACACCAATCACCTACATAACATAGTCAAACACAATAATCTCTTAACTCGTAACAACAGAAATTAACTGCAAGGCAGAATAGCCACTCAGGGTAGATCAGAGTCACACATGACCAGATTGCAAAGTAAAGAGTCCAGAATGAACTCTACCAAGACATGGTGACTGGATACCATGGTGTCATAAGTATACTGAATTGGCAAATGCTAATCATAAAAGAAAACTCAAAACAGAATTATGTTAAATTTATATTGATACAAGAAGACAATAGGGCCTCAATAGTTAAAAGGCTTTTGGATAGAAATAAACATAATATCAAGTTGAAAGCGTGCATGTACGGCCACAAAAAAAGATGTATGATGAACGCAACGGAGCTCCCGCCACTATAACAACTATCGTAATGATAAAGATTGCAAAAGATTTTTTTCCAATTGTATCCAGCTGTAACAGTGTACACATAACATGGACTGAACTATGACAACTAACCAATTCATAGACATAAGCCAGATCTGTTGTAATGCATGAACAAGCCTGCAATAAACTTAACACCCGTAATAATGACACTAAGAGATTGGATGAAATTGACAACAACAAATAGCAGCAAGGAGATTGCCGTCTCAATAATTTGATACCTTCTCAACGATGTCCAACTTCAAATACCTCACTTGCTCTCGAAGAGTTTCAGAAAGGCCAACTTCAAATATCTTGTTGATGTGCAAGAGTGAACAAATGCTCTACATGAAAAAAAAAAAAACATTTTTTCTCTATCTAAATTTGTAAAGGACAAGATCAAGAAAGAAATAAATAAGGAAAGAAAGGAGAAGAAAAGAGAGTAAAACCAATACAACATCATTTTCCCTCAACATAAAGTTGACATAAGATTCCAACTTATATATTGCTTAAAGGTCAAAATCAGCATATAATATAACAAATGCCACATATATAAACATGGAGCCTTAGAAAATCAAAGAATTGTTTTCTTCTGCAATGCCTTTTTATTCCACATATCCAATCCGTGCAAAGAAGTTAGGTGATTTTCTTAGAAGAGGCACTGTTCATATAGTTTGGAAGGGACGCCGGTGATTGCCATCCAACCGTGAAATCCTAGGAAAATGGGGTGAGACTTCATTTCATGGAGACTAATGAGGCTTTGCATCCCTTTTAAATTTTTGAATGTTAATGTTTAAAAACTATGACCTGTGAAGACAAACATCAATTTTCTGTCTTGGTGTTTTCCCAGTGATTGGGACTAGCTTTTTATTTTGGTTTTTTCTGGTCTCAGACAAGCTTTGTTCAGATGAATTGCGCTGATTATGGTCCAGTTAAATGGCTCAAAGCTTTGGGAGCATGCTTCAATTCATGGAAGCCATTGCTTGGAATCAAACAGAGGTAATAACTCTCCCTGGCCAATCTATTCTTCATAGTAGATAAAAATGCCATTCAAGACTTTCTTAAAACGAGTTTGAAGCGTTGCTGTTGGAATTTCAAACAGACTTTAATTGCCAAATCTTAAAACTTGAAAAGACTTGCTTTCTTTAGAATTAAAAGAAACCCGTCTTAATCTTTTGGCACTTGAGGACAGCAAGTTTTCCCCCAGCCTGACTTCCTGTCCCCAAAACAAAACGCATATATATGATAAAATAATACAAGGAAGGAAACGGACTACTGCTGTTGCAAGGAAACACCTAGGAAAACTGCTTTCCTAGGAAGAAGCATTTTTAAATAAAGGAAAACACTTAATTTTTTCATACATGAATATACTACTAGGTACCAATGAAGTATCCTTGCCATCAACTTAGCTGACGATTAACTCAGAGTCATTTCTTCAAAAATACAATGGCATGGAGTGGCAAATCTACCTTCAAAAAAGCTGTCCACTCACCACTTGTACACAGAGAACTCGGGGAGTTGAATTTCTTGCACAACAAAAAATAAATCCTTACAGAGATCAGGAATTGAAGAACACAACTGTAAAACAAAACTGTAATTAAGGGAAAAAACTCTGCTGACAGAAAAACTACAGGGAACTCTTCGAGCTCCCATCAATTAGAATTACCCAAAAAAAAGATCCTCGTAATTAATCGCAATTAGCTATAGTTCATTTTCTAGGTTGACCAAGCATGCTTCAAATTCCTCATTTGAGCAAAGACAAAAAGGTTCTCACAGCCACTAGTTTCATATATAGGTTTGCAATTGAGATATGGAAATTAGAATTGTGAACAAAATTCTCTGATTCCAATAGTGATCAGCACCTACACTGACTAAATAAATTAATTAATAGGAGCTTGAACTCTTGATTTGAAAAAAAATAATAATACAACATGTAGGATAAAGATACAAAGAATAGCAGAGAGCAAGCAGCTTGCACCTTGAGTATGTGAGGAACATCCTTCACAGACTTCAATGTTTCGCGTAAAGAAGCCAATAGTTCTTCAGAGCAAAGAAAGAATGATATCTTGATCCGTCAAAGAACACTAACTTCTGTCAAGTTAGATAGGAGAAATAAAGTCGAGAGAATAAAAATTCATGCAGAAAAAACGCAAAAAAGGAGTATGAAAATTCTTTTTACATGTACTATCACCAACTGTTTAGGCAGTCGAAACACAGGAAGGATACAGTATTGAGACGAATGTTCAGGTTATCAAGGTCTAGTATAGGCCTCAGAAACCAGTTCCTAAATCAACACAACCATTTGTCCAAGGCTTAGGTATAGCAATGATGAGAATGCGTAGCATCACAAATCTCTTGATCTAAATGTACCTCAAGAGTCGTCTACCAATTGGTGTTAGACACTGAAATAAGCACAAAAAACTAAGTCCAATTTTCAATATGTCGCAGATATGAACCCAATTTTCCAATGCACACCTTATTCATCATCCCAAACACAGAGAACCTGCATTTCAAAAGTATTAGCACAAATTTATAATAGATGAAATCATACAGAGTATGTTTCAGCATTTACCCTTCTTTTGCTCTACCAATACCCATATGGCTTGGATGTTTGTCTATTTGGAATATTTGTAATGCCTCGTGAGCTGCTGCATCAACTTTTAGAAATTTGTTTCTAATTCTAGTTGTCAAGTCATACATTATAGAACAAATATAACGTCCAAAGAAAAAAGATATAAAAGTGAAAATGAATATTTTCAAAATCTATGAAATTAAGCATTAAAAAACATCACATGAGAGATACAGTGAAATCTCTGTAACCGAATCAATTGTTATTGATGCATTCCCACACTCCTTTTGCTCAAGGGTATCTACAATTCTTTCATTCTCTAATATGGCAAGAAGCCCTCCGCTTGCACGAACTTGAACATCACTTCCAATGTCCATCATAGAACTTAGCTGCAGTTGATAAAAGGGCTCAAGATGTTGTATGTAAGAATTAGTATAAACAAAGAGGTTTTGGTCCAAACATATAGGTGTCAAATAAGTTTTGAATGTTTTAAGTCAACATAGCCATAAAACGAAAAGTATAGTTACACCATGCAGTGACAAGTTCTCATTTGCCCAAGCAATACTTCGCAAACTTAAGTCTAGAAATTCACTATCAAAAATGGGCGTGAGGCCGCCTACCACTTATCCCTCCATGCCTATGGGAGGGAGTCTTGTGGACTAGGTACGACTTCTTTTTTTAAACTTCTCAACATGCATATATTATATACTACCTGAGAAAATTAGTTTAGAAAATACTGCAAGAATTCATGAACTGTTTGAAGAAGGTTTTATTGAATCAAGTTACAAGCATAAATGTGCATCCACACATGCACAATCACATTGCAATGCAAAAAGAATAAAGGTTTGCAGTGTCTTTGTCATGGATATGCTTCAAATGATTACATAGATGACAACTATACAAACCACAAAAAGCTCAAATGTGAGTGCACATAAATTACGAAACTTAAAACGCTAATCATGAGACACAGTAGAAAGTTTTATTTCAAGAATGTATAAAAAACTACAGCATAATCCCAAAGTAAAGCATGCTAGTTTTTAGCTTACAAAACAGATTCTCTCCTTGATGTTCAACCCATCATCCATTCCTGTTACTCGAAGGTATATCAATCTGCAGAATTCAAAAACAAAAAAGTTGGAAAGGAACTTAGCAGAGAGAAACAAACTGATGCATTGGGAAACAAATTTTTGATGAAGGAACAACAATGCAAGTCCTGCGATGTTAATCAAATCTGTTGTTAGACCCAAATTTCTTTTCATCCCTTCAATATAGAGACGTAGTACGACAAAACAATTCCAATAACAAAGAGGAAAAGTATCAATAGAACATTCAATGTTTCTCCACCTGTGCCATGCTTGCTCGTAACTGAATATTGAACTCTTCATAAGCTTCACAACAGGAGCCTCACTTGTTCCATCTGCATCACTTCAACTAGTAAGCACCAAATGCTGACAGTTGAAAAGGACAGTAAGTAATTAAACAAAATACCATTTCGTTGTAATGCATTCAAGAAGGTTTCTTCACTTTTAGTGCTTGCATATATTATCAGGGGCTTGGCCTGATATTTGACTGAACCAGAATCATGAGAAGTATATTTACAAGATGCAGTACTAAATATGCTGAACAACAACTAACTGATCCCATAAGCAAAAACATAAGAAATAGAGAAACACAAAAGTAATCAAATAAGCCGGAGAGAGTGTAGTGTTTAATTCAACAAAATGGTCACAGCATGCAAAAAGACATCTTTACTATCTAAGAGACGAGAAGCTTGTACCCATATCAACCAGAGGAAAATCTGTGGTACCATCTTCCCAGAATTCCAACACAAAGAGTTGCCGGATACTGGAATCATAATAAGAAACTCCCACTCTGGCAAGACAGTAAGTCTAATCATGAATTTATAAACAAAAGACATCGAGCTGAATTTCAATAAAACAAAACACTAAAATATGCTAGAAGTATGAGAAGCTCCTTAGCCATATCAACATTCCAATAGATTGTAACCAATGCAAGCATTTCCATATGTTTATTAACACCAATTATTATCCATATAAGAGACTCACCTATTACCATGCATGATGCATGCCATATAGACCTGCATACAAAACCACATAAATGGCGTATCAATGAAAAGTTGCAATGACTCACACACAGACTTGACTACTTTTCTTTTTTCTTTTACTTATACTATTTTTGTTAGCAAGTGACCTGATAATTCCACCTGTGCAAAGTTCATGTAATAGAAATAGATATCATTTTCTGATTATAAGTCCTTAACATTTATGATTATAACTACTGCAACTGGTGCTTGGCAACCTACATCTAATTGTCACCCATCATCTAGGTTGTCCCAGTTTTAATGTTCTTAAAATAGATGTGTGCTTTCACAATTCAGTAATAATTGATACCAACTTCTGGATGAAATAAAGATTATGCAAGAGAAGTCTTGCCTTCTCCATACTCCCTCATTTGAAAATTAATTGAGCAAGTACCAGAGACTTATGTCAGTTCAGCAATCCAATACCAATAGACTCCCGGTATGCTGTGATCAGCATACCAAAACTATAATCATGATTTTTAATATTAGGTCTGCAAATTATTACATTGCTTACTGCACGGGTGAGACTCTGGTGGCTGCAATTCACTGACGTAAAACAAAACAAGGTAAATGAAAATAATAAGAGGGGGACAGAGAAAGAATGCCATAAGTACCGATATATCTGCTCCTGCAAATGCAACAATAGCTAAAAAGATCAATGTGTGAATATTGTTCTTGTAGGATCTAAGAAAAACAAGAGGCCTCCTTTTAAGTGAGCCTACTACAACCATCTGATTCATATGAGTTGAGTTTCTCTCTTTCTTTCTTTTCTATTTACCAACCGCGATAACCACCAAAAGAACAAAAAAATTCTCTCACTGTCTTCCATTTCTCAGCAACCAAACCAAAAATGACAAAAATTGGAATGCGTAATAAATCAATTAGAGCTGATAATTTTAAGGCCTAAAAAATGCTGTAGTCAATTGAGGTTATATATAAGCTCTTGTTGCATCAACTTCGAAACCGCGGAACATATATGAACAACATTGGTACTCCTTACCTTCCTTACCTTTTATCTTGTTGAGATGAATGGTTCAAGTCCCTTTTTCCTCCCCCTCTCCCCAAAATAAAATATAAAAATAAAAAATAAAAAATATATATGTATATCTATATATATATATATATGAATAGAAAAATAACAGGGAGACATAAAAAATTTCTTTTCCTCGTTGTCCTCGATTTTCTCAGCAACCAAACGCAGAGTTAAATTAATGATTAGTGAAAATGTACAACTCGAAATATAATACATTGAATGGAGTCTATGATTTTGCGGCATTGAACGGACATGTATTAAAGTTATATAAATTCCATTACTCCATCGTAATAATGTAGGTATAAAATGTCGACTATCCCTTGCGTTACAGTATAATCGGCGACTGTGAAGCAGTTTGAAATAGTAGAAAAGAAGATCGAAAATCAACCTGAGGTACGGCTTCTGTTTCGTCGACTTCCTCCATAGATTCGAGTAAAACTGGAGAGAGAGAGAGAGAGAGGTTTTGCTTGGGACTGAAGTTTCCTATCCGGCACTGATAATGTGATCGCGCGACCCTTCGCTGCGTATATAGCCGTTCGCGGAAAAAGAACTGGCGGTAAACAATTTCTGAATTTAGGGACCTCTCACTGAACTCGCATGGTCACGTCAGGGTTGGGCCGGATAAGTTATAACCAGACTGGTCGTCGAGCCATGGTCCAGATTCCCCTAAACCGGCCCATTCCTTGTGGCAATTGTTTAAAATTTTTCATTAATTTTTTTATATCGTAAGATTGTTTTTCGATTTTCATACTTTAAAGTTAGAAAATAATAGACAAATTGCATGAAATAATATAAACGTATAGCTAATTTCATATTTTGCATATAAATAAGGGCCAACGTGCCTGACCTAAGACCAATCCAAATCAATGATGGCCCACTTTTTCTTATCAAAATCTTAGTTTTTCAAAAGTAGATTGCTCAAAGTTAAACGGATTGAACACAAATAAAAATATGTATACTTTGGAGTATTATACATCTGGATTTAAGTTTTAGAATCTCTTTTTCTATTTTGTCAAATCATACTCTTGAGAAAAGTATTAACTGTAAGGGGTAGAAATCGCTACGGATCTCATCCCTCCACTTGAAGGATTCCGGCTGACCTGGCGGCACCGAGCTCCAGTAGTCTTTTACCTCTCTTCGCCAATAGGACCCTTTTAAGAGATCTGGCGGCACCGAGCTCCAGTAGCCTTTTACCTCTCTTCGCCAATAGGACCCTTTCCTAAGACAATCTCACATCGGAAGAGAGTCGTCTTCCCCCTGCCATATAAGTGAACACTTCCTATGGAGGAGGTACCCACTAGACACTTGAGCTAGTGGGTACCTCCTCCATAGGAAGTGTTCACTTATATGGCAGAGGGGAAGACGACTCTCTTCCGATGTGGGATTGCCTTAGGAAAGGGTCCTATTGGCGAAGAGAGGTAAAAGGCTACGGCGGCTCGGTGCCGCCAGGTCAGCCGGAATCCTTCAAGTGGAGGGATGAGATCCGTAGCGATTTCTATCCCTTACATTAACAATCTTTCATTGTTCTTTCTATATATATATATATAAATAAGCTCTATAATTTGTAAAAATTTACAACTATAGTGTGATAAAAACACCCTAAGCTTTCAATAAAAAGAATGTTGATTAAACTATCAAGATTTAAACTTAAATTACCATTTATTTCAAATTTTTTGAATCTGTGTTAAAGTTTTTAAGGGTATACATATACAACACTATTATAAAATATAATGAGATTGTAAACTTCGATCTGCATTTATCAACATCAAGGGTTTTAAATCTTATTGGTCCAATTGTACAAAAAAATAAATGTTGCATTGCTCACAAAAGAGCCCTTGTTCTTAGCAAGAAAGGCACAAGTCAAAAATAAGTGAAAAATGAAAGAACAGGCTCCATCGTGGATAATTCATTTTCACTTAGTTATCTTATATATTGGTACATAAAATAGATATTTAAATAGGTTAATTTACATATTCGTTAAAGAGCATTCAAAATTATCTACAACAGACACTATCGCACCTTATGTCGGGATCGAAACTAATATTCCACCACCTACTCTAAAAAATAAAAAATGGGTTGCTACTTGTCCATACCATAACTTGATATATAATGCTTGTTTTATAAATTAACTAGTAATTGCCCGTGCCTGAAGGCACGGCGTAACGAAAAATTTATGCAGAATTAATACGTATTCAATCATCAACACATATCCAACCACCAAAACATCAAGTTAATCCCTACTAATTTCAAGAAATTTATGCAGAATTTCTTTTAAAAATAGATATACAGAAAAATATAAACTTGTCTACAAAACTTACAATCATCACTACATACCCAAACCACCAAAACAACCATCATTTCATACCCAAAATCATCATAATTATGTATAATTAGTTAACTTTACAAAAGACGGAACACAAAAAATACACACATACACAAAATAAAGAAACAACTTCATATTCTTTACAACTTATACCAAGTATCCTTCAATGTATACCTGAAAATATTTGAAATATAAAAATTATCGAAATAAGTGAGTCAAAATAAAACAATTGTAAATCCGAAACATAAGACCCCTTACTTTTTTCGTTAGTTGGATTCAATAAAATTAATTACATTACCCTGGAATGATTTAGATTGATATAAGTAAGAATTTAGAGAGTTTGTAACAAATTATCAATTTATTTAGGAAAATATATGGAGGAATGTAGAGACTTACAATCAAATAAGATTTTCTTACTATCATTTCAACAGACGGTTCATTTGCTTAATGATTTCAATCATAAATCTGTATTAGTGACAATATAATGGTGTGTGAGTTTGATTTGCGAGTGTTTGATTGGTTACAGTTATGTGTTTGTGTTTGTGCATGTATTGTGTGTTGTGTGTCTACATGAGAATAGAGAAATATAGAGTCTTAGTAAGAGAGATTTTCATACCTAAACAATTGTTTGGTCAGTGATGAGTTAGTCATCGTCAAAGGTGGACAGGTCGGTAATGGATTGCATATCATTTAACTCTCTTAAATGTCTTATTCATCTCTTTAAACCTTCTCTTCATCACTATCCTTAATGTCCTCGTATCAATACGAACGCACTTTGCCCAATGAGGAGAATGCACAACCACCTAATTATTCACATAAACAATAAAAGTAACACAATATTTATATTGTAGGAATAGTAAAGTTATTTTAATACAGTGACATAAAGTAGATTTACCTGATTACGTCGGCCCCATCCACAAAGGTCCATTGTATATACACTATCGTTCTCGTTGACAAATTCACTCCAATCCTATAAAGAATGAATCTCATTGTAAAACTAAAAGTTGAAATGATGAAAAGATTACATAATTCAGTAGAAATAAATTTGTTTAAACTATACCATTTACTTGTCGTAAGAATCTTATAACAAAACTTCTGGGTAAACAATATTTGTAGTGCAATTCGACCCATCTTCTGGAAGGAGGACTGTAATACGATCTGAAGATGTGCATCTAGATAGTGCGACATAAAGGTGTCCATGACTAAAAACAGGTGTCCGCAAATCAATCCCAACGAACTTCATAGATTGTCCTTGGGCTTTATTAATTGTCATAGCATAAGTTAATCGGACAGGAAACTGACGTCTTGTCATTCGAAAAGGCAAGTCCAAAGATGTTGGTGTCATTGATATTCTTGGAATGAAGACTAAATTGCCAATTTTATCTCCATTTAATATCTGAGCTTCGATTACCCTTGAGGCACATCTAACAACCATCAATCGCGTACCATTACAAAGTCCATCCTTTGGTGCAATATTTCGTAACAACATTATTGGGCATCCAACTTTCAACTCCAATTTAAACGGTGGCAACCCTGAAGGATTCAGCGAGTTTAAGTACTCATTAGGATATCGATTCCTAATGGTACGGTCAAGCTCATCACCTTCAGACATTTTATCTACAGCTAAAAAAATAATTGTCTCTCCCGGAGTAATATTCAGTGCTGCAGCATTTATATCACTGACGTCGTCATTACGCGCAGAGAGAATTGTGCGTTCAGTGAGAAAGGTTGGAGTCACTATACCAATCACATCCAATTGTGGATAGATTTTAAATATCAATTCATTTAGATTGTGACACCGGTTTATTGTAGATGGAAGTTGCACAATTTCACGTGGATTGGTCCCAATCTAAAAAATGAGAGTATAATTAGTCACAAAGTGAGATTTAATTCAAAGCATCATGTTAAAAAATTCAACAATTCAAGGTGGAATGAAATATTACCTCCATCAAGAATTTAGCAAAATTAGTATTTCGAACGTCGGTGCGAGTTAATCGCATGTTTAAACCTAGAGTCAAAACACATATATCTTTCCATAGCAAAGACCGTCTCAATGATGCACCCACAATTTGCTCACGAACGCCTTTAGGAATAACAGGCAATATTTGTCGAAAGTCTCCACCCAGGACAACAGTGATACCCCCAAAAGGTCTTTTATCGTCTCTGATATCTTGAAGGGTGCGATCGACTGCCTCAACACAGTATCGATGCTGCATAGGAACTTCATCCCATATTATCAACTTTGTTTTTCTAAACAATTCGGCATGCATTGATTGTTTAGTGAACCCACATATTGAATTGTCTAGGGTTTCCAAAGGAATACAAAATGTAGAATGTGCAGTGCGCCCCCTACCAATAACAACGATGCAATACCAGATGAAGCCACAGTAACAACAACATGTCCATAACTACGCAATTTGGTTGCAATGGTATTGTACAAAAACGTTTTTCCCGTCCCAGCACCTCCACTCAAAAAAAAAGTAGTTGCTATGTTTTCACATACTGACGTTGTGACGGCAGTATAAGCAGCAAGTTGTGCATCATTAAGACCGTCAACATTAATTTGTGCATCAGACTGTTGTGCTTCATTTCTAACTGTAATCTATTTCTAACTGTTGCATTCCAATTTCAATTGATTGTGGCATGGGTGGAAAGTCAACTAAACTCTTCCCCGACTCATGGAGCAATTGATTAATCAAATATAAGCCATAATCTTCAATATGATCATTAGTTGGATTCAAAATACCAAACATAGTACGAATCTTGTGTGCTAAATCATCACATATATGTGCTGAGAATTGCTTCCACAATGCAAATGGATGCAATGGAAAGCATTCCGTTAGAATTATGGCAAATAATCTTCTTAATTGGTACCCAGTTCTCATAATTGCAGCCTCTTGAAGACATTGTATCCATTCTTCATCATCTTCAAGAAGTCCTCTTGCAACACATGCTGACTTGAATGTATCATGCATAACATTATTTACCGTGCGTAGCCAGTCAAATGAAGTAGGTCCTCTGACAACAGTTAGAAGCAAACGTAAATAAAACCGCTCACCTGAATTAGGGCTAGCAAAGTACATTCTACCAATTGCATAACC